TCTGGTCTGTGGTTAGGGAAAGTTAGAGAAAGAGAATACAATGGAGATTGTGGGTTGGACCTCACCTGGACGGACGAGAAACATGTCACTCTGGAGGAGAGACAATGGTTCTAGGAGAACTCAGACGTAAAGCCTTTGTGTAGATAGAGAGTCAAAGATAGATGTGAGTTCTAAACAAACTATGGATTCAGAGGTCATCAGACAGGAAGCTTTGGTAAAAAGATGAATAGTCGTAACACCTGGACTCGGGACAATGAAGCTTTAGTGGGAGATAAGACCAGCTGCCAAAGGTGTGAGCAGGGGCACGTGAGTCTGGTTAGAGAGGTCGGGTGAAAAACCACGGACAGGACATTATATAAGGTCCGGTGGAAAGGTCAGAAGAGAGATAGAGTTTGCCCGATTCGAGGGCCATTGATATAGGTTACTTTGGAGCCAGGACCTGTTACGTTAGGGTCCTGGAGAGAGCATTATCGTGGTCTGTAGTTAGTGGAACTGTGCGGAGGACATGAGCAGTCTGGCTTAAGCGTAGAGAGAGTCAACAATGGTTAACTCAGGGGAGCAGGAATAGGCTGTGTTGTAGCCAGGGTTAACACGGGTTAATCCAACACGAGTGGGTTCGTGTCAACAACAATCGGGCTCAGGTAGAGCGAGAATGAATTATAGTGGATTTGGGCCTGATATAAGGACGGTCAGCGAGGGATGAAAGTGTTATGTAAGTGTAGTTTAAGGGTAAGACTCCGTTAGAGACGGTTAACGAGGATTAACCGTGATAGGTAAGGGTAGAGCAAGGACGTGTGTTTTACAGTAGATGTAGGGCGTTATAAGTCAGAGTAATTAGGAAGTGTATTTTGTAGTAATTGGATTGTTAATCATTTTGTTTCTTACCCTTTTTTAACGTCATTATTACTTTTGTTTTTGTTGTTCGTAACCTAAATTACTACAAATAATCTACGAATCTGAAGCAAGTGATGACTGCTTTGTAGGAAAATTAAATTATCAAGAAAAAGAATGGAACTTCGTAGAAAATGTGCCTACAGTATAGTATAGAGCGATTATTTGGGTAGGAACATTAGTTTACTGATCTAAGTAAACTAAACTAAAGAGAGAGCTATAAACCAAAACGAACAGAAAGATATGTAACTACATTAGTGTAACGGGCACTAGGATTTTAAATGAAATCTAATGAATTATCATATATTTAAATATCCTGATCACTAGTCAGCGACTATAAGTCACGTGCTATTATGCTATATCACGTGCTATATCACGTGGCAATATCACGTGCTAATATCACGTGCTAATATCACGTGCTAATATCACGTGCTAATATCACGTGCTAATTCACGTGCTAATATCACGTGCTAATATCACGTGCTAATATCACGTGCTAATATCACATGTGCTATATCACTTGCTATATCACTTGCTATATCACTTGCTATATCACTTGCTATATCACTTGCTATATCACTTGCTATATCACTTGCTATATCACTTGCTATATCAGGGGATGGTTTGTAGTCATCCTGTTCTACTAACTGGTCACATTGGTAAATGGTAATTCATTCAGCGTTCGGAGATTATTTATACGTAAAATGAAATTATCCAAATTGAATTATCCAAATTCATGATCTGTCACCCCTGGCCCTCCTTACCTTACATACAGGGGGGCCTGTATTATTACAATAACTAATCAGAATGATAGCGGTTTTGGCCCTGAACCTGTGTTATGGGGCTGGCTGTTTCGGTATAGTCGGGGGGGGGGGGGGGGGGGATCATATGCTCAGAACTGTACGTGACGTACGGCACTTAGTACCTGACCCCCCCCCCCCGTATAGTATCAGCAAAACGCTGACGGACCAACAAAGTCTTTTGAACCTACAGTAAGTAGATCAATTGGTGGCCTGCTTTTAACAAGAATTTCACCGCGGTAACACCACGCACGATCAAAGTTACCTACTGCCTACAATGTAATTGTTCTACTTTATTGTATCCCAGAGTGGTGTTTGGCGCAAGTGATAATCGCTTTCATTATATTAGGCGTGCAGAAATAAAGTAACAACTAACATGTAAAGTAACATCTGTTCTTAAATATGTAATCGCTTTTTACCATTCAGTGTCGATCAACTGTTAAATAATCGGCCACGAGTTTATCAGCTGATATAATAATTCAATTTGTTTTGACTTGCTGAATTTCATCACTCGGTAATTTATTCAGCTTGTTTCAACAAAATAACACTTATATTGATAATTGATCCGCTCAGATGACTTATATGCTATATTAATGAATTAGAGTAAATTGTAACCCGATGGAAACCTGTGTAACAGTCGTCAAGCACCTAAAACTGGTTGCTATGCCTGTAATTAATTAACACATAACTGGCGTCGCGCGCGCAAAATAGGTTCCTTTTATACACATAATTATAGCTTTATAGGGGAGTGGTCTATATTGCAAAGGAGCAGACTTTTGTCATCATCGTAGCGCCGTCGGGCCACCTCATATATCCAAACCCGATTACTTATTCCCTACGATCTTTTTGCCTTCGGCAAGAGTAGGGAAAAAAAATTATTATAGCGGCAGTTTGATCTGAAATATAGAGGAGGTCTAATTGGATCATAACACTCAGCTACCCGGTCTGAGTCAGGGAACTACTACTACTACTACTATGTAGTAGTAGTAGTAGTATTTGCTAAATACTGACATCATCCTTGTTACTAATTGTGGAGTGTGCTTTAAGAAGTTTATAGGAAGTTGGAGCACAACATTCCGTTCCGATATGTTTAAGTGTATTACGTTAGTTAGGTTTAAGTTTATTACGTTAGTTAAGTTTAAGTTTATTACATTAGTTAAGTTTAAGTGTATTACGTTAGTTAAGTTTAAGTGTATTACGTTAGTTAAGTTTAAGTGTATTACGTTAGTTAGGTTTAAGTTTATTACATTAGTTAAGTTTAAGTGTATTACGTTAGTTAAGTTTAAGTGTATTACGTTAGTTAAGTTTAAGTGTATTACGTTAGTTAGGTTTAAGTTTATTACGTTAGTTAAGTTTAAGTGTATTACGTTAGTTAAGTTTAAGTGTATTACGTTAGTTAAGTTTAAGTGTATTACGTTAATTAAGTTTAAGTGTATTACGTTAGTTAAGTTTAAGTTTATTACGTTAGTTAAGTTTAAGTGTATTACGTTAGTTAAGTTTAAGTGTATTACGTTAGTTAAGTTTAATTGTATTACGTTAGTTAAGTTTAAGTGTATTACGTTAGTTAAGTTTAAGTGTATTACGTTAGTTAAGTTTAAGTGTATTACGTTAATTAAGTTTAAGTGCATTACGTTATTTAAGTTTAAGTGTATTACGTTAGTTAAGTTTAAGTGTATTACGTTAGTTAAGTTTAAGTGTATTACGTTAGTTAAGTTTAAGTTTATTACGTTAGTTAAGTTTAAGTTTATTACGTTAATTAAGTTTAAGTGTATTACGTTAGTTAAGTTTAAGTGTATTACGTTAGTTAAGTTTAAGTTTATTACGTTATTTAAGTTTAAGTTTATTACGTTAGTTAAGTTTAAGTTTATTACGTTAGTTAAGTTTAAGTGTATTACGTTAGTTAAGTTTAAGTTTATTACGTTAGTTAAGTTTAAGTTTATTACGTTAGTTAAGTTTAAGTGTATTACGTTAGTTAAGTTTAAGTTTATTACGTTAGTTAAGTTTAAGTTTATTACGTTAATTAAGTTTAAGTGTATTACGTTAGTTAAGTTTAAGTGTATTACGTTAATTAAGTTTAAGTGTATTACGTTAGTTAAGTTTAAGTGTATTACGTTAGTTAGGTTTAAGTGTATTACGTTAGTTAAGTTTAAGTGTATTACGTTAGTTAAGTTTAAGTGTATTACGTTAGTTAAGTTTAAGTGTATTACGTTAGTTAAGTTTAAGTGTATTACGTTAGTTAAGTTTAAGTTTATTACGTTAGTTAAGTTTAAGTGTATTACGTTAGTTAAGTTTAAGTTTATTACGTTAGTTAAGTTTAAGTGTATTACGTTAGTTAAGTTTAAGTGTATTACGTTAATTAAGTTTAAGTGTATTACGTTAGTTAAGTTTAAGTGTATTATGTTAGTTAGGTTTAAGTGTATTACGTTAGTTAAGTTTAAGTGTATTACGTTAGTTAAGTTTAAGTGTATTACGTTAGTTAAGTTTAAGTGTATTACGTTAGTTAAGTTTAAGTGTATTACGTTAGTTAAGTTTAAGTTTATTACGTTAGTTAAGTTTAAGTGTATTACGTTAGTTAGGTTTAAGTTTATTACGTTAGTTAAGTTTAAGTTTATTACGTTAGTTAAGTTTAAGTGTATTACGTTAGTTAAGTTTAAGTGTATTACGTTAGTTAAGTTTAAGTGTATTACGTTAGTTAAGTTTAAGTGTATTACGTTAATTAGGTTTAAGTGTATTCTCTGGTAAGTGGTAATTGCTTCTGTCACTTGATTGCCATTTATTTGAAAATTTCGTTGCAGTCTGATGATTTGGAGGGATCGAGTTTATACTTTAGCACTATTTTAACTGCGACAGTGATATCCTGCCGAAGGTAACACTATACTAGTGAACTTTCCAAATTTCGTTGCGATATATCCAAACGAAAGTAAAGGAACCTGAAGGGGGGTAACAAGTTTTATTGGGTGTTGAAATAATTAGGCAGGGAGTTAGGGTCCAGGGAGTTGATTAGAGACTAAAGATTGGAGACGTTGTACAAGATTTGTGGCCCCCAAGCCCTAACATCATTATTTTATTGACCAATGTCCTCCAATAAGGGTTAAGTGTTTATAGAAGAGGCCACATCTTACCTGGGCGACAACTATTTTGGCATGCGCCCTAGCAAAATGATAGGAAATTTAATTGGTTGTAAATCTGCCCACTAAAAAAACATGCAACTTGTTAAAATTGACATTTTAAGCAAAGCGTAACACACAGTAAAAAGGCGTGGTATGAAACACTCCGCTTAGTATTAATCTCACATCGTTATTTCATCAGTCACGGCAGACACGGTGTAATGAATGTGAGGTATGCAAGACGCCGGATTGTGGAGAATGCAACATGTGCAAGGATAAGATAAAGTTTGGAGGATCGGGCAAAAAGAAGCAAGCCTGTATGGAACGAAAGTAAGTTTTTGCGATAAAAATACAATCTTCACGATTCAGTTCAGCATCTCTTTTGCCGAAGCTCCTGCGCGCGAAAACCAAAAAACATAGTTGTGTGTAAATGGTAATGTTAGCATTGATTTTCGCGGTTTTTGAATATATTAATCTTTTGCGCGCGCAGTAGAGCATGTGCGTTTTCTAAATTCTCGTAACAGTCAAGGATCTGAAAACGTTCCCGTCTATAAAACTTGAGATATTGCTCCTAGTCTCGAATCAATAGTAATGTAACTAAGACATGAATAATGATAGGTGTCCAAACATTGCGGTGATGAGGGCCGAGGAGAACTCCGAGGATAAAACGGATAACTTAGACCCGAGCAACAAAGTGGCCCAGTTAAAGGCAGATAAGAAAGTGTCTAGTAGCATCGAAGGAAAGTTTACTGGAAACATTACATGCAAAGAAGGTTTTTATGAATTTTATTTTAGATCCGAAAATTAAAATAGTGCTATTAAAATTGATTGATTTGACAAAAATTCATAAATTCCACTTTTAATATATTCATCAGGAAAGAAAGTGTTTTATAAGTCAGCAGTGGTTGAAAATGAAGCATTATCCCTGGGTGACTACGTTTCAATAGCTCCAGAAACCCCCGATATCCCATCTTATATTGGCAGGATCACCACTATGTTTACTAAGGGCGGTGAAAACCTTCTACACGTTCACTGGTTAAAGTAAGTACTAAGTACCCTTCTTCATCCTCCATCCCTTTCAAATACTCCTCTTCTTCCATGCCCCTCTCAAATATCCCTCCTCCCTCCCTCTTAGTCGTGCTGGAGACACAGTACTTGGTGAAGCACATGTAACCATAGTAACCCTCTTAGTCGTGCTGGAGACACAGTACTTGGTGAAGCACATGTAACCATAGTAACCCTCTTAGTCGTGCTGGAGACACAGTACTTGGTGAAGCACATGTAACCATAGTAACCCTCTTAGTCGTGCTGGAGACACAGTACTTGGTGAAGCACATGTAACCATAGTAACCCTCTTAGTCGTGCTGGAGACACAGTACTTGGTGAAGCACATGTAACCATAGTAACCCTCTTAGTCGTGCTGGAGACACAGTACTTGGTGAAGCACATGTAACCATAGTAACCCTCTTAGTCGTGCTGGAGACACAGTACTTGGTGAAGCACATGTAACCATAGTAACCCTCTTAGTCGTGCTGGAGACACAGTACTTGGTGAAGCACATTTAACCATAGTAACCCTCTTAGTCGTGCTGGAGACACAGTACTTGGTGAAGCACATGTAACCATAGTAACCCTCTTAGTCGTGCTGGAGACAGTACTTGGTGAAGCACATGTAACCATAGTAACCCTCTTAGTCGTGCTGGAGACACAGTACTTGGTGAAGCACATGTAACCATAGTGACCCTCTTAGTCGTGCTGGAGACACAGTACTTGGTGAAGCACATGTAACCATAGTAACCCTCTTAGTCGTGCTGGAGACACAGTACTTGGTGAAGCACATGTAACCATAGTAACCCTCTTAGTCGTGCTGGAGACACAGTACTTGGTGAAGCACATGACGAGTACGAACTGTTTCTATCGGACTCGTGTGATGACGCTCCTTTGGGCTCTGTCCTCAGTAAAGTTACTGTAAACTACTGCCCTCCTCCTCCTAACTGGAACATGATAGGTAATACTCTCACTTAGTTGTTTATAAAGATACAGTTGTTTGCTGTGTTCATTATTACAGTTGTTTGCTGTGTTCGTTATTATAAGTACTTATAAAACAATCACTCTGTTCAGGTGGCATGCCAGTTCCTGAGAAGAAAGATACAGCTTTATTCTTTAAGCTCTGGTATGACAGTGACAAAGCAAGGTAGGGTCGTTTTACCAACCCTGGTCTGCATTTGTTATGTTTCAATATTTGAGATACAATTTGTGGAACTCCTGCTGCATTTGTATTTGGAAAGTTTGAAGCTAAAGAATTGTAACTTTGTCAGGTTTGAAGCTAAAGAATTGTAACTTTGTCAGGTTTGAGTGTCCATTAAGGGAGTATCTGGAGTGGGAGGAGGAGGAGGGGTGTTGTCCGGCCTGTACCAGGAGGAGGGAGAGAGAAAGGGCGGCTATTCCTTTCTTAGGTTAGCAGTTAGTTAGTAGTTAGGGCGGCTATTCCTTTCTTAGGTTAGCAGTTAGTTAGTAGTTAGGGGGCAATTTGATCTTCAGTTTATTTTAACCAGTCCAGTTATTTGCACCACACACTCAACTTGTCTTGAAAGGAATTGATTTTGCGAATTTGTACATGATCACTACTTCTCCGACAATGATTTGTTTATCAGAAAAAGAGAGAGGTGTACTAAAATACAAGAACATTGAGTATAGTGTGGGGGACTATGTGTACGTTAGATCAGACGCTTACTCAATGCCATCCAGGTACGTCATCATAGATTATAATTATTAGTAATAATCTAGTCGAATATAAAAAATATGTCCCTTACGAATAACAGATATACTCTAGTAGCAGGGAGTAGTAACAGATAGGTAATGGATAAAATAAGTCATTTTATTTCAGAGGAAAAAGCAATATCACAAAAATACGAAAAGACAAAGTTGATGACGAAATGTTTCCAGGTGAATAAACTGTAAACTCGATAATACGCTATAAAACTTTAATCATGATTATTGATTACTCAAACTATTAGAGGATGGAGTTATGATTCTACAACTGTTCCACAACGTATGGAACTGTTCTAAAACTTCTGGAACTATCTCTGCATATATAATTAATTAGTTAAATTCTACCGTATCTGACATTAACTCTCACAGAATACTACAGAAAGACTGACTACATCAAGGGAAATAACGACCTGGTACCAGAACTCTTCAGAATAGGCCGCATCGTCAGCTTCTCCACCAAACAAGAGGGACTTGATGGATCTTCTGTTAAGGTAAATAGGGACTCAGTTAATTGACTGATTGATCTTCTGTTAAGGTAAATAGGGACTCAGTTAATTGACTGATTGATCTTCTGTTAAGGTAAATAGGGACTCAATTAACTGACTAATTGATCACTCAATTTGGTTTGATCCCAAATTGAGGTACTAGAAGTCAAAATCATAGTATCTCTTTTTTGTCCCATTTAGAATGATATGAGATATATAGATAGGAGATAGATTGTCACAGTTTTTACTGAATATTCCTCCAGGAACTAATTAACTATAAGTTGTGAGTGAGCCTATTTATTACAGGTGACTGTTAAGAAGATGTACCGTGCAGAGAACCTAGTGGGTAACCATGGTAACATAGAGAACTTCTGCTCGGAGGCAGCGGACATCAACCTCCTCTTCTACAGTCTAGATCAGGTAGACACCAGCTAAAGTCAATTATAACCTATTATAACATAATATATATTATATAACCTAGCCCTTTTTGTAGGAACCCAGTGAATCTTGCAATAGTAATACCGCTATATTAATTTATTGTGTCTAACTCTAATCTAAGTTTTCTGTAGGTTAAAATACGCGCTGAAAAGATATTAGGTAAGTGCACAGTGCGACACAGGGAGGATATTGAAGATCTGGGCAGGTACACAACTCTCCCCGACCATTTCTACTTCTCAGAGTGCTGGGATTCAGATACTAAAAGTCTGGAGGATATCCCCTCTGAGGCTAGGTGGGTAATAATAGTGGGTAATAATAGTGGGTAATAATAGTGGGTAATATTAGTGGGTAATAATAGTGGGTAATATTAGTGGGTAATATTAGTGGGTAATAATAGTGGGTAATAATAGTGGGTAATAATAGTGGGTAATAATAGTGGGTAATAATAGTGGGTAATAATAGCGGGTAATAATAGTGGGTAATATTAGTGGGTAATAATAGTGGGTAATAATTGTGGGTAATGATAGTGGGTAATAATAGTGGGTAATAATAGTGGGTAATATTAGTGGGTAATATTAGTGGGTAAGAATAGTGGGTAATGATTGTGGGTAATAATAGTGGGTAATAATAGTGGGTAATAATAATGGGTAATAATAGTGGGTAATAATAGTGGGTAATAATAGTGGGTAATAATAGTGGGTAATAATAGTGGGTAATAATAGTGGGTAATAATAGTGGGTAATAATAGTGGGTAATAATAGTGGGTAATAATAGTGGGTAATAATAGTGGGTAATAATAGTGGGTAATATTAGTGGGTAATAATAGTGGGTAATAATAGTGGGTAATAATAGTGGGTAATAATAGTGGGTAATAATAGTGGGTAATATTAGTGGGTAAGAATAGTGTTACTATAAGTGTACTATTTATTAACATCAGGTGTAGTAACAAAGGGAAAAAGAAGCGTGTAGACCTGGAGACGAAGGAACCTTCCTTTAGGAAACTGAGAACTCTGGACGTGTTTGCGGGGTGCGGGGGTTTATCAGAGGGGTTCCATCAGGTAGCTACAACACAACTACCTTACTCGGGAATATTATGACTGGGATAAAGTGGTGGGTTTTGGAAAATTCCGCCATATTTTTCCCGGTCATTAATTTTCCCAGTCATAAATTAACCCGAAATAATGTTCCCGAGTAAGGTAAACTAATAGTAATACATTTTGATGCTTGGTGGGTTTTGGAACATTCCGCCATATTTTTCCCGGTCATTAATTTTCCCAGTCATAAATTAACCCGCTATAATATTCCCGAGTAAGGTACTTACTACTAATAGTGCAACACTACTAGTTACTACTACTCACAATGTTCAACATGTTTTTAAAATTGATTTTTAAGGGCAATATTAATAAGATTAAACGATATTTCTATTAAGATAAAACGATCCACTGTAATGACCTTCATTTTAGTTGGATGCGTGTAATTTCTGCAAAAAAGTTTCCAGCGATAAGTTTCTATTTCAGGCTGGTGTAGCAGAATCTTGCTGGGCTATTGAGTTCTTCAGCGAGGCTGCCCAGGCGTACAAGCTGAACAACCCTAAAGCTGAGGTTTTCAATGAGGTTGGTTAAAGTTTAGTGAGCCTAATTAACGATACCTGGGTGAGTTATATTATAAATGTTAAAGTTTCTGATTAATATCACGTGTTTAATATCACGTGTTTAATATCACGTGTTTAATATCACGTGTTTAATATCACGTGTTTAATATCACGTGTTTAATATCACGTGTTTAATATCACGTGTTTAATATCACGTGTTTAATATCACGTGTTTAATATCACGTGTTTAATATCACGTGTTTAATATCACGTGTTTAATATCACGTGTTTAATATCACGTGTTTAATATCACGTGTTTAATATCACGTGTTTAATAGCACGTGTTTAATATCACGTGTTTGATATCACGTGTTTAATATCACGTGTTTAACAGGATTGTAACGCGGTGTTGAGGATGGCAATAGATGGGGTCCCCACTAACAAGCTGGGTCAGCAGATACCACAGAAGGGAGAAGTGGAACTCTTATGTGGGGGTCCACCCTGTCAGGTTTATTAAGAGGGGGAAGTGGAACTCTTATGTGGGGGTCCACCCTGTCAGGTTTATTAAGAGGGGGGGGGGGAGAAGTGGAACTCTTATGTGGGGGTCCACCCTGTCAGGTTTATTAAGAGGGGGGGGGGGAGAAGTGGAACTCTTATGTGGGGGTCCACCCTGTCAGGTTTATTAAGAGGACAACTCTCTATATATATAGAATATATATATTATAGAGGACAACCAAACAAACATCATTACAATTTGATTTGACGGTTCACTTGACTCAATGTAAAAGATAACAGTGAAAAAAGCGACCCTGCTAAAAAATGTTTTGAATTTTGCACTAAAACGCAGCATTATAAGATAAAAATATTGTTTTTGATAATTCTACTATATAATATAATTCTGTTCTTCAGGGCTTCAGTGGGATGAACAGATTTAACGCGCGGGAATACAGCATGTTTAAAAACAGCCTTATTTCCTCCTACCTCAGCTATTGTAAGTTCCTCCTATCTAAAAGCGCTTTCTAGCCTGTTTTTAAACATAATTTACTACCATTACAAACGAATAGAAATAGAAAGTTCGCAAAGTAAACCTGAACTCATTGGACACAACTTTATTTTCAGGTGAGTTTTACAGGCCACGCTACACAACTTTATTTTCAGGTGAGTTTTACAGGCCACGCTACTTTCTGCTTGAAAACGTGCGCAACTTCGTGTCTTACAAGAAGAACATGGTGCTGAAACTTTGCTTATCTTCACTCGTAAATATGGGGTGAGTTACACATGTTACTGGTCACGTGTTACTGGTTTACTGATCACGTGTTACTGGTTTACTGATCACGTGTTACTGGTTTACTGATCACGTGTTACTGGTTTACTGATCACGTGTTACTGGTTTACTGATCACGTGTTACTGGTTTACTGATCACGTGTTACTGGTTTACTGATCACGTGTTACTGGTTTACTGATCACGTGTTACTGGTTTACTGATCACGTGTTACTGGTTTACTGGTCACGTGTTACTGGTTTACTGATCACGTGTTACTGGTTTACTGATCACGTGTTACTGGTTTACTGATCACGTGTTACTGGTTTACTGATCACGTGTTACTGGTTTACTGATCACGTGTTACTGGTTTACTGATCACGTGTTACTGATCACGTGTTACTGGTTTACTGATCACGTGTTACTGGTTTACTGATCACGTGTTACTGGTTTACTGATCACGTGTTACCAGGTACCAGTGCACGTTTGGCGTGCTACAGGCAGGATGTTACGGGGTGGCACAGACTCGTCGCAGAGCTTTTGTTCTAGCTGCTGCTCCTGGAGAAGTACTCCCACAATTTCCTGAGCCTAGGTGAGATATTGTGGAGAGTTTAGGGTTGTTCCCCGTTTAGCAAAGTACAGTATATATTATTGTCCAAAGATTGTTATCAAAGGCTAAGATTTCTTGATAATTTTTAAAAACATTTCTCGCGTAACCATGGTTTAACATTCCAACGTGGTCCCTCAGGCATGCATTCAGTCCTAAGGGTATGTCACTGTCTGTAACAATAGATAACAGACAATACAGTAGTCACATTACACGCTACGACAGCGCTCCTCTTAGGAATATTACGGTAATTATTTAGTTATCATTTAACTGATGAGTTAATTAATGATTACATGATTACAACTGTTACAAGGAGTAAACTAATTAATTAATCAGTTAATTAATTAACTCTGACTACATGATTACACCCTGTAACAGGTACGGGACATCATGTCCGACCTGCCTGTAATCCCCAACGGAGCCAACAAGAGAGAGCTGGGTTACGACACTGAACCTAACTCGTGGTTCCAGCGCCACATTCGCCACAACGCACAGGTAACCAGGTAACCAGGTAACCAGGTAGGTCTAACGCAGCCAACAAGAGAGAGCTAGGTTACGACACTGAACCTAACTCGTGGTTCCAGCGTCACATTTGCCACAATGCGCAGGTTGGAATCAGCATTAAATATCTTGCGCATGACAGTTTCAAGGTATTTTGTGACAGTTTTAAGGTATTTTGTGACAGTTTTAAGGTATTTTGTGACAATACTACTACTTATTGTGTAACAGTTGTTTGTCTAGGTACTGACTGATCACATATGTAAGGAGATGAACCCCCTGGTGGCGTTAAGAATGCGACACATCCCCCTTACTCCAGGTAAGAGTATGCTCCAGGCATCCGCCGGGGGAGGGGACTATTCTGGGGAGGTGGGAGTCATAGAGTGGGGGGGGCGGGGATAGGAGTGGGGAGCAAATTTATGATATTGACTGCGCTGTTTTAGAAAATAACTGGTACTAGAGATATATATATAGTGCGTGAAAATTCACCTAATCTCCTGTTAAGATGGTGCAGCCCTCCCATGGTCACTACTAAGGAGCGACATTCAGGAGACAATAATAAATTAAGCAGGGTATATTATATCAGGATGATCTAGTGCACAGTGTCTTCCTGCGCGCGTGGGATACGTCACTACCAAAAGTGAGGTCTCGTTACAGAGGTTATGTAAACCTACCTTTTAGTTGATATATCACAGGTTTATATATAAAACTATTGTGAAAAAGTTGCATTTTGTTTTTAATACCGTATTATAGTTTGTGTGTAGTATAATAGTATTATTATATAGTATGTTAGTATTATAGTTTGTTAGTACTATAGTTTGTGTATTATAGTATTATAGTGATTTGAGAGATTTGGTTGGGGAGGCGGGTTATCGTTGTGCAGTACTGTACTACTCACGAAGTACTGTACACGATGTTTTCAACCCACGAGTCAGAGAGCAAGCTCAACTGACGGCTCCCAGATGAAGTATGCACATGAAGGTGAATCGGTCTGATCAAGACCTTTGTGTGCGAATATCTTTACTTCCCGAGGCGAAGCTTTTTCAGCGAGTTATCTAATATTGGGTTCCACTTGATACGTTGGTACAGCTTTAGAGGTTCCTTGTATTTAGTCCATGCTGTGGACCAGGAGTGTTGTTTAGGAAGGGCCTCAATACATTGTCCGCTATGGTTTTAGGGTTGGAGAAGCCATCATATCCCATAGTTACCATAGTAACCATAGTATCCCAGAGGTGGTGAAGTTCTATTTTCTCCCCACTTTTTATAGTATGTTCCCACCTCTGTAACTCCGGCCCCTCCATACTTGCTTGCACACCTTAAACAGGTCCTCCATTTTGGTTTTGGCAAAGAATTAAAACATCTCACTTTATGATTTACATAATGTTTTATTCTGCCCAAGCTTGAAGCTAGTATAATTGTTTGTCTTGTTTGCGTGATTAGCCCAACTGAATGCACATTTCCTATATACTTACTTTACTTACTATATACGTGGGTGTTTTTTGTTTTATTTTAATTATAGCCTGGAGAAATCATACAGTTACTCAGCTATTTTCTCATTCGTGTGTAAAATCTGGCATCTTGTTTTTATCAAAGTCCTGGACCATATCAAAATTCCTGGTGAACAGTCACCTGTCATGAAGCTTAGACCTGGATAAGCACACAGTTACCCAGGCTTAGAACCCACTAAATATTCGAGATGTTAAAGCGAATATACTATAATTCAGTTATTCAGGATATCGATGAAAAATGTTTGGAAGATAAATTCTCATAATAGTATCATTTATTCTGTTACTCTAGTATTCTTCTGTGAAGGCTCTCAGAAGGTATTTAAAATGTTATTAATTTATATTAATTGGATTAATTAAGCAGTTAAGCTATGTTTCTGATAAGCTGCCTGGTTGTGGCCTACCTGTTGAAGCTGGCTAGTAACCTAGTAACTACACTAGTAACCTAGTAACTACACTAGTAACCTAGTAACTACACTAGTAACCTAGTAACTACACTAGTAACCTAGTAACTACATTAGTAACCTAGTAACTACATTAGTAACCTAGTAACTACACTAGTAACCTAGTAACTACACTAGTAACCTAGTAACTACACTAGTAACCTAGTAACTACACTAGTAACCTAGTAACTACACTAGTAACCTAGTAACTACATTAGTAACCTAGTAACTACATTAGTAACCTAGTAACTACACTAGTAACCTAGTAACTACATTAGTAACCTAGTAACTACACTAGTAACCTAGTAACTACACTAGTAACCTAGTAACTACACTAGTAACCTAGTAACTACACTAGTAACCTAGTAACTACACTAGTAACCTAGTAACTACATTAGTATCCTAGTAACTACATTAGTAACCTAGTAACTACACTAGTAACCTAGTAACTACACTAGTAACCTAGTAACTACACTAGTAACCTAGTAACTACACTAGTAACCTAGTAACTACACTAGTAACCTAGTAACTACACTAGTAACCTAGTAACTACATTAGTAACCTAGTAACTTAGCTATGTTCCTGATAAGCTGCCTGGTTGTGGCCTACCTGTTGAAGCTGGCTAGACACTACTACAGAACATACTGGAGCCACCAGAGACTGGCTGCCATACCTCAGCCCCCTATTGACAGTATTATGAAAGGTTTTTTTAAAGCAGTTTAATTTGATCTTGTTGATTATTTGATAATTTTGCCTTATAAAGCAGCAAGATTTTACAACTGCTTGCAAGTACAATTTATGGTATAAGTGTACTTACAGAATTTAATGTGAACGAATCTGTGCAGGTCATACGACAACTCTAAACAAGTGGAAAGAAAAGAACAAGCTGAGTGTGTGACGTCACGTGTGTGTGTGTGACGTCACGAGTGTGTGTGACGGCACGAGTGTGTGTAACGTCACGTGTGTGTGTGACGTCAGGTGTGTGTGTGACGTCACGTGTGAGTGTGTGACGTCACGTGTGTGTGACGTCACGTGTGTGTGTGACGTCACGTGTGAGTGTGACGTCACGTGTGAGTGTGTGACGTCACGTGTGTGTGACGTCACGTGAGATATTACTACAGAACATACTGCAGGTCACACGACAACACTGAACAAGTGGAAAGAAAAGAACAAGCTGCTGGATCTGTGGATAGAGTGGCACAACACTTACGGAGACACTTTCGTCTTCTTCTTATCTACTCGTCCTATCCTGTGGACTGCTGATCCAGCTTCACTTAAAGACATCACTACTGATTTAAAACACTTCTCTAAGTTTGATGGCCTTCCTAATAGAAGTCTCTACGGGCAAAGGTTGGTGGGTACAGAAAGTATTCTAAGTGGTAATGGACTCGGTTGGGCGTTGAAACGGAAAGTAATGACACCATTCTTTGCTAAAACAAATATGGAGGAACTTTACTACGCGTGTAAACCGCACATGGAAGGTCCTGAGCTGAAGAGATGGAAAGAATTGATAAAAGATGGCAAGAAAGTAGATCTGCACGATCAGCTAGGCATCACATTCACTTCATACCTCCAAGTTATGGGGTTCCACAATTTTATGAACTCTGAACTGATAGCAAAGAACGTGTTTAAGATTCTGGAGGCGCTTCCTAAACAGCTGTCCTCGTGGCTCTCTTACCTGTGTAGTAATGATAAGGAGGAAACTGTTAATATGATTCACGAAATGAGATCGGAAGCTAAAAAGGCAGCTATGGAGATACACCGACAAACAGTGAGATACAAAAGAAATGAACAAAGTAGGTCCATTTCATTTAAGCTCTAACGTTTTGCTTTTACTGTGGATCGGTAACTTCGCTTATGTATTTTTTTCGGTGCAGGTAATTATTTTAATTTCAGGCATGACAAATATAAATATGTTGGGCTTTTTGATCGAGGCAAACAATAAAAACGGGCATGGAAAAAGGCGCAGTGTTGATGACACTGTGACCTTCACTATTGACGACATTATGACCATTTGTCTGGTGATGGATAATATGGTGAAACAGATTACTTCTTTGTTTATGCTGCTCAACGATGAGCCCGAGTGTCAGAGGAAAATGTTTGCGGAGTTGAGAGAAACCTCCATCGATACTTTTGAAGGATTAAACAGTCTGGAGTATACAGAGAAGTGTATTTTGGAGTGTTTACGTCTTAGACCGGTTCTAACCAGAGGAACAAGATCGTACAAATTTAAGTAAGACCTTCATCACATACATTCCTCCATCACATACATTCCTCAAAAGCTCAAATCCGCGTGAACTTCTCATTGGTTATCAGATCAGTGGCGTAACGAAGGGCCCTGTAACAGGCAACGTTACCCACTGTATCAGATATCCTTATTTTCAATCCTTAAATCTGTTTCAATAATACATGTTACTAAATGTAACAATATGTTTATTTAAGGAATACTGAGGAAGGAAAGGTTGGCAACTACGTGATAACCGAACAAGGAATACGAATAGTGTTCAGCGAGTACGTCCTCCACCACAGCCCAAAGTATTGGGAGAACCCGGACAAGTTTAATCCGGAGAGGTGGTTTCCTGGCTTCGTGCCAGAACCCTTCTCTTACATGCCCTTCTTTGTGGGAGCTCGGGGCTGCATTGGGAAACACATGGCCATGATGATGATGAAATTAACTCTGTCTGTGTTAGCCAGGAACTTTGATATGGTCCAGGACTTTGATCCAAAAAATATGCCGGACTTCACCCAAGAATTTGCTGTGATGAGACTTATCAACAAGGTCGATATGTGGGTTGAACCTTATCAGCCTGAACAAGGATGTTGATGAAATAACACACCGTGAAATGATACCTCGTTTGATATGTTTTCATCATTTGTTGGTGACCATGATACTGATGTTTTATGTCTCTGTTTTATGATTAAATCTGTTTTTAGTTTTTACATTAAAAGCTATCCGGACACTCACTTAGTACCTATTAAAAGGAAAGGTATATAATATAATATAGGTATATATAGTATATATATATATTACAAATTTACTGAAAATGATTTTAAAATTCATGGAAAAGATCTTTGGAATAACTTTTTTTATCAACAAACTTTCAAATTGTTACACAAATACATCATTTTATTTCAAAGAAAATTTCGCCGAATGACCTTACATGCCTTGACAAGTGACCGAGTGTAAACAAAATTAGGGACACCGAAACACCAGTTGACCAGTAAACTGGTCATAGCAATTACATCGGGCCCTAGAAATTGGTCAAAAAATATCAAAACTTTTGGTTTTAGACAAATTGTATAGAAAAGGTATTCAAAGCCTACTGGTGGGTGAGGGATGGGGATGGGGCTACTAGTCATAAAATACATAATCTATCTGTTTCATAGCTCTATATCTGGTAAAATGTGGAGTGAAAACTATTCAGATCTTCTTTATTAATGTTAATGCTTTTCAAACAAAGTTACAACGAATTCTTCATGTAGTCCATCCTGGGTTTGTAGTTCATATTTTGGACAGGATATGCCCGTTTAAAATATTTCCATCACGTTACATAACACAATTCTCAATAAATGTAATAGATTTGTAGTGTTGTAATTGGTTTAAAACATTATATTACCAGCTCATATCTTCTCTATTGTGTACTGAACTACTACTTGTTTACAGGAAGCGACTGGAGGGATCTACCTAACGTGAGTGTTACGCTACCAGACGGTAAGAAGACTCCTAAACTGGTCTACACTCACAACGACCTCAAGAACGGGCCCATGAAGGGGGTCTGCAGCTGTGCTGAGGGTCATTCTCTTTCTCTTTCTCTTTCTTTTTGATGCTTTCTAAGTTTATCCTTCTCTTTCTCCTTTATTGACATAATAAGTATCCTTATTAGGGGTGTACACCCCTGTTATTAGCTGTGGTACAACTCCGGAGATTAAACCCGATAGTGCCGTAGGATATGTAGATTGTAGGTATTGACAGTATTTGAAACAGTGAGTAGGATATGTAGATTGTAGGTATTGACAGTATTTGAAACAGTGAGTAGGATATGTAGATTGTAGGTATTGACAGTATTTGAAAGAGTGAGTAGGATATGTAGATTGTAGGTATTGACAGTATTTGAAAGAGTGAGTAGGATATGTAGATTGTAGGTATTGACAGTATTTGAAACAGTGAGTAGGATATGTAGATTGTAGGTATTGACAGTATTTGAAAGAGTGAGTAGGATATGTAGATTGTAGGTATTGACAGTATTTGAAACAGTGAGTAGGATATGTAGATTGTAGGTATTGACAGTATTTGAAACAGTGGGTTGGATATGTAGATTGTAGGTATTGACAGTATTTGAAAGAGTGAGTAGGATATGTAGATTGTAGGTATTGACAGTATTTGAAACAGTGGGTTGGATATGTAGATTGTAGGTATTGACAGTATTTGAAAGAGTGAGTAGGATATGTAGATTGTAGGTATTGACAGTATTTGAAACAGTGGGTTGGATATGTAGATTGTAGGTATTGACAGTATTTGAAAGAGTGAGTAGGATATGTAGATTGTAGGTATTGACAGTATTTGAAACAGTGAGTAGGATATGTAGATTGTAGGTATTGACAGTATTTGAAAGAGTGAGTAGGATATGTAGATTGTAGGTATTGACAGTATTTGAAACAGTGAGTAGGATATGTAGATTGTAGGTATTGACAGTATTTGAAACAGTGGGTTGGATATGTAGATTGTAGGTATTGACAGTATTTGAAACAGTGGGTTGGATATGTAGATTGTAGGTATTGACAGTATTTGAAAGAGTGAGTAGGATATGTAGATTGTAGGTATTGACAGTATTTGAAACAGTGGGTTGGATATGTAGATTGTAGGTATTGACAGTATTTGAAAGAGTGAGTAGGATATGTAGATTGTAGGTATTGACAGTATTTGAAACAGTGAGTAGGATATGTAGATTGTAGGTATTGACAGTATTTGAAACAGTGAGTAGGATATGTAGATTGTAGGTATTGACAGTATTTGAAAGAGTGGGTAGGATATGTATATTGTAGGTATTGACAGTATTTGAAAGAGTGGGTGGTACACCCTCACAACTATTTGCTCTGCAGGTAAGAAGTGCTCTCTGTAACTATTTGCTCTGCAGGTAAGAAGTGTTCTCTGTAACTAGTTGCTCTGCAGGTAAGAAGTGCTCCCCCATGGATAAGCAGACGTGCACCCTGATACCGTGGTGTTTACCCCACACTGGTAACCGGCACAACAACTGGGCAGGGCTCTACGGCAGGGTCTTCTGGGACGGCTACTTCTCAACCACTATCACTAATCCTGAACCCATGGGCAAGCAAGGTTAGTCCTTATATGGGCATCACGGGGTACAGCCTGCTTAGTTTTAACAATCCACTTTACTAATCACGGGGTACAGCCTGCTTAGTGTTAACAATCCACTGTCTTTCACTTTATAACTAATAAATTAATTGCTCACGTTATAACTACGACCAGGACGAGTATTGCACCCGGAGCAGCATCGTGTAGTGTCTGTGAGGGAGTGTGCCCGCTCACAGGGCTTCCCTGATACTTACAAGTTCTACGGCAACCTCACCGACAAACACCGACAGGTTTTTTGTGTGACGTCATCTGATTCTGTAATGACGTCACGTGATTATATAATATATAATGACGTCACGTGATTATATAATATATATAATGACGTCACGTGATTATATAATATATATAATGACGTCACGTGATTATATAATATATAATGACGTCACGTGATTATATAATATATATAATGACGTCACGTGATTATATAATATATATAATGACGTCACGTGATTATATAATATATATAATGACGTCACGTGATTATATAATATAAATAATGACGTCACGTGATTATATAATATATATAATGACGTCACGTGATTATATAATATAAATAATGACGTCACGTGATTATATAATATATATAATGACGTCACGTGATTATATAATATATATAATGACGTCACGTGATTATATAATATATATAATGACGTCACGTGATTATATAATATATATAATGACGTCACGTGATTATATAATATATATAATGACGTCACGTGATTATATAATATATATAATGACGTCACGTGATTATATAATATATATAATGACGTCACGTGATTATATAATATATATAATGACGTCACGTGATTATATATATATAATGACGTCACGTGATTATATAATATATATAATGACGTCACGTGATTATATAATATATATAATGACGTCACGTGATTATATGATATATATAATGACGTCACGTGATTATATAATATATATAATGACGTCACGTGATTATATAATATATATATAATGACGTCACGTGATTATATAATATATATAATGACGTCACGTGATTGGTTTTAACGACGTCACGCGTATATTTGATGACCTCACGTGTCCCTTATGTTAGATAAAATCACGTGTGTTTATTGGCATTTTTGCAGATTGGTAACGCAGTCCCTCCGCCCTTGTCCAGAGCTATTGGTGACGAAATAGCAATATCTCTCAAAGCAGTTTCACAGTTAAGAGAAACTGAAGATTAAATTAAACTATTTATAATTATAATTATTTGACGAACTTGCTGACGAGCTCCACAAGATCTTGTGAGACAGTTTTAATTTATATAGTGAAATTAGGATTTTAATTGAAATAATACTGCAGTTTCATTTCTTTATATCTATTTTTAATTTTTAATTTATTTCGTATAATTTATTACCATTATGATTATATACTTTGCCTTTACAGGTTTAGGTTCTTTGATGTCAAATGTACTTGAAATATTTAATGGGTTCAAGTTTATTTTTAATATTCAATAGGTTCAAGTAAACTTGTAATATTTAACAGGTTTTAAATGGCTCAAAACAATATCCATGTTGACTTTAAAATAACAAAGAAGTCTGATCATTAATTTAACTTTAATTAAGCCTATATTACCACTTGATTATACTCTACTAGTAGTAGTAGTACTAATGAAGTTTATCTATTCTTAGTAGAGAACCACTTTTCTTACTTAATATCCGGTTTAGTGTCTGAATGAATATAAAATTTGCTATTGTCGATTTTCTGCTTCTCAATTCTGGTGATTTAAGGTTTGGTTTTTGTTTTGTTTTACTCAATTTATCCCAATAGTTTATTTTATAGTCGGACAAATTAAAAAAAGAAATGATCCAATATAATATAACAAAATTCTCATTTACTCAAATAATATTGAATTTGCCTGATGATTAAATCATATTACTCTGCACTCGACTATCACGTGACAAATACTCGTTCTGTAGAGGGCCCCTGAGGAGCTATTCAAAACCCTAAACCCAACTCTAACCATAACGACCCAATCCCTAACTGAAGCTATGCCTAAACCCTATAACCCTAATGAGAAATTAGACAAACCTCCTCATAACTTCTATGGTCATGTCACGTGATCGAAACAGTATTTCGCTGATTTTAACCCCATGTCAGCGTAACAAAGTCAGTTTCAATATGAACTTTTAGAAAATTTCGAAGTTCGAGTGTAGAGTGATATATATATATATTAACACGCTCAGTTCAATGTTGTGGCACGACTAAAAATGCCCATTTAATTTTCAATTCAATTAATCAATTTAGAGAACTTCTAAAAAGATGTAAAATGTAGGAAAAGTGGGGACTTCTTAAAAAAGTGCTTAAGTTTAGGGTTAGTAACAAAGAATGTAGTGACGTCACACATCACGTGTAGTGACGTCACATATCAAGCTAAAGTTTAGGGTTAGTAACAAAGAATGTCTCTATTTCACCCTTGCCCTTTACGAAGACTATCCCCCGCTTCTCAACCGCGTATCGTGACTCAATAACGTCTACCGTTTCTTTCAAAACCTGGGAAAAAACTGTTTCATACTAGGTTCATACCAGTAATTGTTATCATGATCACAACAACAGGCAGTTTATTTTATCAAGACTCTCGACCGACCACGTGCGCGCGGGTTTGTAACCAATCTGACATGACCAGTGATCGGCCCGCGCGCTTGTCACAGTGAGCAATTTCCAAAACATTGATACAGCAAAACGTTTCCGCGCGCTACAAATAATCTGTTTTCTTGCTGGAAGTGTGACCGAACGTTTACCAAAATGATACAAATTTCGTGTTAAAACTCATATCCCATACCTGAATTTTACCAACGATCCCAGTAGTCATCATACGAGAAGCAATGTTAACAGTGTCTCCCCAAATATCAAACATTGGAGCGCTTTGACCAATGACCCCTGAAATTCCCATATCAGATCAGATTCTCAACATTCTTCAGCGCATGTTACCGGATATTACAACAAATACGGTTATATGCTGTTAACAATTGTATATCTACGGTATAAGAACAGTTGTTGAAAGGTTTTGTGTTCTATAACAGTTAACACCAGCTTGTTGTGGTACAAGTTCTGATAGAATTATTATCATAGACTTCACAGAGATTTCATTTATAAATTATAAAGTTATAAGTTTTCATTGACCATTATCTAAAAAAAAGCTTACAATGTTGTACATTTCGCATTCCTGGAACTGCAAATTCCTTTTCCGGAGTTAATACTCGACGTGATAAGCGATAAGGCACACTTTCGTAGTGAGCTTTTTAAAGGGAAAGCAATCAATAAGTAAGAGTTAATATTGTTCATGGCATTACATTACACAGCACAACATGTTCTTTAGTTTCATTATCGGAACAGGAAACATTTTACACTTCGTGAGAAATATAATGATTAATGCCTATTACTGATATCAGAGTCATACAGGGTGTTTCAACACAATCTGTAGGTATTGGTTCCTAGAATCAATTGTGAATAAGTTACACAGTCCAAATCACGGTATAAAAGTATGAAGTTTGCGTAGAAGGTCTATGTACGTCCCCAATAAACATTAGTTTTAGACAGCCTCTTATCATTACAGATAAAACTGTCTCACCACGAAATAAACACTTATTCAGGGCCATGCTAAATCAAATTTACCGGAATTTCTGCAAGTAAAATGGAATGTATACCTCACTGTATTTAGGAGGCAGAAATAGCACTGACTCATGACAATTGATACATATAAACAGGCCTGGTAAAGTTCATGCTGAATATTCATACTGATATTCAGGTTCAATAATACCCAAACTCTTGAAGCTGTATAACTGTAACACAACAAGAGGTGTTACACTAACTGTAACACAACAAGCAGGTGTTACACTAACTGTAACACAACAAGCAGGTGTTACACTAACTGTAACACAACAAGTAGGTGTTACACTAACTGTAACACAACAAGCAGGTGTTACACTAACTGTAACACAACAAGCAGGTGTTACACTAACTGTAACACAACAAGTAGGTGTTACACTAACTGTAACACAACAAGTAGGTGTTACACTAACTGTAACACAACAAGTAGGTGTTACACTAACTGTAACACAACAAGTAGGTGTTACACTAACTGTAACACAACAAGTAGGTGTTACACTAACTGTAACACAACAAGTAGGTGTTACACTAACTGTAACACAACAAGCAGGTGTTACACTAACTGTAACACAACAAGTAGGTGTTACACTAACTGTAACACAACAAGTAGGTGTTACACTAACTGTAACACAACAAGTAGGTGTTACACTAACTGTAACACAACAAGTAGGTGTTACACTAACTGTAACACAACAAGTAGGTGTTACACTAACTGTAACACAACAAGTAGGTGTTACACTAACTGTAACACAACAAGTAGGTGTTACACTAACTGTAACACAACAAGTAGGTGTTACACTAACTGTAACACAACAAGTAGGTGTTACACTAACTGTAACACAACAAGTAGGTGTTACACTAACTGTAACACAACAAGTAGGTGTTACACTAACTGTAACACAACAAGTAGGTGTTACACTAACTGTAACACAACAAGTAGGTGTTACACTAACTGTAACACAACAAGTAGGTGTTACACTAACTGTAACACAACAAGTAGGTGTTACACTAACTGTAACACAACAAGTAGGTGTTACACTAACTGTAACACAACAAGTAGGTGTTACACTAACTGTAACACAACAAGTAGGTGTTACACTAACTGTAACACAACAAGTAGGTGTTACACTAACTGTAACACAACAAGTAGGTGTTACACTAACTGTAACACAACAAGTAGGTGTTACACTAACTGTAACACAACAAGCAGGTGTTACACTAACTGTAACACAACAAGTAGGTGTTACACTAACTGTAACACAACAAGCAGGTGTTACACTAACTGTAACACAACAAGTAGGTGTTACACTAACTGTAACACAACAAGTAGGTGTTACACTAACTGTAACACAACAAGCAGGTGTTACACTAACTGTAACACAACAAGCAGGTGTTACACTAACTGTAACACAACAAGTAGGTGTTACACTAACTGTAACACAACAAGTAGGTGTTACACTAACTGTAACACAACAAGCAGGTGTTACACTAACTGTAACACAACAAGTAGGTGTTACACTAACTGTAACACAACAAGTAGGTGTTACACTAACTGTAACACAACAAGCAGGTGTTACACTAACTGTAACACAACAAGCAGGTGTTACACTAACTGTAACACAACAAGTAGGTGTTACACTAACTGTAACACAACAAGCAGGTGTTACACTAACTGTAACACAACAAGCAGGTGTTACACTAACTGTAACACAACAAGTAGGTGTTACACTAACTGTAACACAACAAGTAGGTGTTACACTAACTGTAACACAACGAGTAGGTGTTACACTAACTGTAACACAACAAGTAGGTGTTACACTAACTGTAACACAACAAGCAGGTGTTACACTAACTGTAACACAACAAGCAGGTGTTACACTAACTGTAACACAACAAGCAGGTGTTACACTAACTGTAACACAACAAGCAGGTGTTACACTAACTGTAACACAACAAGTAGGTGTTACACTAACTGTAACACAACAAGCAGGTGTTACACTAACTGTAACACAACAAGCAGGTGTTACACTAACTGTAACACAACAAGCAGGTGTTACACTAACTGTAACACAACAAGTAGGTGTTACACTAACTGTAACACAACAAGCAGGTGTTACACTAACTGTAACACAACAAGCAGGTGTTACACTAACTGTAACACAACAAGTAGGTGTTACACTAACTGTAACACAACAAGTAGGTGTTACACTAACTGTAACACAACAAGCAGGTGTTACACTAACTGTAACACAACAAGTAGGTGTTACACTAACTGTAACACAACAAGTAGGTGTTACACTTACCTGAAGCCACTGGTCCCACGTGACACCCGTACTTCATCTGGAACTCGAAGCCCATAGTATTCCTGTTGAACTGATCCAGCACCTAAAGAGTTTGAGAGTCAGAAGTGTCACGTTGTGCCCATATAAGGAGAGTAAGAAGTGTCACGTGGTGCCCATATAAGGAGAGTAAGAAGTGTCACGTGGTGCCCATATAAGGAGTGTAAGAAGTGTCACGTGGTGCCCATATAAGGAGAGTAAGAAGTGTCACGTGGTGCCCATATAAGGAGAGTAAGAAGTGTCACGTGGTGCCCATATAAGGAGAGTAAGAAGTGTCACGTGGTGCCCATATAAGGAGAGTAAGAAGTGTCACGTGGTGCCCATATAAGGAGAGTAAGAAGTGTCACGTGGTGCCCATATAAGGAGAGTAAGAAGTGTCACGTGGTGCCCATATAAGGAGAGTAAGAAGTGTCACGTGGTGCCAATATAAGGAGAATCAGAAGCTGTCGCGTTTCTCCGTCTTGAGAAGACTTAACATTTCCTTGTGTTTAATGATAGAGTGGATAAACAGAGAGGAAGGTAGAGTGCAAGGTGTAGGTAGAGGCCACTCTACCTACACCCTGCACTCTCTTCCCTTATTTTAACTGCAGTTATTCCCTGCATTAGTTAATCTATTTGAGAATTTGATGTTTTGCTTGAATCATGTTATAAAACCTCCAGCTTGACTGTAATGGTTAACAAGGTATACGGCAGGATGATTAAAGGAGACAGGTGAAGTTTAGCGGACTATTACACTATACTATTATATAGGGGTATAGACACTATTACAGTTGCCTCCTCAAACAGATACCGCAACACTCAACACTAGTAGAGTAGTAGGGGGTATAGAGGAGTGTTTGAGGCTTAACGAGATACTCCACTTTAGTGCACTTAACTGAGACTCTGTACTCTGTAGAAACCCTCTAGATGCATATTAAGGTAATGATACAATCTCGCTCTTGCTAAAGATTGTGCTAAATATCCCTAAGATGTTTAAAGTGTAAAGTTTAGACTTAACACTTGTTTAAACTGTAATCTGTAAACTTTTTAACGAGGATTTTATATCAGCACTTTTATGAAAGTGTTGATAAAAATAAAAATATAGTGTGTTTGTTAACTCATGGTATTCCACCTTCGGCTAGGTAACTCGACAGGATTTTGAATCAGTAAATTTGTTTCTCCGGAGGAAAATGTCCAAGGTTATATTTCCTAGGAAATAAGAGTCTTCGTTCTTACTATAAGATCTTGCTTTTTAAAACACGTTAACTCTAAGACACGTTAACTCTAAAACACGGTAACTCTAAAACACGTTAACTCTAAAACACGTTAACTCTAAAACACGTTAACTCTAAAACACGTTAACTCTAAAACACGTTAACTCTAATACACGTTAACTCTAAAACATGTTGTTAAGTGTAACACAACTGTGCTAGATAACAGCTCTGCTGTGATGAGCTATTGAGTGAGGGGAAATGTGGTGGACCTTCATTTCAGCACATGAAACTGTCTTAAAATAGCAGAAATAAGCTATTTTATTGGCCTTTAACTTATACGGAATGCAGGGGAGCTGTTATTACATGTCTTTATTTGACATCTACCTACTGCTTCTACTACTGCTACTACCTTCTACCTACTGCTACTACTACTGCTATATAGTATATAGTAATATGCAGCATACACATTGCTGCTGATCTAAATATATCTTCTCGGGAAATACTAATCGCTCATTATCAAGTAATTAGATAATTACACGTGCTTTAGTGATTGCTCCGTGGAGAAATGGAGAAGTGGGAGGAATTTACTCGCATAACTTTGAGTATATTGACCTCCTTATATGGGCACCACGTGGCATAACTCACTGTACTATGTTATCCAGACACCCATAAAGTTAGTAAATTAAAAACACTATTATTAGAAAAACTATAACAGTATAACAATATATAATATATAAATAAAAATAAGAAGGAATTAGTAGCCTCCTCTAAGAATAGTAGCTACAACTCTACAAGTGCATTATCCCACAGCCTGATCCCACGGCCTTGCCAGCACCTGCAGCCCCTACTCGGGTCCCGCCTGTTGCACCACCTACACAGATACAGTCACCAACGTCCCGTCACTCCAGAGTCCTCTTCATTCACGACTCAATACACCGAGAAACACCAGAATGGCTGTTCGACCAGATACCTGGCCACCGATGTCAAAAGCGCCTTAACTATCAACTAGTGAACTCACTGGAACATCAACATGAGTTCAAACATTCTAAAGCAGTCGTACTTTCCTGCGGCATTAATGACCTAGCTAGGTATGGGCAGTCGGCCAGGAGTCTTGCGGACAATTTCTGTCCCCGTTTTATAGACTCTTGTAACAATAACAAGAATACCGAGTTTATGTTTTGTGCTTTATCTATGACTAAATTTAACTGGTTGAATGCAGAGATTGACGCTTTTAATATCATAATGTTGAACCTGGCTAAGGATATTCCAAATCTGAGTTTTTTCGATGCCCATGCCGTGATCAAGCGTGTTAACTCATACTACGTATGGGACCGCAACGACAGACATGGCATCCACTTATATCACGAGGTGCAAAGGGTAATGGCACATGAACTTGTTAACTGCGTTGGCAAGTTATGTGGATCTGAACAGAGACGTCACAGGAACTGTGAGTGGCTCTATCACCACAAGCCTAACAGTCTCTCCAGATATAACCGAAGCTGAGCGCTTTACAAATCATTGATACCATTCTGATTAAAAAATACGATTCAATTTTTTCTCAACTTCCAGTCCACCTTTAACAGATCGTTACCAAGATAGATCATATAATGAAATGATCTGATTGGTGGAATTTTTCTCATTATCTGATAAGCTCATCCATTATCAGTATCTCTTATCACCCGATCGCACACAAAACTTTTTACTCTACAAATCTGTATCATCCTAAATCAATGAGATTTCATAACTCTATACAACATTCAAAATTCACATACAAATCTATAAATAATCAAGTGCGTTCTCTTCAGTATTACTCAAGTTCAGTGCGATAGTCCCTTATTACGTAAACGCTACAAACAAATCAAATACAAACAACACCTCACAAAACTACACAACACAAAAGCAACCACTTTATTCGATTTCTATTTTTTAGCCAAATCAGTTATTTAAATCATACTGATAAGGCCCTAGATAAAGACACTTTATTTCACTTAATTATCCGATTTTAATATAATTTACTTTTAAATCATATCACGATTCTGTAGCATACAGGACCTCCGGTTCTCGTGAAAGAATCTGATTTGAACTATAGTTTTATATACTATCAGTATCATAATCATAATATTTAGTTATAAATGGAACCCACTGTTACATCTGAAAACAAAGTCAAGATCAAATGTTCAAGCTGCAGCGGCTGGTGTTACTCTATTAGAAATATTCGCACATGCTCATGGTGTCAAAGTAATGTCCATGTCAAATGTTTTAAGGATAATTTAGGCTGTACGAGTTGCTGTGAAAGTATCATTCCTGGATTTCACGCAACCTACTATGAAATCTATGACGACTACAGTAAACTTAATAGTGACATATTTAATCCGTACGATCAGAATAGTCGATTTAATCTTATTGGCGACGCCATGACCAACGAAGAGCATCAAGATTCAACTTGGAGCAATATTTCATCTTTCCTAACTAGTTGTCAGTATAAACAACAACGTAACGTGAAAAAATCTACCTGCTCTCAACTTAAAACATTTTCTATGAACATAAGATCCCTTATTAAGAATATAGATCAACTACGTGATGATATTGAGACTTATGATAAGTATGATATATTGTGTTTTTAACGAAACTAATTGCACTTTAGGGAAATTACCGAACGGAATAAACGACGTTACCTTAGATGGATTTCATGAACCATTTATCCAGGATCCAATTCGCCCATCTGGAAAAGGTGGGGGCTAGCCACTTATGTACACAAACGTGTAGTCGATTATGATAAAATTGATATTTTCACTCCAAACCCTGAACCAACTAATACTAGTGGCGAATTCCAATTTATCAAGCTCCATCAGTGCAAAGGATACAACAGAACGAAAATAATTGGCAATGTTTACCGTTCTCCCGCTAGGAGACCTGAAGCGTTTCTAGAAATTTTCAAAAATACGCTGCACAACCTAGGGAGACACACCCGTAAACATATGACGCTTCATGGAGATTTCAACCTTGATTTACTGAAGCACAGCAGCGACCAAGCATGTCAGAACATTATAGATATTGCGTCCTCTTACGGTTTTATTCAAATTGTATCACGCCCAACTCGCCTAACGGACCATAGTGCCACGCTTATTGACCACATCTACACAAACAATCTTGAGGATACAATAAGCTGTAACGTCTTAACGACAGATATGTCTGATCACTTAGCAATAGTCACTACAATAAATCTTGATAACACGCCAACCAGCAGCTACCGCTCTGCGTCTAACTCACAAAATGTATCTCAAACTGAAACACGTAGATTTAACGACACCAACAATCAAAAATTCAGAGACTTAATTACAGATGAAAGTTGGTCAGAAATTTTTAACAATACCAATGATGCCAACGAACAGTTCAATAATTTAAATACGGCTTATAATAAGATTTACGAGTCTGCCTATCCCACAAAAAGACAATCACGAAGACAAAATGAACGTGTTAATCCGAAACCATGGATGCTGCCCTGGCTCGAAGAAGCTATAGAACGTAAAAATGAGTCATATTATGATTTTGTTAAGGAACCATCTGATAGTAACCGCAGTAAATATGACCGTCTGAAGAAGTTTTGTAATAAACACATCGATAAAGCTAAAAACAAGCACTTCAAAAAATTTTTTGAGCAAAACAAAGAAAATTCTAAGAAGCAGTGGCAAATGATAAACAGTCTTCTTAATAGGAAAAAATCTAAACCTACTTCAATTAAACTGACTGACGAAGACGGCTCAATCAGCACTCCGGCAGCTGTAGCAGAAAAATTTAACGATTACTTCTCAAACATCGCTCCTAAAATTAAGTCTGAAATTAGTAGTAGGACCACTTTTGATCCTGGTGGAACCCATAGCACACTTCGCAACGCCACTCCAAGTAGTATTTACTTAAAGCCAGTCACTGCCACAGAAATTCAGGACGTCATAAACCTGCTTAAGAATAAAGCCACACTAGACACTAAAATTGAACCTCTAAAAATCGCTAACAGCTGTCCCAGTTTTACTAGTGTACTAGCCCACGTTGTCAACAGTTCTTTTGAACAGGGGATCTTTCCACAGGCTTTGAAAGAAGCGAAGGTGGTCCCAATTCACAAAGGTGGATCTAAATCTGACATAAAAAATTACAGGCCAATATCTCTTCTTGCTTCTTTCTCTAAAGTATTTGAAAAGCTAATGCATAACCGAGTTATAAGTTTTTTAGATAAATACAGCATACTATGTGAAAACCAATACGGTTTTCGCCCGGGTAGGTCTTGTGAACATGCTCTTCTCAACGCAAAAGACACCATTCTTAATTCAATGTCTAAAAAGCAGGTAACTTTACTTCTTTTAATCGACTTCAGCAAAGCTTTCGACCTTGTGGATCATTCCATACTCTTGCGCAAGCTGGACCATTACGGCATAAGGGGTCAAGCCTTAAACTGGTTTAAGTCATATCTCACTAACAGGAAACAGTTTGTATCAATTGGCTCGTCAAAATCTTCAACCAACCAAATTTTATACGGCGTGCCTCAAGGGTCAATATTAGGACCTTTACTTTTTATAATCTACATAAACGACCTACCTCAAATATCAGATATAGCAAATTTCATTATGTACGCAGATGATGCCAACATCTTCCTGATAGGAGAAAATCTTAATGAAGTTTACGATAAACTAATAACTCTTAGCGATGCTTTAGTTAAATGGGTAGATAATAATGGTTTAGCTCTCAACCTTAAGAAAACAAATTATATGATCTTCTCTCGACAAAGAAATCTTAATTATCGTGATGTGGCAATTTCTGGTGTCACAATTGAGAGAAAAACAGAAGCCCGTTTTTTAGGAGTTATAATAGATGATAAACTAAACTGGTCCCATCATATTTCTGCCATGAAGATGAAAATGTCCAGATACATAGGAGTCATGTACAAACTTAAAAAATATCTGCCTCTCGAAGCACGTCTTCAAATTTATCAAAGTTTTGTGCAGTCACACCTTAATTATTGCAGCCTTGTATGGGGTTTTGCTGCCAAGTCTCATATTGAATCGCTTTTTGTAAAACAGAAAATGGGCCTTCGAGCAGTATTACCTGGTTTCGTCAATTACTGGTACAAGGACGGTATCCCCCCAGCAAGTACCAAGTCTGGCTTTTATTCACATAAAATATTGACAGTACACAGTATCATTGTAAAGAACGCACTCATTTTAATGCATAAATTGAAAAACTTTCCTAATCTAGTACCATTGTCTCTCAAGAAAACAATTCCCAAAAGTGCACCATTATTTAATACTAACCTGGATTCTATTCTCACTACACAATGGTCAGAAAAGTATGGTCAACACCCTTACAACAACTCAGTATTTTTTAAAGGTCCATTATTAGCAATAAACCGATATAATGTTGCAGCAACTTCTCCGCCTAGTCTATTTAACCTGAACATTTACAAAACTTGTATAAAAACTATGCTCATCGATCAGCAAAATGAAAACATCGAAGACGATTGGCCTAATTTCATGTTATATTGTATAACAGGACTAAGAAAATCAAAGCGTAACATAAACCAAAATGCCGATAATAACCTTGTCTCTACATCTTAGATTATATGCACACACTTATGCATCACTCAATAAACGTCGCATATCTCATCAATTACACTGCCAACATAGGACATTCTTTTTTATCGCCGCGATTTCAAATCAAGTTACAAATTCTACAAATTTTGAAGTGCTCAGTCTTGTTTTACTTTTCTTATCTTTACCTATTAACCATTGGAAAATAAAACTTTAAATTATAAACCTTCATTGCATACTTTACCGGTAGAATCTAAATTGAATAGTTTGAGATTTCCTTTACATTTTATATTTATGCATGTGCCCCACGGGGATGAATTTCTTATTACCATTGATATTATATATATTTTTTGAGTAAACATTGGCTGGTACCACGGGCCAGTCCCCAACAAAAAAAAAAAAAAAAAATCTGTACTGGTGGTGAGAAGACACGCGCCAGGGAATTAGCTGCTAACCCTCCCCTTATCACGTGACTGACACGTGACACGTGACGTGTTATGACGTCACGACACGTGACTGACACGTGACCTGCCCTCATCACGTGACTGACACGTGACTAGCAATGTTACTTTATATCTGGCTTCTTTCTATCTTGGATGAAGAAATCTGTTCAAACAAGAATCGATTTGAGGCCGAGCAACATTGCCGTACAATGAATCTAGTATAATACACGATTGAGGTACGTGGTGTTTGCACATGCTGCTGCTTCTGCTGAAGTCTAGATTTCCGGAGAATGCTTTGATAAATTAAAAACCACCAAAATGTTACTCCCCGCCCCAGAGTTAAATTAGTATCCCTTTTAACCTCCCCAAAAGAAAGATTGTGAACTGAAGATTTTTAAAAGGGCCCTTTTTTAGCTAAAATGTAGAATAGAATTAGCTAATAAAGATTATAAGAAAGCAAAAACAGTTCAAACTAACATCTCTAACTCGAAGTGTCACGTGGTGCCCATATAAGGAGTGCACACCCCTCTATATCTATACAAATCATACCTTTTTAATATCGAAGAGGAAATCCATCATGACGAATATATGGTTAGGATCATCTTGTACGAGTCCGCTAGCCGCCATGTAGGTGCACCTGTTGTAGACCAATAAGAGGGAAGAAGTAATAATGGGAGCGATAGTATGATAAGGTAGGATATTTCAGTACAAGGAAGTTAGAAATACTGATAGGGAGAAAGTGAAGGACTATTCACTCAAATATTAATATAAACTCAAGTATTGCAAATAATTAACTGCTTGTCATATAGCCAACTACAGGTACCTACAGGTACCTACAGGTACCTACAGGTACCTACAAGTACCTACAGGTACCTACAAGTACTACTTACCCTAGAGCAGTTTTAATCTTCTCAATGTGCTTGTTATACTTGTCAATATTAAGGAGCTCGTCTATATCGGATATCAGCTCGTTTAAGATTCTAATACTCTCGTGACCTGAGTTTATGACAGTTTATAATAATGTAACGTGACGTCATCACAACACCACGTGACGTCATCACAACACCACGTGACGTCACCACAACACCACGTGACGTCACCACAACACCACGTGACGTCATCACAACACCACGTGACGTCATCACAACACCACGTGACGTCATCACAACACCACGTGACGGCATCACAACACCACGTGACGTCATCACAACACCACGTGACGTCATCACAACACTACGTGACGTCATCACAACACCACGTGACGTCATCACAACACCACGTGACGTCATCACAACACCACGTGACGTCATCACAACACCACGTGACGCTATTACAATTTGGCAGTTCCAAACTGCAATGCAATATAAAAATAGGGTAAAACACACGTTAACTTTTACTCCATCTGTTTACCATGTTTCCATTTAGCGTCAAAGAAGTCCTGAAAGTTAACGACGCTAGCAAAACACACAGCTACACTTTGGTGGTCTCGGTGATACGAACCACTGTTTTTAAGTTCCTGAGAGAATGTTAGTTAAACACTGGGCTGTTTCAGTAAACACAAAACCACGTGACGTCATCAAAATACCACGTGACATCATCACAGCATCACGTGACGTCCTTACAACACCACGTGACGTCATTAAAACATCACGTGACTTCATTAAATATTACGTGACGTCATAACAACACCACGTGACTTCATCAAATATTACGTGACGTCATTACAACAAGACGTCATAACAACACCACATGACGTTATCACAATACCACGTGACGTCATTAAAACACCACGTGACGTCATCACAACACCACGTGACGTCATTGCAACACCACGTGACGTCATCACAACACCACGTGACGTCACCACTTACTATTAGCACGTGACTGGGTATCAAATTCTCCAGGAGCCAGTAAGCCTGGTCTCGTAGCTTCCTGTGCAGCTCCTGATCTCGCTCAGCGTCAATACTCGAGCTGAAGTTGAGCCTGCGGGTTTAGTAACTGTGAAGCAGTAAAGAGCGGTGTGTGTAGTGTAGTAGTAATGAGTTTGTTATCTCTATTTGTAGATTACACTATTTCTATTGCAGTGGAGCCAATTGGAATGCCACAGGGGGCTCGGTGATCTATTCCTTCACCTGTTCATACTACCTACTTTTAGAACACTTATTATGAGACGTACAGGCAACGTTACGCCACTAGAACACTTATTATCAGGCGTACAGGCAACGTTACGCCACTAGAACACTTATTATCAGGCGTATAACAGGCAACGTTACGCCACTGTTTATCAGCTCTTAATCCTATCACAGAAGAATGTGCCTATAATTATATGGGTTAGGTCGAATAAGAATGAGCGGCGCATGAGGCCCCTAATTCAAGTGAAACCAAGCAACAAGGTAATGTGAAATATGGTCTTAAACTTTTAAACTTTAACAAGATGAACAAAATATTTGGGCAACAAGGACCAATTTTTAAACAGAATTTCTGTGGGTTTTCATGTTTATAGCTCACAAATTGCTATCAAGAAATCAGTCAAGTTAATGATGAGGGTTTTCCTCAAATTACATGTTTAGCTTATTATCATACCTTATTCGCAGTTCGAATGTTCGGATGACCATACAGACCAGCTTTAAGAAGAGAAACAATGATATCGGGATATCCCATATCTGGTACCCGCTAACTTCTTCTGTTAAAATAAATAATAATCAGTTATCAGTTAGACAATCAATTGGTGATTTCTTTCAAACCATCAATAAATTATTTTATAATTTATTTTAGAAATTGAGACTTCTGGACTCACCAACAATCAAATTAAAATGTTCAACCTTTTCGTTGACATAATATGGATTTAATCGTGTTTGTTAACAGTGGTAGCAACATTAAAATTCGTTAACCACAGAAAGAGCTCCCACTTAAGTAGAAAATAAATAAAAAGGAGGAGGAAGGAGGCGTGTACCTTTTGATTGTTTAGTATTGTAGCAAGATATAAAGGGTTGTGAAATACAGACAACAGCAGAAAGGCAGGCTGCTACTGCCAGCAGTAACGCTATCTTCATCAGACCTAGAATCTGAGGGAGGTTAGATTGAGAAATAGACAAATAAAAGATTGTTACACATATACCTGCCCAACAAATAAACCTCCCCACAGCTGTTATTTATATATATATTCTGGGTATTCTTATTTACATATATATTCTTGCCTAATTGATAAAATGTTTGAGGCGTGGCTATTCTGTTGGAGAAGGTATCTGATTTATTTACTGATGATTGATAAACTGTTATTGTTAACCACGTGTTATAGTTAACCACGTGTTATTGTTAACCACGTGTTATAGTTAACCACGTGTTATAGTTAACCACGTGTTGTTGTTAACCACGTGTTATAGTTAACCACGTGTTATAGTTAACCACGTGTTATAGTTAACCACGTGTTATAGTTAACCACGTGTTATTGTTAACCACGTGTTATAGTTAACCACGTGTTCTAGTTAACCACGTGTTATTGTTAACCACGTGTTATAGTTAACCACGTGTTATAGTTAACCACGTGTTATAGTTAACCACGTGTTATAGTTAACCACGTGTTATTGTTAACCACGTGTTATTGTTAACCACGTGTTCTAACACAGACCTGTAAGAAGTTGATGCCATGGAAAAGGGCTGCCAGATAAAGACAAATCAGAATATCAACATCTCCACAGTCTAAATTAGAGGATACCACTACACGGAGAGAGATCACCAAGAAAGGGAGCAATAACAGACCTGAAACAGTGGTTAGTAACGTCGACACAACAATTCGTTTTATCGAGTTTAGTTCAAATCATCTGTAATTTGTAAAACCTGCATAACTCTGTTAAGTATTCATGACGTCATAAAATCACCATATGACGTCACTTACCTGCGCTGATGATATTCCTTGGAATCCAAGGTACGCTGGGACGAGTAGTGCAGGATATTTTCCGTAACTTTTTGAGGTATACGAGGAGGGATAAGAGAAGGAGACATTCCAGAACAAGTGAGGAGATGAACCCTGCCAACCTGGATCAGGGAGAGTAGTATTACCTACTACTACTACTACTACTACTACTACTACTACTACTACTACTACTACTACTACTACTACTACTACTACTACTACTACTACTACTACTACTACTACTACTACTACTACTACTACTACTACTACTACTACTACTACTACTACTACTACTACTACTACTACTACTACTACTACTACTACTACTACTACTACTACTACTACTACTACTACTACTACTACTACGTTACTACTATTTGTTATAACAAATATGATATTATTAATGCTTTTCAATTTTCATACAAGTTACAACAAAGTCTTCATGTTATGAATCCTGGGTTTGGACATGATATTATTATGTAATCACTATGGTATTATTATTATTATACTATGGTATGATGATACAATTGCACCCACTTACCATATCTTATTGAGTGGTAAAGACAGGAGTATAACAGCCCCACAGCATGTTATACACATCAGTGAAATGAGCACGTCCGTTATGAAGCCCATCCCTGGAGTCTGATAATAAAATTAGTGTCACAATATCACGTGACGTCATCATGATATCACGTGACGTCATCATGATATCACGTGACGTCATCATGATATCACGTGAGTTTATGAAGAATGTGAAGTGTATTCTTAGGGAACACCAAACATATCAGAAATCCTCTGTGAGCTAAAACTAGGGTTTCTCTCGTTTTTATCTGGCAAATGAAATTACTTAAGTCATTTTATAACCACAAACTTATATTATGGAATATTCAAAATTGTGGTACATCAGTCTCAAAATAAAGGGGGCCAAAAGTTAGGAAACATATGTTGGATCTTATAACATAGACATGTTTCATATTTGGGACGTGTAACTTTGCAGATGTTGTAACTATCACGTTACCTTGTTAGCCCCCTCCGGATTCCCTTCAGTGCACTTCAACACGGTAGCCTGTCTGTAGAGCGCTTCCTTCTTGTTGTCATGGAACTGGAGAGTCAGCACGCTGAGGTTGTCGCGCGCACTGAACGCACTGCGCGACTTAGTGTGTTCTATTTGGGACATTACCTCTGTGTCCGTTACCTGGGGTGTACTTATGTTATGAACAAGATATAGATAGAAATGTAAGATGTCCTACATCAAACTAGGATGTGGTACACACAGTGTGCAGTGGTGAATGTTTAGAAGTTAGTGTTTAGTGAGTGTTTAGTGAGTGTTTAGTTAGTGTTTAGTGAGTGTTTAGTGAGTGTTTAGTAAGTGTTTAGTAAGTGTTTAGTGAGTGTTTAGTGAGTGTTTAGAAGTGAGTTTTTAGTGAGTGTTTAGTGAGTGTTTAGTGAGTGTTTAGTGAGTGTTTAGTGAGTGTTTAGTGAGTGTTTAGTGAGTGTTTAGTGAGTGTTTAGTGAGTGTTTAGTGAGTGTTTAGTGAGTGTTTATTGAGTGTTTAGTGAGTGTTTAGTGAGTTTTTAGTGAGTGTTTAGTGAGTATTTAGTGAGTGTTTAGTGAGTGTTTAGTGAGTGTTTAGTGAGTGTTTAGAAGTGAGTGTTAAGTGAGTGTTTAGTGAGTGTTTAGTGAGTGTTTAGTAAGTGTTTATTGAGTGTTTAGTGAGTATATATTAAGTGTTTAGTGAGTGTTTAGTGAGTGTTTAGTGAGTTTTTAGTGAGTGTTTAGTGAGTGTTTAGTGAGTGTTTAGTGAGTGTTTATTGAGCTTTTAGTGAGTATTTAGTGAGTATTTAGTGAGTATTTAGTGAGTATTTAGTGAGTGTTTAGTGAGTGTTTAGTGAGTATTTAGTGAGTGTTTAGTGAGTGTTTAGTGAGTGTTTAGTGAGTGTTTAGTGAGTGTTTAGTGAGTGTTTATTGAGTGTTTAGTGAGTGTTTAGTGAGTGTTTAGTGAGTTTTTAGTGAGTGTTTACTGTTTAGTGAGTGTTCAGAAGTGTGTGTGTTTAGTGAGTGTTTAGTGAATGTTTAGAAGTGAGTGTTTACCTTTCTGTCAGTACAAATAGCCTCACTGAAGCTAGTCCTCCCCTTTTGGAAGGAGCTCTTAGATTGTAGTGTTTCCTGTTTGTCGTCCGGGGACTTGAGATCGTATGACGTCACTGTAACATAAAGAGGTTTGTGACGTCACTGTGACACAAAGACCAGGCGATGCTACATATCACAGATGCGGTCCACTTAGGATGATTATACAATTAGGATAAAGTTAAAGTGTTTTGTCTGTTATAATAGCAAGCAGTGACTCGTTTTGTAAATATAAGCAGCTAAGCTAAGCAGCATATTACACATGCAATTGGCATCTGACACTCCATAAATAGTATAAAAACTTTAGCTTTTCATTCGCCTAGCTAATAAAAATCGCACAAAATTACACAGCATCAAACACAAGCTCACAACTAACACATGCTCACAACTCGTTAGCAAATAACATTTAATGGTGACAGAATCCAGCGGCGAATACAACATTTTATATTAATTCTTGTTCATTACTGCAGCAAGATAAGACTACTCCAACACAGGCAAATACAGCCCCCCCCTGCAAGTACAGCCCCCCTGCAAGTACAGCCCCCCTGCAAGTACAGCCCCCCTACAAGTACAGCCCCCCCCCCTACAAGTACAGCCCCCCCTACAAGTACAGCCCCCCCTACAAGTACAGCCCCCCCTACAAGTACAGCCCCCCCTGCAAGTACAGCCCCCCCCCCCCCCTACAAGTACAGCCCCCCCTACAAGTACAGCCCCCCTGCAAGTACAGCCCCCCCCTGCAAGTACAGCCCCCCTGCAAGTACAGCCCCCCTACAAGTACAGCCCCCCCCCCCCCCTGCAAGTACAGCCCCCCTACAAGTACAGCCCCCCTGCAAGTACAGCCCCCCTACAAGTACAGCCCCCCTGCAAGTACAGCCCCCCTACAAGTACAGCCCCCCTACAAGTACAGCCCCCCTGCAAGTACAGCCCCCCTGCAAGTACAGCCCCCCTACAAGTACAGCCCCCCTACAAGTACAGCCCCCCCTACAAGTACAGCCCCCCTGCAAGTACAGCCCCCCTACAAGTACAGCCCCCCCTACAAGTACAGCCCCCCTGCAAGTACAGCCCCCCTACAAGTACAGCCCCCCTGCAAGTACAGCCCCCCCTGCAAGTACAGCCCCCCTACAAGTACAGCCCCCCTGCAAGTACAGCCCCCCTACAAGTACAGCCCCCCTACAAGTACAGCCCCCCTGCAAGTACAGCCCCCCTGCAAGTACAGCCCCCCTACAAGTACAGCCCCCCTACAAGTACAGCCCCCCCTACAAGTACAGCCCCCCTGCAAGTACAGCCCCCCTACAAGTACAGCCCCCCCTACAAGTACAGCCCCCCTGCAAGTACAGCCCCCCTACAAGTACAGCCCCCCCTACAAGTACAGCCCCCCCTACAAGTACAGCCCCTTCCCCTGCAAGTACAGCCCCTTCCCCTGCAAGTAAAGCCCACTGCAAGTACAACCCCTTCCCGCTGCAAGTACAGCCCCAACCCCCCTGCAAGTACAGCCCCAACCCCCCTGCAAGTACAGCCCCAACCCCACTGCAAGTACAGCCCCAACCCCCCTGCAAGTACATCCCCAACCCCCCTGCAAGTACAGCCCCAACCCCCCTGCAAGTACAGCCCCAACCCCCCTGCAAGTAAAGCCCCAACCCCCCTGCAAGTAAAGCCCCAACCCCCCTGCAAGTACAGCCCCAACCCCCCTGCAAGTACAGCCCCAACCCCCCTGCAAGTACAGCCCCAACCCCACTGCAAGTACAGCCCCAACCCCCCTGCAAGTACATCCCCTTCCCCCTGCAAGTACAGCCCCAACCCCCTGCAAGTACAGCCCCAACCCCCCTGCAAGTAAAGCCCCAACCCCCCTGCAAGTACAGCCCCAACCCCCCTGCAAGTACAGCCCCAACCCCCCTGCAAGTAAAGCCCCAACCCCCCTGCAAGTACAGCCCCAACCCCCCTGCAAGTACAGCCCCAACCCCCCTGCAAGTAAAGCCCCAACCCCCCTGCAAGTAAAGCCCCAACCCCCCTGCAAGTACAGCCCCAACCCCCCTGCAAGTACAGCCCCAACCCCCCTGCAAGTACAGCCCCAACCCCACTGCAAGTACAGCCCAAACCCCCCCCCCCCCCCCTGCAACTACATTATAAACCTTGCTCCCCAACAAGGGCCATGCCCTCCTCTTTCATGTGCTCTGTCTCCGCTATGTCCGCTTTTGGTTCCTCCTTTACAGGAATGTCGGGTATTTCCGTTATTTTCTGAATTTCTGGCCGGCTGACCAAACTTTTAATCCGAGGTCGGATAAGACTCAAACTCTTTCCATATAGAGATAAAGGAATAACCTCGCTTTTAGAGCGCTTGTAGGTTTGTGGTGCGGGAGGCCCCTTTCTTAGGGCTGAAATTAGTAAGTAACAGAAAAACATGCTCTATACGCTAACGGTACAAAGTACTATAATTATTAAATAATTATAAGATTATCGCATGTTAAATAGCATGTTTACAACATAATAAAGGAAATTAATTTAACATTGTATCATAACTAAGTGCTTCTACATTTCAACAAATCGCCCATTACATAAACAGCCCATCATCGCTAATGCAGTTACACTGGTAAACATTGATTAGCAGGAATGGAGGAGGAACACCTAGATAAATACACAGGTAAACAAAATATCACGTGACGTCATCATGATATCACGTGACGTCATCATTATACTACTACTACTAGATAAACTCACAAGAGAAGGATTTGAGGCGAGAGAAATGCTCGTCGAAGGATTTGAGACTGCTGTGTCCTTCGCTGCTAGAGTAAAACCGGAGTTTAAAAGCACTCCGAGACTTTCCTTTGCGAGACGTGGGGTTAACCTGTGGATAAAGCCACGTTGAAAAGAAAATAATTTTCACTCACTAAATTTTGTGATGTTGTTTATATGAATAGAGCGTCTCTCAAATATCTAAAACAATGTTATCAAATATGCCTTTTAATCACGTAACGTCACACTCTTCCTCACGCGACGTCACACTCTCTCTCACGTGACGTCACACTCCCCGTCACGCGACGTCACACTCTCTCCCTCAAGCGACGTCACACTCTCTCTCACGCGAAGTCACACTCTCCCTCACGCGACGTCACACTCTCTCAAGCGACGTCATACTCTCCCTCACGCGACGTCACACTCTCTCTCACGCGACGTCACATTCTCCCTCACGCTATGACACACTCTCTCTCTCACGCGACGTCACACTCTCTCTCTCTAACGCGACGTCACACTCTCCCTCAAATGACGTCACACTCTCCCTCACACGACGTCACACTCTCCCTCACGCGACGTCACACTCTCCCTCACGCGACGTCACACTCTCTCACGCGACGTCACACACTCTCTCATTCGCGTGACGTCACACCTACCTTGGAATTAAGAGCGTCCTGTGTTCCTATGACGAAGTAAGTTCTTACTCCTTCCATATTGGGACACCTTGTGTACGCCAGTCCATCAGTCACAACAAACCTTGCCACGGTAATTATTTTAGTAATTATTTAAAAATCTATTGGATAATAATTTAGAAATCAATTAATTAATTAATCAGCAATTAATTAGTTAATTGGTCGAACTCTATGGCACTCTATGCTCGTTGTTATGTCACTCCCTTGTCTGTGAGAGTCTCTAAGTTTCGATGGAGAATGTTAGGACATATCTTAAGAGGACAGGAAGACTCACCAGCATACACCTCTATGTTATTTGCTATAAATTCTGATATTTTTATGGAAGGGAGACGGGGTAGACCATGTTTAAACTTATTAGATGTTATTAGAAAAGACTTGACTAGTAGAAATCTTGATATTAGACTTAAGAATTTGACTGATTTCGAAGACCTTAGATTTTTAGCTTTAGATAGGGAGGAGTGGAAGAAGTTAGAAGATGGTTGATGTTTTTTGTTTTCTTTTTTATGCGTTTTGATATCTATAAGGTGCCTAGGATGCTCTTTTAAAGAGATATTTCGTACTTTGAAAGATTTACTACTACTACTAATTGGTCGAACACCCGACGGCGGTGTGAGAAAAACATCCCCCTAACATTTTACTCGCAGCTCATATAAAGTGTAAAACTATTAGTGTCCAGCGTTTTATCTATTAAAATGTGCGGTCTACAGGCCTGTAACAAATTAGATCACATATTTGTAGTTATATACGCATATTGTTACTATACAATGTGGACTGTAGTCACAATATGAAACAACACAGATTTGTGAAACACAATATCTAGTTTATTGAAGTATTAAGATATAATACAAGATGTTTATCTTGTATGTAGGGTCTAGTTAGTCCTATAGAGGGTTACGTAGCATGTTGTTATGGTTACATAGCAGGACTCCACAAGTCAATGTTAATGAACCCTGCCAATGTCAGATCATTGTTAAGCTATCTTTATAAAGTAGCAATATCTCAGTGAACAAGACAGTGTATAAATATACAGTGTACTATAATATATATTATATATATATGATATATGTTATAGAACACTGTAAATATATCTGTCTAAGTTTTGTGGTAAACCTCTGACAGTGCCATTAGAGGTGCTAGATGGTTGTAGCACTCTAGCACATGTCAAACAGTGCAGCAATACAATCAGTAATAAGTAGTACTAGTAGTAGTACTAGTAGTAGTACTAGTAGTAGTAGTAGTAGTAGTACTAGTAGTAGTACTAGTAGTAGTACTAGTAGTAGTACTAGTAGTAGTACTAGTAGTAGTACTAGTAGTAGTACTAGTAGTAGTACTAGTAGTAGTACTAGTAGTAGTACTAGTAGTAGTAGTAGTAGTAATAATAACACACAATAAGAAGCCAATGAAACTGAAAAGGAGCCTGTGTTCCCTACGCAGTGGTCCCTATACTCTGCTGCACAAGTAGAGCTACACAAGTAGAGCTACACAAGGAGAGCTCCACAAGTAGAGCTACACAAGTAGAGCTACACAAGTAGAGCTACACAAGTAGAGCTACACAAGTAGAGCTACACAAGTAGAGCTACACAAGTAGAGCTGCACAAGTAGAGCTACACAAGTAGAGCTGCACAAGTAGAGCTGCACAAGTAGAGCTACACAAGTAGAGCTACACAAGTAGAGCTACACAAGTAGAGCTACACAAGTAGAGCTGCACAAGTAGAGCTACACAAGTAGAGCTACACAAGTAGAGCTACACAAGTAGAGCTACACAAGTAGAGCTACACAAGTAGAGCTACACAAGTAGAGCTACACAAGTAGAGCTGCACAAGTAGAGCTACACAAGAAGAGCTACACAAGTAGAGCTACACAAGTAGAGCTGCACAAGTAGAGCTGCACAAGTACAGCTACACAAGTAGAGCTGCACAAGTACAGCTACACAAGTAGAGCTACACAAGTAGAGCTGCACAAGTAGAGCTGCACAAGTAGAGCTGCACAAGTAGAGCTGCACAAGTAGAGCTGCACAAGTAGAGCTACACAAGTAGAGCTGCACAAGTAGAGCTGCACAAGTAGAGCTGCACAAGTAGAGCTGCACAAGTAGAGCTGCACAAGTAGAGCTACACAAGTAGAGCTACACAAGTAGAGCTGAGCTACACAACTAGAGCTACACAAGTAGAGCTACACAAGTAGAGCTACACAAGAAGAGCTACACAAGTAGAGCTGCACAAGTAGAGCTGCACAAGTAGAGCTACACAAGTAGAGCTGCACAAGTAGAGCTGCACAAGTAGAGCTGCACAAGTAGAGCTACACAAGTAGAGCTACACAAGTAGAGCTACACAAGTAGAGCTACACAAGTAGAGCTGCACAAGTAGAGCTACACAAGTAGAGCTACACAAGTAGAGCTACACAAGTAGAGCTACACAAGTAGAGCTACACAAGTAGAGCTACACAAGTAGAGCTACACAAGTAGAGCTGCACAAGTAGAGCTACACAAGAAGAGCTACACAAGTAGAGCTACACAAGTAGAGCTGCACAAGTAGAGCTGCACAAGTACAGCTACACAAGTAGAGCTGCACAAGTACAGCTACACAAGTAGAGCTACACAAGTAGAGCTGCACAAGTAGAGCTGCACAAGTAGAGCTGCACAAGTAGAGCTGCACAAGTAGAGCTGCACAAGTAGAGCTACACAAGTAGAGCTGCACAAGTAGAGCTGCACAAGTAGAGCTGCACAAGTAGAGCTGCACAAGTAGAGCTGCACAAGTAGAGCTACACAAGTAGAGCTACACAAGTAGAGCTGAGCTACACAACTAGAGCTACACAAGTAGAGCTACACAAGTAGAGCTACACAAGAAGAGCTACACAAGTAGAGCTGCACAAGTAGAGCTGCACAAGTAGAGCTACACAAGTAGAGCTGCACAAGTAGAGCTGCACAAGTAGAGCTGCACAAGTAGAGCTACACAAGTAGAGCTACACAAGTAGAGCTACACAAGTAGAGCTGAGCTACACAAGTAGAGCTACACAAGTAGAGCTACACAAGTAGAGCTACACAAGTAGAGCTACACAAGTAGAGCTACACAAGTAGAGCTGCACAAGTAGAGCTGCACAAGTAGAGCTACACAAGTAGAGCTGCACAAGTAGAGCTGCACAAGTAGAGCTGCACAAGTAGAGCTACACAAGTAGAGCTGCACAAGTAGAGCTACACAAGTAGAGCTACACAAGTAGAGCTACACAAGTAGAGCTCCACAAGTAGAGCTACACAAGTAGAGCTGCACAAGTAGAGCTGCACAAGTAGAGCTACACAAGTAGAGCTACACAAGTAGAGCTACACAAGTAGAGCTACACAAGTAGAGCTACACAAGTAGAGCTACACAAGTAGAGCTACACAAGTAGAGCTACACAAGTAGAGCTGCACAAGTAGAGCTGCACAAGTAGAGCTGCACAAGTAGAGCTGCACAAGTAGAGCTGCACAAGTAGAGCTGCACAAGTAGAGCTGCACAAGTAGAGCTGCACAAGTAGAGCTGCACAAGTAGAGCTGCACAAGTAGAGCTGCACAAGTAGAGCTGCACAAGTAGAGCTGCACAAGTAGAGCTGCACAAGTAGAGCTGCACAAGTAGAGCTGCACAAGTAGAGCTGCACAAGTAGAGCTGCACAAGTAGAGCTGCACAAGTAGAGCTGCACAAGTAGAGCTGCACAAGTAGAGCTGCACAAGTAGAGCTACACAGTACACAAGTAGATAACATTTAATTGCAAGCATGTGACTCACTTGTCCTTAATCAGCTGATAAGTGGCATCACTGATGTGTACTTTGCCGGGTAGTCCACAAGATTCCATCTCGTTAGCTTTTAGCACGTCATGTGACCAAACATCGAACCTGCAGTGAGACACACTAAACTCACTGATATCACGTGACATCATTTTATCTGGATACTTATTGTAACCGGCTAATTACACTGTTACAGAAGCCGAACAATTACAATTAGGCTAGAGATGGTTAATGGAGTGTATTTCATACTTTCTCCGCTGTCCGAGGAGAAACTACACAAATGTGTAATGTTGCAACCGAGGACAGAATCTTTAGTTCACTCCCTAAACTAGGCGTGGCTATTGTTATCTCTCGGATAGAAGATTATAACTTTATAACAAACCGTCAGACGACATTACGTAATGTCACAATTTTCTAATTTAACGGTGTCGTGTATGGTCATCACAACACCACGTGACGTGCTCACAACACCACGTGACGTCATCACAACACCACGTGACGTCATCACAACACCACGTGACGTCATCACAACACCACATAACCTCATCACAACACCACGTGACGTCACTATCCCTCACCTGAATCTCTTAATGCCCACCACACCGCACAGTACAGATCCTGTGTGTATCCCCACTCTTATTGATACGTCTAGATTAGTCTCGCTGTTTACATCCTCTATTGAGCCTAACATCTTCAGACCTGACACAGAGATTATTTAAAGTTACAGTTTTATCATTGATCACTTCACTTAAAGCTTTGTTAACTTGTAACTGAATAATTTTAGAAGTGTTATGACATGTTCACTGTTCAGTCCCTAACACTTGTGCTAGTTGCTATGCATGTAGGTGGTTACAAGCATACTGTTTTACTGGCACAATAAGCGCTACTTTACTCTAACAATATATAAATAAGTTTGTTAGGTCTGGACCAACACAACACAATATTGTCTGGTATATTGTTAGAAAAGAGGAAGGTTTGAAATTGTATCCCCTTAACAGACATGTGTCAACAGACTTACAAATTCAATTAATTGTAATTACTGTTAAAAAGGAGCTCTCACGTGTCGACACTTATAAAACTTAATCACGATAACCGTGTTGTTTGGCACCAAGTTATGTATCTAAAAGATACAGTTGTCATGGTAACAGTTGTCATGTTTACTAGAGGGCTACAGACACATCTTGTTATAGAATTATGGAGCATAACATCTTAATATATTATTTAGGTTACTTTTTAAATTTAACAACAACTATTAAATAAAAAAGAAAATGAGATAAAAGTTTAATATTACTATAATAATAGCAAATAACTTACTTAATCCTACAATTGCTGGAGCGTGGTTTCTCATTTTCTCGGGACATCCAGCCACACAATAATAACAGTCACCAAGTGTGGATATCTTAGTGCAGCCAGCCTCTGTTGTCTGCGGGTTATAGAGGGGAGATTATAGTGGGTATAGTAGAGGGGGGAGGTTGGGAGGGGGTGGGGAAGTGTGGATATCTTAGTGCAGCCAGCCTCTGTTGTCTGCAGGTTATAGAGGGGAGATTATAGTGGGTATAGTAGAGGGGTGGTGGAGGGGGAGGAGGGAGGGGGAGGGGGAGGGGGAGGGGGAGGGGGAGGTGGAGGGGGAGGGGGAGGGGGAGGGGGAGGGGGAGGTGGAGGGGGAGGGGGAGGGGGAGGGGGAGGGGGAGGGGGAGGGGGAGGGGGGAGGGGGAGGGGGAGGGGGGAGGGGGAGGGGGAGGGGGTGGAGTGTTGAGGGGGAGGGGGAGGGGGAGGGGGGGGTAGGGGGGTCAGCGGAGAGTGGAGACTGAAGAGACTATAACAGTTATTTGAGATAGCTCTACCAATTATTTACATAATAACGTTATGAACTCTGTGTTTTACATAATATCAGTCATGTGAAGGTTCAATGATTTGTACTGTCCACAGTAAGAACAACGCCCAAATCTAGGGCGTAAGTTAGTTTTGATAATTGGAGCTGCTATTTATACCTTCACAGACGTATGACGTAATCCTATGACGTAATACTATGACGTATCATGACTCAGATAAAATAGTAAATACTCATACTTATTCTATTTCTTACTTCTTTGGCTACATCCCAACAGTTTATTTAAAGGATATGTATTTTAAGCTATGTGGTCTAAGCGTGTACATTGGAATCCTTTCCGTGCCAAGAAGCCATACACCCTCTATATTAGTTTTACTTGTAGTTGTATTATTTTATAACAGGAAAATAAAACAGCTTACTTTCTAGTGGTGAGGGAAACTTAGTACTTACTGCTTAGTATCCGGCAGAATTTGAGCAACTACTATTTAATTGTTGAGCGATAAAAATAGTGACAAGTATTTGGTGAGGAATACTGACTGTTAGTGTTATTATGTGTTATGTGTTATGTGTATTACACTAACAGACTTATGTGTACTACACACTGACAGACTAAAGTAGAGCTAGTCTGACGGACTAGAGTAGAGCTAGTCTGACGGACTAGAGTAGAGCTAGTCTGACGGACTAGAGTAGAGCTAGTCTGACGGACTAGAGTAGAGCTAGTCTGACGGACTAGAGTAGAGCTAGTCTGACAGACACTACCTCAGAGCAATAATCACGTGTGATCTGGTTCACTTCACCTTATCTAGTGTCTACAACCTCTCAGTACACTTATTTTAGATCATGCTCTGCACAAAGCGTTACAGCGTTACAGCGTTACAGCGTTACAGCGTTACAGCGTTACAGGTACTAATACTAACGTAACCTCTCGGATTAGATAGTCTAAACGTAAAGTTTTGGTGGATCTAAATATGTAGTATTAGAGTATTAGTTAGTAATAATGCTGCATATTAATTTGGTAAACTCTGACTCTGTCTGTTAAAGTGAGGTATGTACATTATCCGAACTATTTCTGGAGATTTGTTAAGATGTATTCCGATCTATATATATACACTATACACGTGTATAAAGTAGAGCATTTGAAAACACTGTGAGGAGCTAGTTATGAGTGGTATATCTTACAATCCTAATCTGCTAATCAGTGCTGGCAATCACACTGCTAATGAGAAACAGGGATTCTCACCACAACTCCTCCTAGTTTATGTACGTGTTCAACTACTTCTATTCCGCATTCTACGTGTTCAAGAGAGGATTTTAAACAACTTTCACAAGTCAGGATAACCAGTGTTAATTCAATAATTGGAAATTTAAACCCAAACAGTTAGGTTAGGCAGAAGCAGCAGCTTGTTCTAGAGCAGGGACTAAAGAAGCTGAAGCAGGAGCATTTTGTTCTAGAGCGGGGACTTAAGGAGCTGGTTCAGGAGCGGGGACCACAGTTTTGAAGGTGGAGATGGGTTCGCTGGTCCAGAAGCTCGGGTGAGGTATTGAAGGACGGTTGGACAGGATGACCGGAGACCAATGAGCGTTGCAGGGGTCTAAGTGTCCCTTAACCGTGCCTTAAGTGTCCTCTAAGTGTCTCTTAAGACACTTAAGTGTCCATCAGCAGATTACCTAATTGCCATAATATAATGATGAAGGTTGAAGAACAATGCTCTGTGAGGACTAGAAATTCAAATTCCATCCCAATGAAGTTTTATTAATAATTCCAGACAAATGCTCTTGTCATCACTAACACTGGAGGTATAGGATAGCTCACCTCCTTCTCATTTCCATTGTCAGAAGAGTTTAAAGGTCTTTTAATATTAAAGATAGACCAAACGAGTTAGGTTTAAAATGTACTTTTAAACTCATAAATACATTTATATTCGCTTGGCGCGTTGACAACGTACTCTTCACGAAAATTAATCAAATTAGTCCTGGATTTTAAATTCTTTGCATAAATTCTTCACTCGCATTAAAAATGACCTAACCAAGAATATCAAGCTTTCAAATCGAACTAAACCATGAAGTTAGTTTGGTAAACTGAAATAAATTCCACTGAATCAAGGATCCAAGTAGTGGCACTGTGCACCATCAATCTGTCACGTGACGTCACACTCTCCCTCACGTGACGTCACACTCTCCCTCACGTGACGTCACACTCTCCCTCACGTGACGTCACACTCTCCCTCACTGAATCAAGGATCCAAGTAGTGACACTGACACTGTGCACAATCAATTAAAAACATACGAATTGTTTATATTTTCTTGTTTTATTTGTGAATGCTTTATTGCTGAAACCGTCCACCTCACTTGCATTACTTTAACGTATCTATTAATCTTATTTAACAAACCATTTAACACATTTAACAAAATATTAAAATATTAAATGTACACAACATGTGATTCAGAATGTGGGAGATTACCAATCTGTCACGTGACGTCACACTCTCCCTCACGTGACGTCACACTCTCCCTCACGTGACGTCACACTCTCCCTCACGTGACGTCACACTCTCCCTCACGTGACGTCACATTTAACACATTTAACAAGATATTAAAATATTAAATGTACATAACAGGTGATTCTGAATGCTGGAACTTACCAATCTGTCGAAACTATCACAGATAGTATTCAGCATAGATACTATCTCAATAGCACTGCGTGTGCTACTCATCTTGGTAAACCCCACTATATCAGCAAATAGAATGCTCACGTTGTTCAGGTAGTGCATCACCATCGGGCGGAATGGTACTCTGAGGTGATTACTAATTAGTTAGTTAATTAATTAATTGATTACTTAATGAAGTGACGATATCAGATGACTAAAGGATTGAAAAAAGGAAATCAGATAATTTTAAAGAAGAAACGGTACAAATTTGACTGAATTTAAACAATTAACGTACTCTTGAAATTGAGACTGGGTCTGTTCCATCTTAACAAGTTTGCTCCCAATACTGCTCGGCATTACGGAGTATATTATTCGCTCTTTCAGTTTTCTTTCTCTTCGCAGTTTCTCTTTTGCCATCGCCAACTTTGTTATATTGTATATCAGACACTCGCTGTGAGCCTGCAGACAATTCAATTGTTAGATTAGAGTACTGAGACATTATGACAACAGCCCCCCCCCCCTCCAGGATTATGAGAACAGCTCCCCCCCCCCCTCCAGGATTATGAGAACAGCTCCCCCTCCAGGATTATGAGAACAGCTCCCCCTCCAGGATGATGATAACAGCCCCCCCCTCCAGGATGATGATAACAGCCCCCCCTCCAGGATTATGAGAACAGCCCCCCCCTCCAGGATTATGAGAACAGCCCCCCCCTCCAGGATTATGAGAACAGCTCCCCCTCCAGGATGATGATAACAGCTCCCCCTCCAGGACTATGATAACAGCTCCCCCTCCAGGATTATGAGGACAGCTCCCCCTCCAGGATTATGATAACAGCTCCCCCTCCAGGATGATGATAACAGCTCCCCCTCCAGGACTATAAGAACAGCTCTCCCTCCAGGATTATGAGGACAGCTCCCCCTCCAGGACTATAAGAACAGCTCCCCCTCCAGGATTATGAGGACAGCTCCCCCTCCAGGACTATAAGAACAGCTCCCCCTCCAGGATTATGAGGACAGCTCCCCCTCCAGGATTATGAGGACAGCTCCCCCTCCAGGATTATGATAACAGCTCCCCCTCCAGGATTATGAGGACAGCTCCCCCTCCAGGATTATGAGGACAGCTCCCCCTCCAGGACTATAAGAACAGCTCCCCCTCCAGGACTATAAGAACAGCTCCCCCTCCAGGACTATAAGAACAGCTCCCCCTCCAGGACTATAAGAACAGCTCCCCCTCCAGGACTATAAGAACAGCTCCTCCTCCAGGATTATGATAACAGCTCCTCCTCCAGGATTATGAGAAGGTTTTATTCGCCAGAAAGTCAGATCTAATATGTTGGCTCCTGTATGATGTTTTAGATATAGTTTTTGTTCACGATCCAGTCATATTTTAGCAGCCAAATTATTTCACGCGTGATCGTGATTTCTACAATGAAAATATTTGGTGGATTCGTGTAGTGTTATTGAGTCTCATGATTTGATAGTTCTTTTATTCAAATTTCTGATTGTTTCTGAATAGACTCAGTGAAGACAGATTCTAATGGAAATAAATATCTGAATAACGTATCGACATTTCTACGTCATACTGATATTCTCAATTAATGTAATAGATTTGTAGTGTTGTAATTAGTTTTAAACTAATTACAACACTACAAATCTATTACATCGATAGGTTATTTCATTGTTATTTGAATAAAAGAACAATGAAAATATTGAGAAACTAATGACATTCCTTTTTGCAGCATTTATCCAGTTTCTCATAGGGAAACACTTTAATTTAACTTTTTTAGTAGGAATTCTTCCAACGTAAGAAATTATACTATATAATGTGTAACAAAGGATTATTTGGAAGTTTTAACAGAACAGAATATGAACAAATTAAGCGTTAAGTAAATATTAGAAAGAAATAACCACTATAACTTTATCAATAGCTAACTTCTAAAATAATATCTGACACAATCACAGTTTCGAAATGAACATGTCTATTATATATATTAACTAAGTTTACATTTCTCTCGCTTTACCAGAAATGACCCGACAGTTCCCTTTTAAAGTCTACTTCAGAAGCTAAAGTAGCTAAAACACCACGTGATGCCCAAATAAGGAGGTAACTTCTCACAGAAACTGAACTACTGAGGTTATCTCCATCCCTAACGGATATACCATAGAGGTCTGTGTATCAGAGTCCACTAGCTCTGTGTAGCTAGGTAACTCTGTCCGGGTCTGAGTGTGACTGGTCTGTGATATGATGTGGGTCTGGGTTTCCTTACAGTCAGAGGACATCTCGCCAGTAGTAGTAGTGAGGTAGGTCTGAGATTCTTTGTTCGACATTTTGAGACGAATTCCTTTTTTCCAGGTTAAATCACAAGTTAAAGAACAAGTTAAATCACAACTGAGAATAAAGAATGACAAAAACAAAGTGTCGTATAAACGATCATATGATAAACTATGCAAGTCATGACTCATGAGACTTATATCGCCATGTAGAACATTGCCAATAACAGTCTCGTGACGAACAAGATTAATAAAATGAGGTAATTAGTTTAAATTATTCACAACAGCTGAAATTAATGCTTGCTGACCAGTTTTAACGTTTAAGACATAATGCTTATACGATGTTTTGTAAAACGTCGTATTTTTTAAAAGAAAAAGAAGAAACAAAGTAACTTATTTTTTGGATTTGTTTCCTCATTCTTAGTTTGATGAAATTGTTAAGCGAAACCACTCTCTCCCTCACGTGACGTCACAATCTCCCTCATGTGAAGTCACACTCTCCCTCACGTGACGTCACACTCTCCCTCACGCAACGTCACACTCTCCCTCACGTGACGTCACACTCTCCCTCAAGTGACGTCACACTCTCCCTCACGTGACGTCACACTCTTCCTCAAGTGACGTCACACTCTCCCTCAAGTGACGTCACACTCTCCCTCACGTGACGTCACAAACTCCCTCACGTGACGTCACACTCTCCCTCACGCAACGTCACAATCTCCCTCACGTGATGTCACACACTGACCTGGTATTGCTGCGTGATATAGAGCCCAAGTGTGTGTGACAGGACTTGCAGAATAATCCTCGTAATAATTGTACTCATATCGTCTGATTTAATCTCACGCTCACTTGGCACTAACATGTAACACAGCTGAAATTATTTTAGATTATCGGTATCTTAGTTTTACTGTATCTGGTTTATACTTTATATAGTATAAAGTATATAAATATCAGTGATAAATCAGTTATTTCCAGCTGAAGACGAGCAACAAATGTTTTTAAAAGTTTCTACAAACTATCGTATCATTTTAATGAATGATATTGTTAATTGGGCCCGCCACCGATAGATCAGTCATGATACTGAATGTAAGTATGAGGCGTATAGTCCTATTATACTAGAACAGTTATTATTTATTTAATCTATTAAATGTTTTAGATGGAGTTGGTGTAAGACGTAAGTGAGTCTGGGGGTAGAACTATTACCTGTAATAGTGGGGGATATTACCTGTAATAGTGGGGGATATTACCTGTAATAGTGGGGGTAGAACTATTACCTGTAATAGTGGGGGGGGTATTACCTGTAATAGTGGGGGGTGGGGTATTACCTGTAATAGTGGGGGGGGTATTACCTGTAATAGTGGGGGGGGGGGGGTATTACCTGTAATAGTGGGGGGGTATTACCTGTAATAGTGGGGGATATTACCTGTAATAGTGGGGGGGGGGGGGGTGGGGTATTACCTGTAATAGTGGGGGTAGAACTATTACCTGTAATAGTGGGGGGTGGGGTATTACCTGTAATAGTGGGGGGGGGGTATTACCTGTAATAGTGGGGGGGTATTACCTGTAATAGTGGGGGTAGAACTATTACCTGTAATAGTGGGGGGTGGGGTATTACCTGTAATAGTGGGGGGGGGGGGTATTACCTGTAATAGTGGGGGGGGGGGGATTCTAATGGAAATAAATATCTGAATAACGTATCGACATTTCTACGTCATACTGATATTCTCAATTAATGTAATAGATTTGTAGTGTTGTAATTAGTTTTAAACTAATTACAACACTACAAATCTATTACATCGATAGGTTATTTCATTGTTATTTGAATAAAAGAACAATGAAAATATTGAGAAACTAATGACATTCCTTTTTGCAGCATTTATCCAGTTTCTCATAGGGAAACACTTTAATTTAACTTTTTTAGTAGGAATTCTTCCAACGTAAGAAATTATACTATATAATGTGTAACAAAGGATTATTTGGAAGTTTTAACAGAACAGAATATGAACAAATTAAGCGTTAAGTAAATATTAGAAAGAAATAACCACTATAACTTTATCAATAGCTAACTTCTAAAATAATATCTGACACAATCACAGTTTCGAAATGAACATGTCTATTATATATATTAACTAAGTTTACATTTCTCTCGCTTTACCAGAAATGACCCGACAGTTCCCTTTTAAAGTCTACTTCAGAAGCTAAAGTAGCTAAAACACCACGTGATGCCCAAATAAGGAGGTAACTTCTCACAGAAACTGAACTACTGAGGTTATCTCCATCCCTAACGGATATACCATAGAGGTCTGTGTATCAGAGTCCACTAGCTCTGTGTAGCTAGGTAACTCTGTCCGGGTCTGAGTGTGACTGGTCTGTGATATGATGTGGGTCTGGGTTTCCTTACAGTCAGAGGACATCTCGCCAGTAGTAGTAGTGAGGTAGGTCTGAGATTCTTTGTTCGACATTTTGAGACGAATTCCTTTTTTCCAGGTTAAATCACAAGTTAAAGAACAAGTTAAATCACAACTGAGAATAAAGAATGACAAAAACAAAGTGTCGTATAAACGATCATATGATAAACTATGCAAGTCATGACTCATGAGACTTATATCGCCATGTAGAACATTGCCAATAACAGTCTCGTGACGAACAAGATTAATAAAATGAGGTAATTAGTTTAAATTATTCACAACAGCTGAAATTAATGCTTGCTGACCAGTTTTAACGTTTAAGACATAATGCTTATACGATGTTTTGTAAAACGTCGTATTTTTTAAAAGAAAAAGAAGAAACAAAGTAACTTATTTTTTGGATTTGTTTCCTCATTCTTAGTTTGATGAAATTGTTAAGCGAAACCACTCTCTCCCTCACGTGACGTCACAATCTCCCTCATGTGAAGTCACACTCTCCCTCACGTGACGTCACACTCTCCCTCACGCAACGTCACACTCTCCCTCACGTGACGTCACACTCTCCCTCAAGTGACGTCACACTCTCCCTCACGTGACGTCACACTCTTCCTCAAGTGACGTCACACTCTCCCTCAAGTGACGTCACACTCTCCCTCACGTGACGTCACAAACTCCCTCACGTGACGTCACACTCTCCCTCACGCAACGTCACAATCTCCCTCACGTGATGTCACACACTGACCTGGTATTGCTGCGTGATATAGAGCCCAAGTGTGTGTGACAGGACTTGCAGAATAATCCTCGTAATAATTGTACTCATATCGTCTGATTTAATCTCACGCTCACTTGGCACTAACATGTAACACAGCTGAAATTATTTTAGATTATCGGTATCTTAGTTTTACTGTATCTGGTTTATACTTTATATAGTATAAAGTATATAAATATCAGTGATAAATCAGTTATTTCCAGCTGAAGACGAGCAACAAATGTTTTTAAAAGTTTCTACAAACTATCGTATCATTTTAATGAATGATATTGTTAATTGGGCCCGCCACCGATAGATCAGTCATGATACTGAATGTAAGTATGAGCGTATAGTCCTATTATACTAGAACAGTTTTATTTAATCTATTAAATGTTTTAGATGGAGTTGGTGTAAGACGTAAGTGAGTCTGGGGGTAGAACTATTACCTGTAATAGTGGGGGATATTACCTGTAATAGTGGGGGATATTACCTGTAATAGTGGGGGTAGAACTATTACCTGTAATAGTGGGGGGGGTATTACCTGTAATAGTGGGGGGTGGGGTATTACCTGTAATAGTGGGGGGGGTATTACCTGTAATAGTGGGGGGGGGGGGGGTATTACCTGTAATAGTGGGGGGGTATTACCTGTAATAGTGGGGGATATTACCTGTAATAGTGGGGGGGGGGGGTGGGGTATTACCTGTAATAGTGGGGGTAGAACTATTACCTGTAATAGTGGGGGGTGGGGTATTACCTGTAATAGTGGGGGGGGGGGTATTACCTGTAATAGTGGGGGGGTATTACCTGTAATAGTGGGGGTAGAACTATTACCTGTAATAGTGGGGGGTGGGGTATTACCTGTAATAGTGGGGGGGGGGTATTACCTGTAATAGTGGGGGGGGGGGTATTACCTGTAATATGTATATCTCCAGAACTTGTACCACTTACCCATGCTTTTAGTATTATGGTCTCTTAAAGAAAACCCTCGCCCAAGGTAATGCCTCATGATGTCGATTCTTTTTATGTTCATTGCTGCACGTATTGTACTATTTGTAAAAGTTTCTAATAAAATCAAATCATGTGTATTACAGGTAAAAGTGTCCAATAATTTCCTTCTCTGTGATCATTATTAGCACCTGATGTACTAACCTCGAATAAGATGGTGTAGGAAACAGCTATAACCACTGTAGCGGTACTGGGCAACGGCAGGACTGTGTACAGTAATACTAACACCTGTAATCAACATATTTAATATACATATTTAATTGGTTTTTATTAAACTTTTAAACTTTTAAATAATCGCATATATATTAGGTTTAATCGTTATGTTAATGTGTAAAAGTGAGCTCGTCAGGTTATATTAATTACCGTGGTGCAAGAAGCGTAGAGAGTTGGTTCAGTGTAACTTCTCCTTACGGCGAACTGTGAGAGGGAGGCAACACACAGCACACACGCATACACCACTGTTATAGTCACCTGAAATTTATTTTATTATTTCACTTCATCAAGAAGATCGTTTTCATATTACTACAAATATATTAATGCTGATGAGTAAAGTTGTAATCTACCTCTGCAACGAATACAGGTCTTGTCTCTTTCGTAGACATGCGGCGTATAACAATATTTGAGCAGAAATAATTCAGTAATATTACTAAATATATGAGCATGGCTTTCTCACAGAACTTTCTTCTCTAATGGACAAATATTCAATAGTGATCTGCGGTACAGACATGCAAATTTTAATCTTCAAATGAAAGCACCAAAATAGCTGTCAGCGGCCCAATTTCTGGTATATTTTTGATTAATCCACACTCAGATCACGGATACGCCAATTCATCAGTAAGTTTGATTAGGTCGACAAGATTACCATTCACTACACACGACTAGAGATATCAGGTCCATTTACCAGCTTCATCTAGGTGCAACTGCAGAAGTGACCTAGATAGAACATTTGTGGAGTGGTAATGTAGAAAATAAGACAACATTGGAGAGGGTGAGAGTTAAGAACCTGGTGCTTGTGGTAGACTTTAAAGTGGGTGATAGTAAGGATAGCTGTTGTAACCAGAGCCAGGAGGATCACAATACCAAGACAGGCTGCTTCTCTCTGCTTCACCATCAGGCTTATAAACACTACCTGGGTATAATGTAAGTGGAACACGGATAAACAGTTTATCGGCAATAGATTTGTTATAAATGTCATAATAGTTTTGATGTGCATTAATTGATTAATGAAAATTACACTGCACAGAATGATAATATTTAAACACACCACATTGCACAGGATGACGTATTTTAATCCTTCCTTGAAGGTGCTGAGTAGGAAGAAGTTCAGCACATCCCGACATCTCTTACTTGCAGTGACCCTGCTGTAATTGATACGAGCAGAGCTCTCCTGCTTTTTCAGATCGTGTGTCAGATACTGTGACACCTGGGGCACATTTATTATGGTATACTAAAAACTGGAATAAATGCATTATTTCGTTGTTATTACTGAACAGATACAGGGAGATGTAGTCTGTACTAGGACTTCAACTCCCTGGGGAAAGGGGGTTTGAATTTCAAATTCATTTTTTAAGGCTTGTTACCATGGTGCACAAAATATTTCTAACGAAATTCCTGAGATTGTTGCCACTTAGCAATTTAGTAGCCGAAACATGATTTTTTGCCATGATTCTACATATTAACCTTCAATATTTTTGTGTGCATATTTTGACCATAAGCAGTTAATAAAGAAATGCTCCTCAAACACGGAAGGTGCTTGAAACATATAAAATTGTACAATTCTGAATCAAACCTCTTCATCTACACTGATTCCTTTTTCAAGCTGCTTAAAGAAGTTGTTCTGTACCCCATTGCGAGGCTTTGCTCCGTCTTCTCCGAATATTGAGCATTGTTTCAGCTCAATTCGGAACTCTCCTTTGTCTTTATTTTCAACATTTTCATATCCGTTTGAGTGTGGTATGGAAGATGATAGAGTAGACCACCATTTCATTCTTAGGGCAATAGTCGATTTATTCATGGTTGTTCAAAATTTCATTCTGCAAGACACTGATAACAATTAATCTTTATTATTAGATTCTGCTACACTATTGCTCACAAAAAAGTGGGGTAGTCATTACACCAGCTAAAATTTCATATGGACACGTATGATAAGGGCGTCACTCTGCAATATCTTCAATGGTTGTTTATAAAGACAAAAACCTGAGGTCCGCAGTTAATAAAGGGTGTAGGGATCAGTGATGTAACGGAAGGCCCCGCCGACACCCCTGTGCAGGGGGGGGGGGCGCAATCTTAGGGGGGCGCCAAATCGTCGTTTGAATGTGGGACAATTTCGAAAAACTTAACTACGGTGCTAGCAAAACACACTTTTTTAGAGATTTTACCGGCGTATCCTCTAAAATCATCTAATTTGTTCAATTTTAGGTAGGGGCGCCAAAAGGGGAGGGGGCAGCAGGGGGTGCCTACAGGCAACGTTACACCACTGGTAGGAATTAATAAGGTTAATGTTAAATTTTTTATCGTTTTCTTCTGAAGGCTACCATATGGAAATTTACAAATAAGTCACCTCAATCTTTAATAGTTTATTAAATATCAGTTTAAAAATAGATATATATCATTTTATCTGGTTCTAATAATGGTTTATCTGGTCTTATTAATGGTTTGACCGAGTACGGCTCAGACTTGTTCAAAGTGAGCAGATCTGGTCTTAATCTTGTATCATCCAACAGATGTTGTAAGAGTATGGCAAAGATTAGGAATCTCCAAAGTTCATTTCTTCCAGAGCGAGTTATTCCTTACTGGAACAAACTCCCTCCAGATGTTAAGAACTCGGTGAATGTTTTAAGTTTTAAGATTAAATTAGAAGGGTTTAAGAAAGATATGATTTCTAAGGATATTTCTAATGATTCACAATTTTGGAATGTTTCAAATGAAGTATTAGGGAGAATTGAAGCCTGAAGGACCTAGTTATGTTAGTAATAAAGAGACCACCCTTTTGTGGCAAAAAAGCGTTTTATAAATCTTTATTCCACTGGGAAGTATGAATAGGGTTATATCTTTTGGGGATGCTTTTTTTGAATTTATATGAAATTTTTTAATAAAGTTGTAGTTAATAATTTATTAATTTTGGTGGTAAGATATTTATATTTTGCCATATAGTGATTTGATACTTTTTAGACATGTGTGATGATGTTATGTCATAATTTTTACTTTACTTACTTTACTTCACTTTAATGTACCGTTACAATAATGACTTCAACATATAATCTTTTAACACAATATATGAAAGCAAGTCAATTAATTCATGTTATGGTTTTTAAATTTCTATAATTTGCCTACTGTATTATCATACACTACAAAAGTGCAGGCGAGTAATAACATTTACGCATCTTCATGAAGCATGAAGATAGCTTTGTCACACCAATAAGATAAGTAAACATATACGAATTACCTGGCAGCGCACGCCAATCCCTGTGCACGGTTCTTTTACTAGCTTCCAGTACAATACGGCTCTTACTAATTCGCTCGCCCAAAAATTATCAGCCCTAATCCATAATCAATCAAATTTGTTTTTTACTAGCCTGTCACGTGACCAAAACAGTTTTTTGCCCATAACTTTCCAGGGAAGCATTTTTATACACTACGTCATGCATGGGGAGTTCACCTAACCATGTGCTTTCGCGCCACTGCGGGCGCGCTTGTTTCACAACAAGGCGGGCGCGCGCTACTGCAAGCGCAAGGGCTCTGGATAGAGCAACATGCAATGGGGAGTGATTCGGAATTAGCGTCCAAAAATACATCGAACTAGATTACTTTTAAACTATAAACCTTCAGGGCCTTTCTACAAGAATTTTCTTAAAATTTTGGCGAGCGATTTAGTTGGAGCGATCATTTTACATAAGCATCTAAATTAAAAAATGCAAGACTATCGCGCGCGCACGCGTATGACAAAAATTGTTTTTCGTTCAAGACATTTCGCGCCAGCCCAAACCATTAACAATGGTCAACACTCAGCCTGTCATTCGGCCACCATAATTTCAGTTTCATGATCAATTATGTTTATCAAAATAGCTTAATATAAGGTCCCAGTCTGGCTATAATTAAGGACATCGTCGTTTTGACGTGAGCGCGCATTGCCACGAGCTTGCTTCGCTTCGAAATGACAACAAAGCTTTCAGCTTTGCCCTTTTGGCTAAAAAGTTTGCATCGTCAATTAACAAAGTGAAGTTGCTATATCCGAAGCCCTTGCGCTTGCAGTGGCGGTAAAAATGACTTTTCTTTATTTGTGAAGCAAGCAAGCCCGCAGTGGCACAAAAACTTATGATCATGATTAAGTGAAAAAGTAACGCTTACTGGGTAAAATGTATATTAATTTACTATAAATTAGGTAATTAAACCTAACATAATTAATTTTCAGTTGTGATACTCGAGTTCTAATGAACTAAATAACAATATATTTCAATTATTTTTGAAAAAATGTTTAACTAGAACTATATTCAAAAATTTTTTACAAACAATCACAACAATTTTTTCACATGTTGTGCAAGAGTGCACGGCTGTATCGTGGCTTTCGCTAGGATACTAGTGAAACTCCACTTAGTGAAATTTAACGGGTGATACTCGTAAAATATCTGTTCCATATATTGGGACCGTCGACGAGTCCAACTCGGCGCGCGTCCTGGTAGGTTGTAAACCTACAAAGTGAAACGAAAATGGGGATCACGACGTGATACAGCAAAAAGTTAAGTTGAAATTTGTTAGCAAGATATTTTATTAATTTACTTTCCAGGTTTTCCGGATATGTTTGTTCAATTCCAGTACCTTGATAGGCGATAGCAACTTGTTTCACTCTCGCTAATCTCATTGATTGGTCACTGACCAAAAATTCAGTCAAAACCCGCGAAATTGCAGACAAGGAGACGGCAGAAATGCTTCTCCTCAAAAATGTTCAAAAATGTTTTCTTCTATTCAGATGATTTTCCGTTTATCAAAGCTTTCTTTGAGAATAGAACTTTCAGTACTTCAATCGTGTCTTGTGTCATCCTCAGTGACCTAAGACCCTGTTAGATGATCATTCAAGAAAAATTCAGTTAAAACAGCGAAATTTGGGTCACCGAAAGATGAAATTTGAAAATGTCCTACCGATAGGAAATTTTCATGATTTTCATTCTATCAAAGCTCCGTCCGGATTGTATGGACAGACTTGATTTAAATTGACATTATTAGTGAGCCTCTAGCATCCAACTGTTATCCCTCTTAATACCGTCTGATAAGGTTACCTGTTAAGGGGTATACACCAAAACAGGGGTTTGTGTCGGCAAACCCAAATGATCTCACAGGAAGTTTAGTGACCGTCTAGCGCACCGTTTCCAAAATTTGTTTGGAGAACATTTATTTCTGTATGCATGTAAAATCTTAATATCGTATTATTAATATATCTGAAAAGGCTGAGTTTTTATGAATTTTTAAGTCATCAAGTAATAATTTTACTTTTCAGGCTTGTTTTGACCAAAAAGTCCATCAAGGAACATCAGATTGTTTAGATGCTTAACATGAAATTATTCTCTGAATCCTGGCGCAATTTTTGATGCCCTCAAAAATGTGTTTATTCATCTGAAAAGTTGATCTTTTGCTCCTCAATGTCAAACAACAAATAGGCATAGTTTTCGTTTTTCATTTTTACAGATTTAAAATCAGATCTTAAATTTCGATAGGAATGTGCTAGAGACTTTTGGAAGTGTGCAAAATAACCGCAACTAGCATATTTATTTGTGAGTTATGAATATAAATACACCCTTAAATGCTGCATTTTAAAGTTATGATAGAAAATGTGATTTTTTATCTGTGAAATCACATTTTCTGCACAATATTATCTCCCTCTTATTTAACTATTTGATAGGTACATGTCTGGTAGAAGTTATGAAGTCGACTATTTTGGAAATGTGTTAGTGAACAAGTTCTGTTCTGATGCGGCTCTTCACTGGGCGGCTAGAGACTTGGCTTGTAAAGTCACTGCCAGGTTAGTAAGCTAGAGACTTGGCTTGTAAAGTCACTCCCAGGTTAGTAAGCTAGAGACTTGGCTTGTAAAGTCACTCCAAGGTTAGTAAGCTAGAGACTTGGCTTGTAAAGTCACTCCCAGGTTAGTAAGCTAGAGACTTGGCTTGTAAAGTCACTCCCAGGTTAGTAAGCTAGAGACTTGGCTTGTAAAGTCACTCCAAGGTTAGTAAGCTAGAGACTTGGCTTGTAAAGTCACTCCAAGGTTAGTAAGCTAGAGACTTGGCTTGTAAAGTCACTCCCAGGTTAGTAAGCTAGAGACTTGGCTTGTAAAGTCACTCCAAGGTTAGTAAGCTAGAGACTTGGCTTGTAAAGTCACTGCCAGGTTAGTAAGCTAGAGACTTGGCTTGTAAAGTCACTGCCAGGTTAGTAAGCTAGAGACTTGGCTTGTAAAGTCACTGCCAGGTTAGTAAGCTAGAGACTTGGCTTGTAAAGTCACTCCCAGGTTAGTATGCTAGAGACTTGGCTTGTAAAGTCACTCCCAGGTTAGTAAGCTAGAGACTTGGCTTGTAAAGTCACTCCCAGGTTAGTAAGTTAGAGACTTGGCTTGTAAAGTCACTCCCAGGTTAGTAAGCTAGAGACTTGGCTTGTAAAGTCTCTCCCAGGTTAGTAAGCTAGAGACTTAGCTTGTAAAGTCACTCCAAGGTTAGTAAGCTAGAGACTTGGCTTGTAAAGTCGCTGCCAGGTTAGTAAGCTAGAGACTTGGCTTGTAAAGTCACTCCCAGGTTAGTAAGCTAGAGACTTGGCTTGTAAAGTCACTCCCAGGTTAGTAAGCTAGAGACTTGGCTTGTAAAGTCACTGCCAGGTTAGTAAGCTAGAGACTTGGCTTGTAAAGTCACTGCCAGGTTAGTAAGCTAGAGACTTGGCTTGTAAAGTCACTGCCAGGTTAGTAAGCTAGAGACTTGGCTTGTAAAGTCACTCCCAGGTTAGTAAGCTAGAGACTTGGCTTGTAAAGTCACTCCCAGCCCCCAGGTTAGTAAGCTAGAGACTTGGCTTGTAAAGTCACTGCCAGGTTAGTAAGCTAGAGACTTGGCTTGTAAAGTCACTGCTAGGTTAGTAAGCTAGAGACTTGGCTTGTAAAGTCACTCCAAGGTTAGTAAGCTAGAGACTTGGCTTGTAAAGTCACTCCCAGGTTAGTAAGCTAGAGACTTGGCTTGTAAAGTCACTGCAGCTAAATTTACTTTACTCTGTATTAAGAACCGTAATCCACCTAAAAGATTTTCCAACACCATTTTTAGGGGTTCAAATCCCAAATACCCTTATTTCCATTCGTGCAGTCTGGCGAAATTTTTGGTTATTTGCTTGGGATGAAACCTTTTATCCAATCTATTAAACAACTGCTGAGAAAGTAACAACTACTGAGATTAACAAGTAGTTAACAATAACTTGTAAACTTCAGGAGGATTAACGTTGCAATTCACAACTGTTCCATTAACTTGCTGAGTGAGACGGGTCTTATAAAAGGTTAGTTTAGTATCTCATCTACATACCACGTCACATTTATAATTCATTCAATTAGTATTAGTTATAACTAGCAGGAACCCGTATAACCCTAAAATGGTGTCAAGACTCAAGAGACTAAAATAATTATTACCTATTTAATTCGCGTTTTTGACACCATTTGGGGGTCCAAATTTTGGGCTCTAAAACTCCTATTTCTTGGCCAATTTTTTATTTTTTCATGCTGATTTGAAAAGCATAAAAGCATTTGACCCAGTCAAAAAAGTTTCAGTTTTATATCTTTTACGGTTTTTGCGGAAAGTCGCGTTAAAGTTGATGCCGTGGTGTCAGTAAAATGGCACGGATCCATATATATATATCGTCTCGCTTTATATATAGTAAGATTACAATTAATTATTATAATTACTGTCAGGTATACCCTTCTCGTTCCAGTCCCCCTACTCCTTTAACGCCGCGCCTCTAGACTACTCCTCCTCCTCTCTCCTCTACATCACTGAGCTCTCTCTACAGTCCCTCAAACTTATCTGCCATGTATTCCTTGTTAACTCTCATAAACAGGTAACTGTTGTCAGCTATTGTATTGAGTCAGTGGCAGACTTTGCTACAGTATTGTAGAAAGTAAAATGTTGGAATATCACATACAGTATTTAGATAACCTGTTAATGTACTTCTTCAAACAGGCATCAACCCTGAAGGAAGATATCGGATTGCTGAAGGAGGGTTCTCTTCACGCTAAGCAGCGAAGTAAGTTCTCACTATCTTAAGTTAGGGTTATTATACGGAGAAGGAAATACGGGGTAAATACAATATAATATTAAATAATCTTATGATTACTGTGAAAACAGTGTTAAAAGAACTGGTGCACCACTCTTTATGACCCTCAATACTTCTTTTTGAGAGTCAGCTTAGTTGTTGTTTCAGAAATTAGTATTTGCTATTCAAAGAAATAAAGATTAAGAGCAGATAAATTGAACTGGTTGAATAACTTCCTTTCTTTTATGATATCCGGTATGATATTCTAAAACGGTTCACGTTATCTCTCTGTAATCTGCATCATGCACCAATACCCTGTGTAATATAAGGTGTCTAGAATTAGTGGCTACATTACAGGTACACAATAGGTATTACATTACACACCTTATCTACTTCACATGTGAATATATTTAGACCTTCTTAGTAAGTACTGGGTAATGCTGGGGTAACGTAAAACTGGGTAATGCTGGGGTAACGTATAACTGGGTAATGCTGGGGTAACGTAAAACTGGGTAATGCTGGGGTAACGTATAACTGGGTAATGCTGGGGTAACGTATAACTGGGTAATGCTGGGGTAACGTAAAACTGGGTAATGCTGAGGTAACGTATAACTGGGTAATGCTGGGGTAATGTATAACTGGGTAATGCTGGGGTAATGTATAACTGGGTAATGCTGGGGTAACGTATAACTGGGTAATGCTGGGGCAACGTATAACTGGGTAATGCTGGGGTAACGTATAACTGGGTAATGCTGGGGTAACGTATAACTGGGTAATGCTGGGGTAACGTAAAACTGGGTAATGCTGGGGTAACGTAAAACTGGGTAATGCTGGGGTAACGTATAACTGGATAATGCTGGGGTAACGTATAACTGGATAATGCTGGGGTAACGTATAACTGGGTAATGCTGGGGTAACATATAACTGGGTAATGCTGGGGTAACGTATAACTGGGTAATGCTGGGGTAACGTATAACTGGGTAATACTGGGGTAACGTATAACTGGGTAATTCTGGGGTAACTTATAACTGGGTAATGCTGGGGTAACGTATAACTGGGTAATGCTGGGGTAACGTATAACTGGATAATGCTGGGGTAACGTATAACTGGGTAATGCTGGGGTAACGTATAACTGGGTATTGGGTAATGCTGGGGTAACGTATAACTGGGGGTGACTGATTTAGTTTTTTGATAGTTTAAAACGGAAAAATGTTATTAATTTCTGTTATTTTTTCAGAAATAAGAAGTATAAATGAAGGATTTGTAGCATTACTCATTTTCCTGATTTTTCTCTAAAAACTTTTTATTACATATATATATAACAGTGCCTTGGTTCTCAAAATATACATTTACTTTTCGTTCCATTTCATTTATAGTTATTATATAATCCCTATAATGAGCTAGTATCACTCATAATAATACACATATAATACACATATAATACACATATAATACACATATAATATACTAAAATACTAATTAATACACATATAATACACTAATTAATACACTAATTAATACACTAATTAATACACTAATTAATACACTAATTAATACACTAATTAATACACTAATACCCCCTCAGCACTACAAAGACAGGTAACAGAAACACTGGAAAGACAGGCCAGTACAGCTCCCCCTACAACTCATGTTCGCTTATCAAGACACAGACGATCATTATCTGCTGACAGACTTCCTTCTAACTTGAAGGTTATTAGTTAATTAATTAGAGGACATACCCCCTCCCCCTCTAATTAGGGGACATACTCCCTCCCCTCTAATTAGGGGACATACTCCCTCCCCCTCTAATTAGGGGACATACTCCCTCCCCCTCTAATTAGAGGACATACTCCCTCCCCCTCTAATTAGGGGAGATACCCCTCCCCCTTTAATTAGGGGACATACTCCCTCCCCCTCTAATTAGAGGACATACTCCCTCCCCCTCTAATTAGGGGACATACCCCCTCCCCCTCTAATTAGGAGACATACCCCCTCCCTTCTAATTAGGGGACATACCCCCTCCCTTCTAATTAGGGGACATACCCCCTCCCCCTCTAATTAGAGGACATACCCCCTCCCTTCTAATTAGGGGACATACCCCCTCCCTTCTAATTAGGGGACATACTCCCTCCCCCTCTAATTAGGGAACATACTCCCTCCCCCTCTAATTAGGGGAGATACTCCTTCCCCCTCTAATTAGGGGACATACCCCCTCCCTTCTAATTAGGGGACATACCCCCTCCCTTCTAATTAGGGGACATACCCCCTCCCCCTCTAATTAGAGGGCATACTCCCTCCCCCTCTAATTAGAGGACATACCCCCTCCCCCTCTAATTAGGGGAGATACTCCTCCCCCCTCTAATTAGGGGACATACTCCCTCCCCCTCTAATTAGGGGACATACCCCCTCCCCCTGTAATTAGGGGACATACCCCCTCCCCCTCTAATTAGAGGACATACCCCTTCCCCCTCTAATTAGAGGACATACCCCCTCCCCCTCTAATTAGGGGACATACCCCCTCCCCCTCTAATTAGAGGACATACTCCCTCCCCCTCTAATTAGGGGACATACCCCCTCCTCCTCTAATTAGAGGACATACTCCCTCCCCCTCTAATTAGGGGACATACCCCCTCCCCCTCTAATTAGAGGACATACTCCCTCCCTCTCTAATTAGGGGACATACTCCCTCCCCCTCTAATTAGAGGACATACTCCCTCCCCCTCTAATTAGGGGACATACCCCTTCCCCTCTAATTAGGGGACATACCCCCTCCCCCTCTAATTAGGGGACATACTCCCTCCCCCTCTAATTAGGGGACATACCCCCTCCCCCTCTAATTAGGGGAGATACTCCTTCCCCCTCTAATTAGGGGACATACCCCTCCCCCTCTAATTAGAGGACATACTCCCTCCCCCTCTAATTAGGGGACATACCCCCTCCCCCTCTAATTAGGGGACATACTCCCTCCCCCTCTAATTAGGGGACATACCCCCTCCCCCTCTAATTAGGGGACATACCCCCTCCCCCTCTAATTAGGGGACATACCCCCTCCCCCTCTAATTAGGGAACATACTCCCTCCCCTCTAATGAGGGGACATACTCCCCCCTCTAATGCGGGGACATACCCCCTCCCCCTCTAATTAGGGGACATACCCCCTCCCCCTCTAATTAGGGGACATACTCCCTCCCCCTCTAATTAGGGGACATACCCCTCCCCCTCTAATTAGAGGACATACCCCCTCCCTCTCTAATTAGGGGACATACCCCCTCCCCTCTAATTAGGGAACATACTCCCTCCCCCTCTAATTAGAGGACATGTCACCCCTCCCCCTCTAATTAGGGGACATGTCACCCCTCCCCCTCTAATTAGGGGACATACTCCCTCCCCCTCTAATTAGGGGACATACCCCTCCCCCTCTAATTAGGGGACATACCCCCTCCCCCTCTAATTAGGGGACATACCCCTCCCCCTCTAATTAGAGGACATACCCCCTCCTCCTCTAATTAGGGGACATACCCCCTCCCCCTCTAATCAGGGGACTCCTTTTAAAATAGGGTGATTCTAAGGAAGGTATAAGGAATAAATATGTTCTCTGTTCTCAGATTTGAGAAGGTAGTTTGATAGGGTGATTCTCCCAGATTGCTAAATATAATTAAATAAAAGAGTTGAAAATAAAAGAGTAATATACAGGGTGGCCCAGAAGTAACACCCTGTATATAATAATAATAAAATATCTAAATGAACATTACCAGGTTCCGGACGATAAGTTCAGGAGATCTTCTGAAGATAAGAAGCGGGGCTCAGAGCCGGACTATGCTAAACTCCGTCAGCGCCGGAAAAGTACGCCTATCAAATGTAGAGAGATTTACCATGTGAGTCATTATTTTACAGTTGGTTGTTAAAAATGGTTTTTAAGACCACAGCTCCAAAAAAGTGTTGTTTCCGGCAGGATTTATTAGTAACGATACAATTTTCAGGCAGCCCATGATATGAGCACGCGCCAGATGATAGCTATCGCTCGTTTTCAGTTAGTTTTGTAGTGTTCTTCGCGCAGCCTCATGGTTTATCGGCGCGCGCACATTTCTCTTGTCATGAAATACAGTATGCGTTCGTACACAGTACTATATTTATATACTATACAGATAAGAGGCCATGATCGTGTATTTTTATGATTTTCGGACTTTGCTAAATGAACCAGCGCAACCAAACCATACGTGGCATTTTCTCGGCTTCAATAATACACTCGATAATAAATTCAAAAATATAAGAACAGATATATAAATAAAACTATATAAATTGAACAGTTTTATTAAATTTGCTGATAGTTAGTTTCAAAAACTTCTTTTACAGCTAACCTGACAACAAACCTTGTAAATCTCTGCTTTCAAATGTCTTCGAAATAGGTCGAATTATTGAAACCATTTCACAAGATTTTAACATATCCAAATTTCGATAATATGATATCTTTTAAAAATACAATTTCTGATTAAAAATATTTTGTCAGATAGGTTAATTCAATACAGTAAGAACGATCCCGTTAATAAGTTAAGTTTCTGTTTTATCTCACAATTAATACTATAGTATTAACTTCCTAACGTCACAACTACCTCTGATATAGTACTAACCTCCGCAATACTTTCTGTTTCTGTTTCTGTTTCTGTTTCTGTTTCTGTTTCTGTTTTATCTCACAATTAATACTATAGTGCTAACTTCCTAACGTCACAACTACCTCTGATATAGTACTAACCTCCGCAATACTTTCGCTCTCCTCCTCTTTTTTACTGATAAGTTTCTGGTAATGATCCTCAGTATCGCCTGGTAGCATCTCCACCTCGTACACTCCCCTGTCCTCTACTCCCCTGTTCTCTACTCCCCTGTCCTCTACTCCTCTGTCCTCTGCTCCCCTGTCCTCTACTCCCCTGTCCTCTACTCCCCTGTCCTCTACTCCCCTGTCCTCTACTCCCCTGTCCTCTACTCCCCTGTCCTCTACTCCCCTGTCATCTACTCCCCTGTCCTCTACTCGCCCCTTTCTACTGTCTCCAAGTGGGTGGGGGTCGTGTATAACACTGAGTTTGTTGTGGTCGACTCTACGAGGGATGGTTTGTCCGGAGCTGAGTTTCACCGCTGATTTGACCATGTTAGAGCGACGTCTCTGTTTGTGATGTGTGCAGGTACCTGTCGAGTAAAATTACAGTTATAGGATGTACTACTAGTACTAAGGATATAATAGCATTGATAGAAGAATAAGCAATTGTTTTGGTTTACTCTAATTAAGAGGGCCCCATGTGAGACTGTGAGTGTGAACTGTTTCCAACTGGTGAGCTTAGTGAAACTAACGTTTAGGTGGTGAGCTTAGTGAAACTAAAGTTTAGGTGGTGAGCTTAATGAAACTAACGTTTAGGTGGTAAGCTTAATGAAACTAACGTTTAGGTGGTGAGCTTAATGAAACTAAATTTTAGGTGGTAAGCTTAGTGAAACTAACGTTTAGGTGGTGAGCTTAGTGAAACTAACGTTTAGGTGGTGAGCTTAGTGAAACTAACGTTTAGGTGCTGAGCTTAGTGAAACTAACGTTTAGGTGGTGAGCTTAGTGAAACTAACGTTTAGGTGCTGAGCTTAGTGAAACTAACGTTTAGGTGGTGAGCTTAATGAAACTAATGTTTAGGTGGTAAGCTTAGTGAAACTAACGTTTAGGTGGTAAGCTTAGTGAAAATAAAGTTTAGGTGCTGAGCTTAGTGAAACTAACGTTTAGGTGGTGAGCTTAGTGAAACTAACGTTTAGGTGGTGAGCTTAGTGAAACTAACGTTTAGGTGGTGAGCTTAGTGAAACTAAAGTTTAGGTGGTGAGCTTAATAAACTAACGTTAAGGTGGTGAGCTTAATGAAACTAATGTTTAGGTGGTGAGCTTAATGAAACTAACGTTTAGGTGGTAAGCTTAATGAAACTAAAGTTTAGGTGCTGAGCTTAGTGAAACTAACGTTTAGTTGCTGAGCTTAATGAAACTAACGTTTAGGTGGTGAGCTTAGTGAAACTAACGTTTAGGTGCTGAGCTTAGTGAAACTAACGTTTAGTTGCTGAGCTTAATGAAACTAACGTTTAGGTGCTGAGCTTAGTGAAACTAACGTTTAGGTGGTAAGCTTAGTGAAACTAACGTTTAGGTGGTAAGCTTAGTGAAAATAAAGTTTAGGTGGTGAGCTTAGTGAAACTAACGTTTAGGTGGTGAGCTTAGTGAAACTAACGTTTAGGTGGTGAGCTTAGTGAAACTAACGTTTAGGTGGTGAGCTTAGTGAAACTAACGTTTAGGTGCTGAGCTTAGTGAAACTAACGTTTAGTTGCTGAGCTTAATGAAACTAACGTTTAGGTGGTGAGCTTAGTGAAACTAACGTTTAGGTGCTGAGCTTAGTGAAACTAACGTTTAGTTGCTGAGCTTAGTGAAACTAACGTTTAGGTGCTGAGCTTAGTGAAACTAACGTTTAGGTGCTGAGCTTAGTGAAACTAACGTTTAGGTGGTGAGCTTAATGAAACTAACGTTTAGGTGCTGAGCTTAGTGAAACTAACGTTTAGGCGGTGAGCTTAATGAAACTAATGTTTAGATGGTGAGCTTAGTGAAACTAACGTTTAGGTGCTGAGCTTAGTGAAACTAACGTTTAGGTGGTGAGCTTAGTGAAACTAATGTTTAGATGGTGAGCTTAGTGAAACTAACGTTTAGGTGGTGAGCTTAGTGAAACTAATGTTTAGATGGTGAGCTTAGTAAAACTAAAGTTAAGGTGGTGAGCTTAGTGAAACTAACGCTTAGGTGCTGAGCTTAGTGAAACTCTATCCACTAAATCCCCCTTGTTTGCCCCTCTGTTCTGATCTGGCTCCCAGTCTGACTGTTTCTTGTCTGAGTCCCCGTTAGTAAGGGGCGGGTCTGTAATAGTCTGACTGGCTGAGTTACGGGGACGAGGCCCCTTCCTGAGGGGGCCGTTAGTACTGTTGTAATACTGATCTCCTACTGCTTCTTGGAGGGTTAGTGCCACTAAGTTCTGTACTACTGTCGTCTCTTTTATTGTCTGAAGTGGAAAGGAGATTAAACGGGATGGTGTAAGTTTATTATTAATTGAACTAATAGTGACTCAATATATTCGGTTGTAACTACTCAATCCTCTCCACGTTTACTATTTACCCCCACCCCGGCCCCCCCCCCCCCCCCCCCGACCCCCCGGCCCCCCTTCTCTCCACGTTTACTGATTGTGAAAGAGAAAGAGAAAGAGAAAGAGAAAGAGAAACTCTCCAAGTTAACTATTTACCGTTCTGAGAACAATTTTGTATCTGAATGTCCAGGTGAAGTAACACATGAATATAGCAGCTACAATTAAGAGGCAGATCACCAGGGCTGCCACCTCGTACCCTCTTATACCGGGGGAGAAGGAGCTCTCTGTTGGGAGCATGGTGGTACCAAGTGACTAGCTGGTAACACGTGACTAATGACCACGTGACCTCGTTTACTGCGTTCCCATGATTAGGTATCTGTATTTATAGGAGACAAATAACTGCTCGTAGTACAACTAGTTAGCAGATAAATCGTAAAAGTTTAAACAATGCACTGTCGAGGCTGTGCATTTAAAATCTTATCTGGCAGTAAGTAAGTCGATTGGTTGAATAAACATATTGCGAATGTTTTTATAGCTATTATCATTTATCAAAGCTAATTTCAGTAAATAATAGATAATAAAAGTAGAAACAGATAACAACTAACAAGACGTATTTACCAAAAGTGTCGAATCAAAACTACGTGAGACAAGATATTATGTTCAAGAAGAACTAAACTGTAAGCACTAAACTGTAAGCACTAAACTGTAAGCACTAAACTGTAAGCACTAAACTGTAAGCACTAATAATACTGTTTATTAAGTCTTGAAAAGATGAAATGTGCCCATGAGTAGATGTTCATTTCATGTCACTACGATCTTATAACGATTAACTGAGTAACTATATCACATCCTTATTATCATGTGTCATGGCTAGTGAGTTAGCTCTGTTGGCTCTGTTATTTGAGAGTATTTCCATATGATGATAAAATGGTAGCAACTATTGGCTGTCTGGATACTGTCCAACTATTAAAGGTAAATCTAATTAAGTTATTAAAAGGTAAATCTTATTAAACTGTCATGTCAGAAAAAGGGAAACTACAGTTCAGGGAGTATTAACATGATTAAGCATTAAACATAACATTATTAAGCTGATACCAGAATGAATGCTTTATTAGACAATTTAATAAAGCAATGATTATACCGCGAGTATTATTGAACAACGTGAGTGATAATTAACGATTAATTAGCAATTATGATAATTAGGGACTAATTAATAGCACATAGTTCCGACTGAAGGTTAAAGATGATGATATTATTGACTATTGAGTATGGTATTGTGTGTGATGTGTAGTAATCTGGTATGTGTTATGGTATGCGCAGTGGTATGTGAACTGTGCAGCTGTATGTTATCTCACGTACAGTAACACTTACACACTGCTACTATTAACAGTAATCTATCAGCTTGTAACTTTAGTAACTATAGCGGGCTGACTTGTGCTGATTTGTACTAAATTAGTGAGAAGTAAATTTATTCAGCATTTTATATTTAAATTAAAAAACAATTCAAATGTGCTATCTTCGATTGGGAGTACAATGAGCTTTTGAAAATGATAATTACTTGAGATAATAGATAGAGAGAGAGGAGTATTACTTGATCTACATACCAACATACTATACTGTACTATACACTATACAGGGTTACTGATGTACCTGAAAGCAATTATACCTTAAGAAAGACAGTCTCAAGACTTTCTAAACTAACGACGGATCAGAAATAAATACATTAAAAAACAAAGACTGAAAACAAATTAATTGAGAAGTATTGCATAAGCGGTGTTATTCGTAGTGTAATACCTTAATACTAGTGTGTACACACGATCGAGACATGGGGAATATTGTGACGGGTTGAGAACAAACAAATCTGGGACCTTGCTGTGTTAATACTAAGGTGTAGCCACTAGTTACAAAATACTAGGAACTAGTAGTCTCCATTCTAGTGTTAATACTAAGTTGTAGTAGTCTCAAGCACATGTAGGAAGTAATATTAACATTCCTTTTGGTGGGCGGTAAATAAATATATTAGAATAAGTATTAACTATTAAGCTGTACTAGAAACACGATCGCCTCCCAAGCAGAAGGCCCGGGTTCAAATCCGGTTGGTTGCAAGTCGGCCAGTTACCAAGCTGTGATTTGGTACAGCTTCGGCTGGTGATACACACCCTCTGGCTCGTAGGACTAACCCCCCTACAGCTAGTATAGTGCCTCGGCACAGGGTTACTGAAAAGGAGATAAGCACCTCAGGCCATCCCAACTTGCGGGAAAGACCTGCCTCTCGTTTGTTGTAGCAAAACTAATTCTCTTAATAGATTAATAACTTTTAACTGAAGAGTATAGAGGAAAGTATAACCTCTTAATAGATTAATAACTTTTAACTGAAGAGTATAGAGGAAAGTAAAACTAATTCTCTTAATAGATTAATAACTTTTAACTGAAGAGTATAGAGGAAAGTATACCCGAGTTAACATTTTCCGTTACGCAACGTTTTATTAGTTCTTGTTATCAGCTTTGTGCGAGACGGCTGTAGCCTGTAACTTGTAGTCTGTAGCTTTATGTGGGGTCTCTGTATGAGGAAGTGAATTCACTAGTATTAGTAGTATCTCATCAGCTGCTTAATAAGGAAGTACTAGCTAACCAACGTCAGATGTTTCTAACAATGTTCCAGAACAACAGCGGTGGCTGAGATGTACAAGTTTAAGTCAGACCAGATTTCAAACAAAAAGGAACTGATCAGACTACAGTAGACTCAGTTCGGAAACTGTGAAAATAAAAAATAAAAAAACTGAAATAAAATCTTTTGCAGTTGCACTGATAAAAAGAGAAAGAGAACTGCAATCAGACCATTCCCATGTATACAAAACACCCCCTCGCATTATTTTTATCATGATTCTTCAGCCAAGTATGTGAGTAAGAAATGAGATTATGTTTGGTGAGACCTCATCATATCATATCTATATCTACTGCCATGGGAAGTGTCGGACAAAACTGTTTTTGCAACTATCTTTGACAATTTCAGTGCTGCACGCCGCCGCCGAACGCCGCCGCCGCCGCTGATGATTTCCCGGCCACGCCGCCGCCGTTTTCAAACGGCGTGAACCTGTTTATACGCGTGACCTCACGCCGATTACGCCGCCGCCGCCGATTTTAACCACGCCGCCGCCGTTTTGAAAAAAAACGGCGGCGTGCAGCACTGGACAATTTTTTCATATAATTATTCACTGTTAATATCCTTATATGTAATTTTAAAGCGTTAATGCCAATCCGGTTAGGATCAACCAACAACAACTGGTGTAGAGAAAGACAGTGGGCTATGTAATATGTATACTAACTAGGTAACGAGTAATACAGGTTACCTGGATAAATAACACACAAGAGTTACACAAGCTGTAAGTACACTAGTATAGTATAATAGTAGGCTCGAGCCTTGTGAGTACCTACATTACACATCCTTAAATCAGGCTAAACGCAGTGATCAGTCATTAGTGTATACTTGGAGTAGAGATCGTCCTGACATACAAAGTATGTAAATTATACGAGGGTATTTTACTTTATTGTTTACATTATAATCTCAATAATTAGTATCATCAATACTAATATTCTCAAGATTTTTGTGTGTGGGTTTGACCATTGTTAATGATCTGGCCCGGCGCGCGCTATTTCGTAGCACTTGCCATCCGGCAACATTTCGAGAAGAACAACATTTCGAGAAGAAAGCGGCGCGCGCTACTTCGAAGAAATTTAGACGAGTAACATCCGTCGATGTGTGGGTGGGTGGGTGGGTGAGTGGGTGGGTTGGTGGTTGAGTGGGTGGGTGTGTGTGTACTCTCCCACTGTCGCTCTCTTTCTCTCTCCCCTCATAACAGATTTGCTATTATTCGAGTTCATTTGAAACAAATGAACTCGAATATTTTTCGATTTGACAAATTTCTCGAACCAGTGGTGGTAATAAGTCGTACCAGATTAAGAATTATTTCAATTGGTCACTCAGTGACTGAGCTATTAAGGCCAACGTATGTCAAGTGACTTTTGGCCCACCCTGTATAATACTAATAGGCGGGTTTATACTTTTGCATTTCATTTTCAACCGCGATACTGCAGTGCGATAGTGAAGTCCCGGCCGTAGGCACGGGTTAAACTTTCACTTTTCCTTTGTTAATCCATTAACGCCGGCACGCACAGGGACATTTTGCTTCGTATAAAAATACTTTTTCCAGGTCGAGTACATCGGGCTGATTGAGACGGAGAGTTCGCAGTTGCCAGATATTGACAAGACTGTGAAGGAAATACAGAGAAATAGACAAGACCAAGGTTACTTCACTTTCACTTTCACTTTCACTTTCACTTTCGGATATTCAGTTTGTCCTCGAGTCTTTATTGTCGTTTCACGAAGTCTGATATTAAAATGTTATCAAATATAAATCTAAATCGATAATATCAATGATGTACACCGAATATTGTCCCAAAGTCTGTATCTGGTCGGGGGATCAGATACAGACTTTATCTGGTTTCCTTAGGGACACCGGACTCTAGCAATTTTTAAGATAAATAAAACAATGTCGCCTCTATTCTGTCATGTAATTCAATAATTCAGTAGTTGTTAACAAAATTTTCCAGAACACATGACTTAATATGGAATGATACAATTATACAAATTGTCCGACAAGCACACGTGTTATTGCTCGTTAATAAATAAGAGTGCTCAAATAAACGTTCAGAACAATTGTCATATAACATTAACTTCTAATCTGCACGGATCTTTCTAGAAACCCCTGCTATTATCTTTCTAGATCACACTTTCTTTCTAGATCACACTTTCTTCAATCGAGCTTTGATTATTTTTTAATACGGCGCACGTTAAGGAATATTTCAGAATTATCACCACATTATTTCCCAGATCTGAGTTCCAGTATAAAGGGAATGCTCACCACACTATTTCCCAGATCTGAGCTCCAGTATAAAGGGAATGCTCACCACACTATTTCCCAGATCTGAGCTCCAGTATAAAGGGAATGCTCACTACACTATTTCCCAGATCTGAGCTCCAGTATAAAGGGAATGCTCACCACACTATTTCCCAGATCTGAGCTCCAGTATAAAGGGAATGCTCACTACACTATTCCCCAGATCTGAGCTCCACTATAAAGGGAATGCTCACCACACTATTTCCCAGATCTGAGCTCCAGTATAAAGGGAATGCTCACCACACTATTTCCCAGATCTGAGCTCCAGTATAAAGGGAATGCTCACCACACTATTTCCCAGATCTGAGCTCCAGTATAAAGGGAATGCTCACCACACTATTTCCCAGATCTGAGCTCCAGTATAAAGGGAATGCTCACCACACTATTTCCCAGATCTGAGCTCCAGTATAAAGGGAATGCTCACCACACTATTTCCCAGATCTGAGCTCCAGTATAAAGGGAATGCTCACCACACTATTCCCCAGATCTAAGCTCCAGTATAAAGGGAATTCTCACCACACTATTTCCCAGATCTGAGCTCTAGTATAAAGGGAATGCTCACCACACTATTTCCCAGATCTGAGCTCCAGTATAAAGGGAATGCTCACTACACTATTTCCCAGATCTGAGCTCCAGTATAAAGGGAATGCTCACCACACTATTTCCCAGATCTGAGCTCCAGTATAAAGGGAATGCTCACCACACTATTTCCCAGATCTGAGCTCCAGTATAAAGGGAATGCTCACCACACTATTTCCCAGATCTGAGCTCCAGTATAAAGGGAATGCTCACCACACTATTTCCCAGATCTGAGCTCCAGTATAAAGGGAATGCTCACCACACTATTTCCCAGATCTGAGCTCCAGTATAAAGGGAATGCTCACCACACTATTTCCTAGATCTGAGCTCCAGTATAAAGGGAATGCTCACCACACTATTTCCCAGATCTGAACTCCAGTATAAAGGGAATGCTCACCACACTATTTCCCAGATATGAGCTCCAGTATAAAGGGAATGCTCACCACACTATTTCCCAGATCTGAGCTCCAGTATAAAGGGAATGCTCACCACACTATTTCCCAGATCTGAGCTCCAGTATAAAGGGAATGCTCACCACACTATTTCCCAGATCTGAGCTCCAGTATAAGGGAATGCTCACCACACTATTTCCCAGATCTGAGCTCCAGTATAAAGGGAATGCTCACCACACTATTTCCCAGATCTGAGCTCCAGTATAAAGGGAATGCTCACTACACTATTTCCCAGATCTGAGCTCCAATATAAAGGGAATGCTCACCACATTATTTCCCAGATCTGAGCTCCAATATAAAGGGAATGCTCACTACACTATTTCCCAGATCTGAGCTCCAGTATAAAGGGAATGCTCACCACACTATTTCCCAGATCTGAGCTCCAGTATAAAGGGAATACTCACCACACTATTTCCTAGATCTGAGCTCCAGTATAAAGGGAATGCTCACCACACTATTTCCCAGATCTGAGCTCCAGTATAAAGGGAATGCTCACCACACTATTTCCCAGATCTGAGCTCCAGTATAAAGGGAATGCTCACCACATTATTTCCCAGATCTGAGCTCCAGTATAAAGGGAATGCTCACCACACTATTTCCCAGATCTGAGCTCCAGTATAAAGGGAATGCTACATATCGGATACAACGAAGTGCAGCTTCTAAACATGGACCACGTCACCGTCATAAGAACATGGCCCATCAAGAATGTAAAGGCTTGTGCCCAGGTAAATTACTATCAAGAATGTGAAAGCTTGTGCCCAGGTAAATTACTATCAAGAATGTGAAAGCTTGTGCCCAGGTAAGCACATTAATAATGGTGCTAGTTGAACTAGTGTCCACTTCTGTCACGTGTGTACCCCTCTCAATTCTCAAAACACGGACAACAAATGTTTATCTTGTGAAATCCAACTTTAAAACAGACTTGTTTAGCGCCTAAAAGCGAGCGTCTCGCAAGCAGTCTCATCTTCTGAGTACAATGTATTTACTTTTCTTAACACTATTTTAAAACTAAAACTCTGATAATCTCGTAATTCATTTCAATTTGACCCAAACAACACTGGTTCACGGTCATTAATTTCACTTCCCACAGCTGAGATAGGTGGCTCTGGCATAAGAAGAGCCACACTGCACAGTGGCTAGTGTTACACTAAGCCACAGTGGCTAGTGTTACACTAAGCCACAGTGACCAGTGTAACACTAAGCCACAGTGACCAGTGTTACACTAAGCTACAGTGACCAGTGTAACACTAAGCCACAGTGACCAGTGTTACACTAAGCCACAGTGACCAGTTTAACACTAAGCCACAGTGACCAGTGTAACACTAAGCCACAGTGGCCAGTGTTACACTAAGCCACAGTGACCAGTGTTACACTAAGCCACAGTGACCAGTGTTACACTAAGCCACAGTGACCAGTGTTACACTAAGCCACAGTGACCAGTGTAACACTAAGCCACAGTGACCAGTGTTACACTAAGCCACAGTGACCAGTGTTACACTAAGCCACAGTGACCAGTGTTACACTAAGCCACAGTGACCAGTGTAACACTAAGCCACAGTGACCAGTGTTACACTAAGCTACAGTGACCAGTGTAACACTAAGCTACAGTGACCAGTGTAACACTAAGCCACAGTGACCAGTGTAACACTAAGCTACAGTGACCAGTGTAACACTAAGCTACAGTGACCAGTGTAACACTAAGCCACAGTGACCAGTCTAACACTAAGCCACAGTGACCAGTGTAACACTAAGCCACAGTGACCAGTGTTACACTAAGCTACAGTGACCAGTGTAACACTAAGCTACAGTGACCAGTGTAACACTAAGCTACAGTGACCAGTGTAACACTAAGCCACAGTGACCAGTGTAACACTAAGCCACAGTGACCAGTGTAACACTAAGCCACAGTGACCAGTGTTACACTAAGCTACAGTGACCAGTGTAACACTAAGCTACAGTGACCAGTGTAACACTAAGCCACAGTGACCAGTGTAACACTAAGCCACAGTGACCAGTGTTACACTAAGCCACAGTGGCCAGTGTTACACTAAGCCACAGTGACCAGTGTAACACTAAGCCACAGTGACCAGTGTAACACTAAGCCACAGTGACCAGTGTTACACTAAGCCACAGTGACCAGTGTTACACTAAGCCACAGTGACCAGTGTTACACTAAGCTACAGTGACCAGTGTTACACTAAGCCACAGTGACCAGTGTTACACTACGCCACAGTGACCAGTGTTACACTAAGCTGTGTAATATAACGCTATGTAACAGCTGTCACGAGCATATGAAAATATCAAATTTGTAAAAACGTCCTACCCCTTAAAAATAGGTGAAATTGAGCGTACTAAAGTTATACTAGTAGTGTATAATAGTGTAGTGTGTAATAGTGTATTGTGTAAGTGTAGTGTGTAAATACACAGTTTAATGAACTAGATAACATCTTATTATACTAAAATCTATACTGTAGATTCTAGAGTACCCTAAAACATCCGAGGATGTCCTGATAACTTCTAATATAACCTATGAAGTTTTTAAATGTCCATTATATTGAACAAACTCGTTGCGTTTCAACCACCAGTACCTCCTTATGAGTTTCTCAAAAGTACAGGGGTGGAGATTATCAGCCAGGTGATGCAGGACCACGCGCCCTGACCCGCCCACGTGCCAATACAAATGTCTGAGATTCCAATCATTCCAGAAAGTACAGTTCACCAGTTTACCATACCCCTCACTCTTCACCAGATACTGCTTCACAGCCAGGATACACCCTATTATATTACCCAGTATAGTGATCACAAGGAACACCCAGAATACCAGGAAGATATAAGAGTTAGAGACGTTCTGAGGTAGCACACACATCCCCCTCACAACATCCAGTCCTGTAGCTCCCCATCTCCTAATCTCACATGCTGTCATTTTAGGGAACAGCTTGTGCTGTATCAGAGTGTAGGTGCCATTAGTGGGACCACTACCCGCCCACTCAAACCCATACGTTAGGAAACTACCTATCTTGAATTTAGCGTGGGTTAACCCCAGGATAGCTACTGAGAAAGCGAGGTACTGGAGTTTGATAAAGAAGAGGAGGTAGAGCAGGGTGTGCCTGCTGTAGAGTGTGTTAAACCAGGACTTGTGGTGGTCGCTGTATATATCGAATCTGTGTCTAAGAGAGCGCGCAGCCTTGTCGAGGAGAGCGTCCAGTTCCTCGTCATCACGTGTGAGAGGGTCGTGGAGGAGGTTTACTATAGGCTTAGTGTAGTTGAAACCCAGACAGATTCCCACCATGTAGGGGAGATAGAAGAGGGCACAGACCAGCCAGAAGTAGAGTTGTAGGTGCTGAGGGGGGTTTAGTTAATATTATAATGTTGAGGGGGGTTTAGTTAATATTCTAATGTTAAATCGGATGATAAGGTTGAAGCTTGTGTTGCACATTAGACACTGTTTTAGTTGTGCACCTGGTACCAGAGATGATAAACTCTGTTAGGTGTGAGATACTGGGCTTCGTCAGGACACTCTATTTTCATCCCGTCGTACCTTTCTAGTGGTATGCAGTTCGGGATACCCTCCGGAATTATACCTGTAGAGAGTAGGGGGTATAGGACACTATGTTATGTCATATGTGTAATGTGCTAATAGTAAGTGTAAGCTAAGTTATAATAACTTATTTTAGTAACCACGCAACAGTTACTAAGTAACCTCGCAACAGTTACTAAGTAACCTCGCAACGGTTACTAAGTAACCACGCAACAGTTACTAAGTAACCACGCAACAGTTCCTAAGTAACCACGCAACAGTTACTAAGTAACCACGCAACAGTCACTAAGTAACCACGCAACAGTTACTAAGTAACCACGCAACGGTTACTAAGTAACCACGCAACAGTTACTAAGTAACCACGCAGCGGTTACTAAGTAACCACGCAACGGTTACTAAGTAACCACGCAACAGTTACTAAGTAACCACGCAACAGTTACTAAGTAACCATGCAAAGGTTACTAAGTAACCACGCAACAGTTACTAAGTAACCACGCAACAGTTACTAAGTAACCACGCAACAGTTACTAAGTAACCACGCATAAAGTTACTCACACCATTGAGCGCAGAATAGCCAAGAAAGGATATGTCCTAGGTGTCTTTCTAGATATAGAGGGCGCCTTCGACAATGTCTCGTTCAAGGCTATCTCTGAAGCAGTCAAGGCTACGAAAGTGGACTTGGCTACAGCACAGTGGATCATCAACATGGTAACCAATCGATTCATCACACTAAATCATAAGGATAAGTCGAGAAGGGTACGGATCAGGCGAGGTTGCCCCCAAGGAGGCATTCTCTCTCCTTTTCTCTGGAACCTGGTAGTCGACGATCTCCTTTCCTTTACCGCAAAAGACATCCCGGGTTACCTGCAAGCCTTTGCGAATGATCTGTTGTCTCTAACGGAAGGGGATGATTTAGACATCATCTGGGACCGAACATGCAAAACTATTAAAACGATAGAAAATTGGTGCAGAACCAAAGAGCTATCTATTAGCGCCCTTAAAACTCAGATAGTCATGTTTACCTGGAATAGTAAGTGGACTCTAAGACCTATAACAGTTGGCAACAACATTATAGGTCTTTCCAAGTCTGCTAAATTTCTAGGAGTGACCTTGGACAGCAAACTCAACTTCAATGAACATATAATCAACACCACCAAAAAAGCCACGGCATCCCTCATGCAATGTCGAAGAGCTGTCGGCCCCACATGGGGTATGAGCCCCAAAACATGCAAATGGATGTACACGGCTGTCATCCGTCCAATCCTATCCTACTGCTGTAGTATATGGATCAGGGCCACTCAAACGGACTATAACGCGAAGAAACTCAAACGTGTTCAGGCATTGGCACTCAGAATGATGTCTGGTGCCATGCCAAGCACACCTTTTATCGCATTGAATCACCTCACCGACACTTCTGACATCATACTGTTCCTGCAAGGTGAAGCAGCAAAGGGTGCGGCCAGGCTACAAGCTTATGGCAGCCTCACTCTTGAAACTATCGCCTTCAGGAAGGGAACTATCAAAAATCATACCACTATCAACAAACAATTCATGGCAGACCTCATTATCCCACCTAGAGCAACAAGAGACCTAACAACACCAACCATGATGCTGGGACGGCACTTCACCGTCACAACTCCTGGAGCCGATACCACTGAATATAGAAATTCACTTCAAAACACCATTGACAACATTACCAGTGAAACAATCACCTGCTACACTGACGGGTCACTCACAGACTCAGGATGCGGGGCTGGCTATATCATCACAACTGACAACAATAACACCACCCTTGAAGAAAGATCATTCAAGCTCCCTGATTATTGCACTGTTTACCAAACAGAGCTCACCGCCATCATTGAAGCTTGCAAATATCTCTCTACCTATACCAACACACATATCATCATATGGTCTGACAGTCTCTCATCTATACAAGCTATCTCTGCGCTTTCAACGCGGAGTAGAACTACAAGAGACTGTTACGACTCTCTTAATGCACTCGGATCCAACAACACGCTAGAGATACGATGGATTGCAGCACACATCGGATTGTGGGGGAACGAAAAAGCAGATGAGCTGGCCAAGCTTGGTACAACCAGTGAATCCACTTTAAAGTGTCCAATTCCACAATCCTACATCAAGCGTCAAATCGACAACAAAGTCAACAGACTGAATCAGGAAACTTGGTTAACTGACGGTCCCAGACACACCAAACTGACACTCGGCCACAAGCATGCCAAAATCATCAAAAACCTCAACACTTCACTCAGCAAAAACAGACAAGATTACAGAACTGCAGTTCACCTCATCACGGGTCACTGCGGCTTAAACAAACACCTTCACACCATTTGCAAATCAAACACCAGTGCTTGTCCTATGTGCGGCGACGGAGAGGAAACTGTCTCACACTTCCTTGGACAGTGTCCAGCTATTGCCCAAATTAGAGGTCAATATTTCCAGGACTACTACCTCTCTGTCAATGACATATTCGACAACCAACACATCACCACAATTGTCAATTTCGCAAACCGCACCAAACGCTTAATTGTGCCGGAAGAGCTGGATCAGACCGGGGTGACTTAAAGTATTATCTCATATGCTGTCTCGTCTCGTTTTACTTTTCCAAACCCAGCTGGCATTTAAGCGTATCATTTTGACTCATATATCATCTTACACCATCCTCCACCAATCACTCTGATTTCACCGGCAACCTTCCCCAAGGTTGCCACACCCCAGAGGTAGGCAGAGCATCTCAATGCTATCCTCTCGTGGGCTATCTTGGCCCAGCCTCTCTTTTAAAAAAAAAAGAAAAAAAAAAGAAAAAAAAAGTAACCACGCACCAGTTACTAAGTAACCACGCAACAGTTACTAAGTAACCACACAACAGTCACTAAGTAACCACGCAACAGTTACTAAGTAACCACGCAACAGTTACTAAGTAACCACGCAACAGTTACTAAGTAACCACGCAACAGTTACTAAGTAACCACGCAACAGTTACTAAGTAACCACGCACCAGTTACTAAGTAACCACTAACCGGGATAAGGCAGGTCCATGTTCTCTATGTCATAAGCTTCTCTCAGTGTGTAGATACCCTGTGTCCAGCAGTACTCATCTACAAATGCTTCTGAGCGGAATGTGTCCTCAAACCCAGTGCACTTTATTGCAGATCCTGTAGTGAACCTGATTATTCACGCTTAGCTTGTAGTTGTCATCTGAATATTTTAATTTTGAAAACATGTGGGAATGACATGGTTCCTACCTGCGATGATACCGTAGTCTATAAGATAAGCGAATGACATTGTTGTCATCTAAATATTTTAATTTTGTAAACATGTGGGAATGTTTCCACAACACGTGATAGTTTGGTACAGGACTGTAGTACTAGTAGTCACCCCTGGTGGAATGTTCCTACCTGCGATGATACCGTAGTCTATAAGATAAGCGAATGACATGGTTCCTACCTGCGATGATACCGTAGTCTATAAGATAAGAGAATGACATGGTTCCTACCTGCGATGATACCGTAGTCTATAAGATAAGAGAATGACATGGTTCCTACCTGCGATGATACCGTAGTCTATAAGATAAGCGAATGACATGGTTCCTACCTGCGATGATACCGTAGTCTATAAGATAAGAGAATGACATGGTTCCTACCTGCGATGATACCGTAGTCTATAAGATAAGCGAATGACATGGTTCCTACCTGCGATGATACCGTAGTCTATAAGATAAGAGAATGACATGGTTCCTACCTGCGATGATACCGTAGTCTATAAGATAAGTGAATGACATGGTTCCTACCTGCGATGATACCGTAGTCTATAAGATAAGAGAATGACATGGTTCCTACCTGCGATGATACCGTAGTCTATAAGATAAGAGAATGACATGGTTCCTACCTGCGATGATACCGTAGTCTATAAGATAAGCGAATGGCATGGTTCCTACCTGCGATGATACCGTAGTCTATAAGATAAGCGAATGACATGGTTCCTACCTGCGATGATACCGTAGTCTATAAGATAAGCGAATGACATGGTTCCTACCTGCGATGATACCGTAGTCTATAAGATAAGAGAATGACATGGTTCCTACCTGCGATGATACCGTAGTCTATAAGATAAGCGAATAACATGGTTCCTACCTGCGATGATACCGTAGTCTATAAGATAAGCGAATGACATGGTTCCTACCTGCGATGATACAGTAGTCTATAAGATAAGCGAATGACATGGTTCCTACCTGCGATGATACCGTAGTCTATAAGATAAGCGAATGACATGGTTCCTACCTGCGATGATACCGTAGTCTATAAGATAAGTGAATGACATGGTTCCTACCTGCGATGATACCGTAGTCTATAAGATAAGCGAATGGCATGGTTCCTACCTGCGATGATACCGTAGTCTATAAGATAAGCGAATGACATGGTTCCTACCTGTGATGATACCGTAGTCTATAAGATAAGAGAATGACATGGTTCCTACCTGCGATGATACCGTAGTCTATAAGATAAGAGAATGACATGGTTCCTACCTGCGATGATACCGTAGTCTATAAGATAAGCGAATAACATGGTTCCTACCTGCGATGATACCGTAGTCTATAAGATAAGCGAATGACATGGTTCCTACCTGCGATGATACAGTAGTCTATAAGATAAGCGAATGACATGGTTCCTACCTGCGATGATACCGTAGTCTATAAGATAAGCGAATGACATGGTTCCTACCTGCGATGATACCGTAGTCTATAAGATAAGTGAATGACATGGTTCCTACCTGCGATGATACCGTAGTCTATAAGATAAGCGAATGACATGGTTCCTACCTGCGATGATACCGTAGTCTATAAGATAAGCGAATGACATGGTTCCTACCTGCGATGATACCGTAGTCTATAAGATAAGCGAATGACATGGTTCCTACCTGCGATGATACAGTAGTCTATAAGATAAGCGAATGACATGGTTCCTACCTGCGATGATACCGTAGTCTATAAGATAAGCGAATGACATGGTTCCTACCTGCGATGATACCGTAGTCTATAAGATAAGTGAATGACATGGTTCCTACCTGCGATGATACCGTAGTCTATAAGATAAGCGAATGACATGGTTCCTACCTGCGATGATACCGTAGACTATAAGATAAGCGAATGACATGGTTCCTACCTGCGATGATACCGTAGTCTATAAGATAAGAGAATGACATGGTTCCTACCTGCGATGATACCGTAGTCTATAAGATAAGCGAATGACATGGTTCCTACCTGCGATGATACCGTAGTCTATAAGATAAGCGAATGACATGGTTCCTACCTGCGATGATACCGTAGTCTATAAGATAAGTGAATGACATGGTTCCTACCTGCGATGATACCGTAGTCTATAAGATAAGCGAATGACATGGTTCCTACCTGCGATGATACCGTAGTCTATAAGATAAGCGAATGACATGGTTCCTACCTGCGATGATACCGTAGTCTATAAGATAAGCGAATGACATGGTTCCTACCTGCGATGATACCGTAGTCTATAAGATAAGTGAATGACATGGTTCCTACCTGCGATGATACCGTAGTCTATAAGATAAGAGAATGACATGGTTCCTACCTGCGATGATACCGTAGTCTATAAGATAAGCGAATGACATGGTTCCTACCTGCGATGATACCGTAGTCTATAAGATAAGCGAATGACATGGTTCCTACCTGCGATGATACCGTAGTCTATAAGATAAGAGAATGACATGGTTCCTACCTGCGATGATACCGTAGTCTATAAGATAAGCGAATGACATGGTTCCTACCTGCGATGATACCGTAGTCTATAAGATAAGCGAATGACATGGTTCCTACCTGCGATGATACCGTAGTCTATAAGATAAGCGAATGACATGGTGAGAGGCATCATGAAGCTGCGGTTCATCTGATCCCATCTGTCATCCAGTGTTACAACCTTGAAGGGGGCCATCCTCTTAAACACTGCCCATATCCAGTAGATCATGGCGGAGGAAGGGTTTCAGTGGATAAGAGTGTAGAGGAGAGTGTAGAGGAGAGTATAGACTATAGAGGAGAGTGTAGTTCGTGTGAGCTGGTGTCTTCTTCTTTTAGCGTTTAGTTACTTCTAAGATTTGTTATTTATTCATTTATGTTCTGTCTTAGTTTCTAATTCTCAGTTTTCTAATTCTATGGGGTGGTAGCTTTCTTTTGAAGATGTGTTTCTTTATCAGTATTTGAAAGTCTCTATCATGATTTATTTGATGATGAAATCCACGATCAGGTGTTGTAGCGTACAACAAACATAGTACAACTCTACAAACACAAAAAGCTGACAAATAACAAATACACTGCTATGCAAATTATTGCAGTTGCGAAGGCGTTGATCTATGCTTGTTAAAATAGAAATAATCACATCAGCTATTTCATGAACAAAGCCAGTAAAGCATATGATAACGGAATCACGCGTTATACGAAGACAAACCTTGCCAAGCTATGAAGCTACTGAAACAAAGCAATCATTGTCAGCGGCCAGTGTTGCACATTGAGGGAACTATCACTTCTGTAGCTTTAAAACATGTTATAATTAGAACATGTTACTTACTTACAACATGTCCGGTGCGTCATTACACCGAGTGAGCATGACACATCACCCGACCATTACGTGTTACTGCTGGGGCATGATGGTTATCTGGATACTTCAACTTGAGAATAGTAAAACTTAATAGGAAAACTAAATTTGTATTTTTCTAGGCCCCCCCCCCCCTCCCGCCTTGTCTCCACTACATGAACATGTAGCGCCCCCCCTGCCTTGTCTCCACTACATGAACAATGAACATGTAGCCCCCCCTGCCTTGTCCCCACTACACCCCTGCCTTGTCTCCACTTCACCCCCCCCCCCCCCCCTGCCTTGTCTCCACTACACCCCCCTGCCTTGTCTCCACTACATCCCCCTGCCTTGTCTCCACTACACCCCCTGCCTTGTCTCCACTACACCCCCCCCCCCCTGCCTTGTCTCCACTACACCCCCCCCTTTAATACTTTCAACACTACTATATAACAAATAATTTGAGGTGTGACAACATGATTCGGCGGGTCACGCTATAGCAATTGCCGTGTTGAAGAGCTCTATACTACGGGTACGTATTCGTGTTGAGTGCCCTAAAAGGGAGCTGGATATTTCATTGCTGTTATCGTTTGAACGCAGTTTAGCTTGAAGAATTTACGCTGTCTGTGTTATTTGAAGAAAAATCGTGATCAATCAGTTATTTCAAAACCTACCCAATAACCCCTACCCTACTACAGGGGTAACTTACTTTCAAGTTTCTGTCGCACATCTTTTCAGACCCGGCTGGATCCAGCATCATACATCGTGTCTGGGTACTGCTCTTTGAAAATGCCAGCGATACTAGAGAATCAGAAAGTTGTGCTTGGAGGTCTTGCAAACATAGCTGATGAGCATGCCAAGAAAGCCCTTGCGAGCTATAGTCCTTCACTGCCTTATGGTGAAAATAAAACTAACGTCAAGAAGTGCAATGCCCAGCAGCTAGAGGCTTGTGCAAAATTAGTTGGACTCAAAGCCAGGTCAGAGGATGGCAAGGAAAAGCTTTATCGAAACCAGGATATCCTGACTGACAGAATAATCCTGAAGATAGAGTCACTATTTGAAGCTGAATGCAGTGACTGCAAGTCAGTGTACCAGAACACACTGGAATCCACGCCTCTTTTCACCTGCAGATTGTGCCTATTGGGAAGTCACGACTGTGAGGAGCTGAAGAAAAAGGCAACGAGTATGAGTGAAACAAATCCAAAAGGATTTGTCTGGATGTGCCACGTGTGTCTGGAAAAGAATGAATTGGAGGATATGCTGCTTTCATCAAACCCTCCAAAACAAGGCTCACTGAAACTGATTCCGAAACAAGCACTTAGTGCTAGTGTCGACAAACTGGACACTATTACAGAGTCAGAGGAAAATACAGGTAAAAGTGACCATGAGATTGAAAGTGAAGAAGAAAAAGCAGAGTCATCAGAGAGGATAAGCCCACGAAGAGGTCGTGATGAGACAAGGGAGACGAGGGAGAGGAATCCCAATACCTCAGGGCACAAGAAAGAACAAATCTGTGAGCTCTTCAAGAAAAGGGCATGCCCACATGGACGAACTGGCAAAGTACTTGTAGACGGCAAAACCTGTGAGAGGAGCCACCCTAAGAGATGTTACAAGTTTTGCGACTTTGGGGCCAAGCATCAGAATGGGTGCAAGAAAGGTAAAAAGTGCCTATACTGGCATCCCAGAATATGCAAGTTTTCCATCAAAAACATCAGATGTGAAGACGACCAATGTACCTTTCAACACCTGGTGTTTACCCGCAACGGTCCTGGCCACGGAAAAGAAGAAGAACGAGAGACTTACAGACGAGTAGAAAATACTACTGAGCCCTACAGACGAAATGCGCTTCCCAAATTCAGCATTGCTTCGTCAGGATACACTACGTATCCCCCAACCATCAACAAGCCACGAGTAGAAAACCAAGAGAAGAAGACTGCCCAAGATGAGTCTTTTTTATTGAAGCTCATCGAGAACATGAAGGCTGGTTTTCAGGAACAAATCGATGGCCTGAGAAACGAGATTATCATCGGGAGGGGGAAAGAGGTCCAACGCCAACCGATTCCCCAGCAACTGAACCCCACGGAGCTACCATGCCACCCCGCAACTCGAGCTGTTCCGGGACTGCACCCGCCCATCCCATACCCGTACATGATGGCACCACAGTGGTTCAGCCAGAACTTTCCACCATTGTCCTCTTAAATGGACAGAGCGTATCTCCGGCAGCTACTAGCAGCTCTAGATGGAAACTACCCTACATCCAGGAAACCATCATCGAAGGAAGTAGCTGCCCCCCACCATTCATAGCCATAACCGAGTCATGGCTAAAGAGTTACATCTCTGACGCTCAGGTGCAGATAAAAGACTATCAATCGTTCAGATCTGATAGACCAGAGAGAGTAGGAGGAGGTTGCCTCCTCTATGTTCATGACCAGCTAGTGGTAACAGAATCCGATCACTACGAGGATAGAAGCAATAACATGGTCATGTGCTATGTTAAGTCATGCAACACCCTTTTTGCTACTGTCTACAGGCCCCCTGGAGCAGATACTTCAGGCTGGAAGAACTTACTAGACAGACTGCAAGCCAAAATAGACGCGATCTCAGAAAATACAACGGTGCCAGACATATACGTTGTTGGAGATTTCAACTATCCAGAGATAGACTGGGAACATGGAGGCTTAAGAAGTGAAGCCAGGTGTTATGATTTTATAGAGTTTATAGACCGTAACTTTCTAACACAGGTCGTAAACCAGTCAACAAGAGAAGGTAGCACCCTGGATCTTGTACTTACAAATGTTCCTAGGTATGTCGCAGAAGTAAAGGTGAACCCCACATCTTTATCAGACCACAGCTTGGTCGAAATTCAGCTTGGTTTTAATATGACTGGAAGAAAGAAGAACGAAACCAGCAAGATCGACCCAAACTCTTTCAGGGCAGTTGACTATCACAAAGCCGATTTTGTGGCAATCAGTGATTGCTTTCAGAAAGTCGACTGGCTGAAGCTCTGGGAACTCTGTGACGAGGACTTGAACGCTTTTCTGGAATTGTTCAAGCTAACAGTGCTCCAGATTACCTTGGAGTTCTCCCCAAAGAAAGAGAGTGCAGCGGAGATTACCTCAAGAAAGAGAAGAGGGAATAAGCACGTTTATGTCATGAAAAGAAGACGAAGGAAGATGAATGCTAGGATACGTGCATTACAGGAAATGAATCCTAGCTCGAGTTTAATCCCTAAACTGAAAACGGAGGTTTCACTGCTGTGTTACTCCATACAGGAAGGGACCCTTGAGAAACTGAACAAAAAGGAACTCCGGGCAGTCGATGCAATAAAGAAGAACCCCAAATACTTCTTTTCGTATGCCAAGCGTCTCCAGAAGACCAGATCTACGATCCCGGTGTTGAGAGATGAGACTGGGGCATTAGTGGACGACCCCAGTATCAAGGCAGAGTTACTTCAGAAGCAGTACCAGAAGGTATTTAGTAACCCTATGAGTGCCGATATTGATGAATGTATGAAGAGCCAAGGATTACCTCAGGGACTGGATTCCGGATTCAACGAGCTAAGCTTCACAAGAAAAGATATCATTGAAGCATTAGGAGAACTGGATCCCTATTCGGCCGCACCTGACGGAGAGATTCCTGCTAGGATACTCACAGCCTGCAAAGAACAACTTGCAGACCCGCTAACACTCCTCTGGCAGGAATCGTTCAGCAGTGGGTATATACCAGCGGAATTAAAGACCCAATATATCACCCCTATCTATAAGAAGGGGGACAGAACGGACCCAGCAAACTATAGACCAGTGTCTTTAACCTCGCACATCATAAAGACATTTGAGCGTGTAATCAGGAAAAACCTGGTTCGTCATTTGGAAGAGAACATGATGATCAATACGAACCAGCATGGGTTCAGAAAAAAGAGGAGTTGCATGACGCAGCTTCTCAGTCACATCGAACAGATCTACAAATCACTCAACAATGATGAAGAAGTTGATGTGATTTACCTCGACTTTGCCAAAGCTTTTGACAAGGTCGACCATGCAGTGCTGCTAGCCAAGCTTGGTCGATACGGAATTGGTGGTCAGGCTTTAAGGTGGATCAAAGAGTTTTTGCTAAACAGAAAACAAACAGTCGTTGTGGAAGGTCGCAAATCATCCTTCCAGCCAGTGGCAAGTGGGGTGCCACAAGGGACAGTCCTAGGACCGATCCTATTTATCCTGTACATCAACGATCTGTTGAACAGCATTAGCTATAGTAACGGATTCAGCTTTGCAGACGACACAAAGCTGATTGGGGCTATCCGAGGAATGAGTAGTGTGGAGTTACTGCAAGATGATCTCAACATAGTTATCGAGTGGTCACGTGTTAACAACATGGAGCTACACGAACAGAAGTTTGAGGTTGTAAACTACCCCCTGAATGGATCAAAAGCTCTAAGAGAGCTCCCGTTCTACCCAGAGACTGTTGAGTATACTACACCAAAAGGACACGCAATATCACCACAGGAAACTGTCAGAGACCTTGGAGTGTATGTTAGCAGCAGTAGGTCATGGGGTCCTCACATTGAGAAGACAGTTCAAGGAGCTAGAAAAATGGCGGCTTGGACATTGAGTGCCTTTAGAGACCGGTCACAAGTAGTCATGCTGACTTTATACAAAAGCATGGTTCGCTCCAAGCTAGAGTACTGCTGTCCAGTCTGGAACCCTACAAAAGTCACAGAGATACAAAAGCTGGAGACTGTACAGAGATCCTTTACTAGAAAGATATCTGGCTGCCGTGATCTCCAGTACTGGGACAGGCTGAAGAAGCTTAAGTTGATGTCCCTTCAGAGGCGGAGAGAGCGTTATTCTATTATTCATGTATGGAAAATTCTTAATGAACATGCTCCGAACGATACGGGCTTCGAGTTCAAGTCTCATCAAAGGCATGGTATTAAGGCAGAGATCCCAGCCATGAACAAAAACGCACAGTTGTCGGTAAGAACAGATTACGACAACAGCTTTAGAGTTAGAGCAGCTCAGCTCTTCAACGTGCTCCCATCGGAGCTCCGGAGTATCACATTGCTAGACAGTTTCAAAGTTGGTCTAGGCAGATTTATGGAACAGTACCCAGACACACCACCGGTTCCGGGATACACTCCGACAAACGATAACTCAATGCTGAGCTGGAGGAGGACGCACTCGATGCAGTTGTCCTGAGCACGCCCTGCCAAACTCACCAAAACGTACCAAAACGTACGTACCCTGCCTTGTCTCCACTACACCCCCTGCCTTGTCTCCACTACACCCCCCCTGCCTTGTCTCCCCCCTGACTTGTCTCCACTACACCCCCCCCCTGCCTTGTCTCCACTACACCCCCTGCCTTGTCTCCACTTCACCCCCCCCCCCTGCCTTGTCTCCACTACACCTCCCTGCCTTGTCTCCACTACATCCCCCTGCCTTGTCTCCACTACACCCCCTGCCTTGTCTCCACTACACCCCCCCCCCCTGCCTTGTCTCCACTACACCCCCCCCCTGCCTTGTCTCCACTACATCCCCCTGCCTTGTCTCCACTACATCCCCCTGCCTTGTATCCACTACACCCCCCTGCCTTGTCTCCACTACACCCCCCTGCCTTGTCTCCACTACTAGGCCCCCCTGCCTTGTCTCCCACCTGACTTGTCTCCACTACTAGTCTCCCCCCCTGCCTTGTCTCCCCCCCCCCTGCCTTGTCTCCACTACATGAACATGTAGAAGAATTGTAAACTTACCGACGGAACAGTAGACAACTAAAAGTAGAATAATTACAAAGGAAACTCTGAAATAATAATAATATGTATTACCCCTGCAGGGATCTGGGGACAGCTGTTATATCGGCTGGACTTGCCGTGAAGTGTGTGGGGACTACGCTCGCATATGTGTTCACGTGTTCGAGGCGGTGTCGTCTGATATGGTGAGTTTGTTTTGGCGACTAGGTAGGTAGGCGACTAATAAGATATCTGATGTCCCACCTCATAGTAACCCGAGAGCAGTAATCTGTATTCAGATCGTATTCAAGGGGATCATTCTGATCGCATTGGGGACTCGTAGGGCTTGCTTGAATCGAGCTTCAGGAAAGAAAACACAGCCAGGCGTGTTGTAGTTACGACTCCCTCCTCCCCTCCGCCCCAAGTCATGTTAATTAACACAGCCAGGCGTGTTGTAGTTACGACTCCCTCCTCCCCTCCGCCCCAAGTCATGTTAATTAACACAGCCAGGCGTGTTGTAGTTACGACTCCCTCCTCCCCTCCGCCCCAAGTCATGTTAATTAACACAGCCAGGCGTGTTGTAGTTACGACCCCCCCTCCCCTCCGCCACAAGCCATGTTAATTAAAACCTTCAGGGAGTAACTATTCTACATTCAATACATAAGATGTGTTTGAACGCGTACAATCAGCTGAAGGAGTCAGACAGTGACCTGAGCAATAAGGGTCTCTGCAAGAGCTGCCCCATCGTCCTCTTCAACACTATATGTGGCAGACTCGTCGGTCTGTATTATACATCTCATATTATACATTATACATTATACATTATACATTATACATTATCCATTATACATTATACATTATACATTAAACATCTCATCTTATAATGTCATCATAATCTGTAGAAATGGCTTGTCGTGTTTTATTTGGATAGGTTGTTTCTATTAGATATTAGAATATTGATCATTTCACCAGTTTCCTCACTTGTAGGAACCAATTAACCGGTTAATTGTAGAAATTCCAGGTTTAACTCCAGATGAGGTGGTGCAGGAGTTGAGTAATGTGATAGAGAGTCTCACTAACAATTCCAGGTTTAACTCCAGATGAGGTGGTGCAGGAGTTGAGTAATGTGATAGAGAGTCTGACTAACAATTCCAGGTTTAACTCCAGATGAGGTGGTGCAGGAGTTGAGTAATGTGATAGAGAGTCTCACTAACAATTCCAGGTTTAACTCCAGATGAGGTGGTGCAGGAGTTGAGTAATGTGATAGAGAGTCTCACTAACAATTCCAGGTTTAACTCCAGATGAGGTGGTGCAGGAGTTGAGTAATGTGATAGAGAGTCTCACTAACAATTCCAGGTTTAACTCCAGATGAGGTGGTGCAGGAGTTGAGTAATGTGATAGAGAGTCTCACTAACAATTCCAGGTTTAACTCCAGATGAGGTGGTGCAGGAGTTAAGTAATGTGATAGAGAGTCTGACTAACAATTCCAGGTTTAACTCCAGATGAGGTGGTGCAGGAGTTGAGTAAATGTGATAGAGAGTCTGACTAACAATTCCAGGTTTTAACTCTCCAGATGAGGTGGTACAGGAGTTGAGTAATGTGATAGAGAGTCTGACTAACAATTCCAGGGTTTAACTCCAGATGAGGTGGTGCAGGAGTTGAGTAATGTGATAGAGAGTCTCACTAACAATTCCAGGTTTAACTGCAGATGAGGTGGTGCAGGAGTTGAGTAATGTGATAGAGAGTCTCACTAACCAATTCCAGGTTTTTAAAAAGCAGTGAGGGGGGGTGCAGGAAGGGTTTAGTAATGTTTATAGAAGTCTGACTAAAAATTCCAGGTTTAACTTTCCCGAAAAGGGGGGTGCAGGAGTTGGGGGAATGTGATAAGAGTCGACTAACAAAATTTCCCGGTTTAACTCCAGATGGGTGGGGCAGGGGTTGGTTTAAAGTGATAAAGGGGGGGGGGAGTCTGACTAACAAATTTCCCGGGTTTTTTCTCCAGATGAGGTGGGCAGGAGTTAGTAATGTGATTGAAAAGTCGACTAACAATTCCAGGTTTAACTCCCAAAAAAAGGGGGTGCAGGAATTTGGGAATGTGATTTGAATTGACAACAATTCCAGGTTTAACCCCCAGATGAGGGGGGGTGGGAGGAGTTAAATAAATTTTTTTGGGGTTTTGGCTAAAAAATTCCAGGTTTAACCCCAATGAGGGTGGTACAGGGGTTTTAGTAAAGTGATAGAGAGTCTCACAAAAATTCCCGGTTTAACTTCCTATTTGGGGGGTGCGGAGTTGAGTAAAGTGATGAGAGTCTGACTAAAATTCCCGGTTTAATCCCGATGAGGGGGGTAAAAGGGGTTGAGTAATTTGATGAGAAATCTGACTAACAATGCCCGGTTTAACTCCCGATGAGGGTGGTGCAGGAGTTTTAGTAAAGTGATAGAGGGGTTAGGGCTAACATTTCCCGGTTTAACTCCCCGATTAGGGGGTGCAGGAGTTGAGAAAAAGGATAGAGGCGCTAACAATTCCAGGTTTTTAAATCCCCCCCTTTAGGTGGGGGCCAAAGGAGGGTTGGGGGTAATGTGGGTAAAAGAGTCTCAATAACCAAATTTCCGGGTTTTAAATCCATGAGGAGGTCGGAGTTGATTTTTGATAGAGAGTCTCACAACAATTCCCGGTTTTTAAATCCAGATGAGGGGGGTGCAGGAGTTAAGTAATTTAAAGGAGTCTTACTAACCTTTTCCCGGTTTAACTCCAATTAGGGGTGAGGAGGTTAAAAAATGTGATAGAGGGCTGACTAAAAATTCCAAAGGGTTTTAAATCCAGATGAGGTGGGCAGGAGTTGAGTAATACGAAAAGAGAGTCTGACTAACCCCTCCCCGGTTTAAACCAGATAGGTGGGGCAGGGTTGAAAAAGTTAAGGTTTTTCCCAACCCCTTCCTTTAAACCCCGCAATTTTTTTTTTCAAAGGGGTTGAGTAAATAGAAGTACCCCCGACTAACCCCCCCCAGGTTTAAATCCCCTTATTTTGTTAAAGGGTTTTATTAAAAGTTGGGTAGAGGGGTCCCTAACAATTCCATTTTAATCCAGAAAGAGGGGTTGGAGAGGGGTTGAAAAAAATTTTGAATTTTGAGGTTCCCCCCCTAACAATTCCAGGTTTAAAAAATTCCCGATGAGGTTGTGCCCCCTTTGGTAAAAATTTAAAGGGTTTTGCCCAACGTTCCCGGGTTTTAAAAACCAATTTAGGGGGGGTACCCGGAGTTTAAGAAAAATGATTTGAGAGTCTCACTAACCCCCTTTCCCCGGTTTCCCCCCGATGAGGGGGTGCAGGGGGTTGGTAAAGTATAGAGAGTCTGACTAACAATTCCAGGGTTTAAACCCCCCCCCAGATAGGTGGTGCAGGAGGGGTTTAATTTTTTGGAAAAGTTCGACAAAAAATTCCAGGTTTAAATCACCGAAGAGGTGGTACAGGGTTGAGTAAAGTGATAGAAGGGCTGAACTAAAATTTCCCGGGTTTTTAAATCCAGATTTAGGTGGTGCAGGGTTTTAAATTTAAAGTTAGAGAGTCTCCCCCAAACAATTCCAGGGGTTTAAATCCAGATAAGGGTTGGGGCAGGGTTGAGTAATTTTGATAGAGTCTGACTAACAATTCCAGGTTTAACTCCAGATGAGGTGGTTGCAGGAGTTGAGTAATGTGATAGAGAGTCTGACTCACCAATTCCAGGTTTAACTCCAGATGAGGTGGTGCAGGAGTTGAGTAATGTGATAGAGAGTCTGACTAACAATTCCAGGTTTAACTCCAGATGAGGTGGTGCAGGAGTTGAGTAATGTGATAGAGAGTCTGACTAACAATTCCAGGTTTTAACTCCAGATGAGGTGGTGCAGGAGTTAAGTAATGTGATAGAGAGTCTGACTAACAATTCCAGGTTTAACTCCAGATGAGGTGGTGCAGGAGTTGAGTAATGTGATAGAGAGTCTGACTAACAATTCCAGGTTTAACTCCAGATGAGGTGGTGCAGGAGTTAAGTAATGTGATAGAGAGTCTGACTAACAATTCCAGGTTTAACTCCAGATGAGGTGGTGCAGGAGTTAAGTAATGTGATAGAGAGTCTGACTAACAATTCCAGGTTTAACTCCAGATGAGGTGGTGCAGGAGTTAAGTAATGTGATAGAGAGTCTGACTAACAATTCCAGGTTTAACTCCAGATGAGGTGGTGCAGGAGTTGAGTAATGTGATAGAGAGTCTGACTAACAATTCCAGGTTTAACTCCAGATGAGGTGGTGCAGGAGTTAAGTAATGTGATAGAGAGTCTGACTAACAATTCCAGGTTTAACTCCAGATGAGGTGGTGCAGGAGTTAAGTAATGTGATAGAGAGTCTCACTAACAATTCCAGGTTTAACTCCAGATGAGGTGGTGCAGGAGTTGAGTAATGTGATAGAGAGTCTGACTAACAATCCCAGGTTTAACTCCAGATGAGGTGGTGCAGGAGTTAAGTAATGTGATAGAGAGTCTCACTAACAATTCCAGGTTTAACTCCAGATGAGGTGGTGCAGGAGTTGAGTAATGTGATAGAGAGTCTGACTAACAATTCCAGGTTTAACTCCAGATGAGGTGGTACAGGAGTTGAGTAATGTGATAGAGAGTCTGACTAACAATTCCAGGTTTAACTCCAGATGAGGTGGTGCAGGAGTTAAGTAATGTGATAGAGAGTCTGACTAACAATTCCAGGTTTAACTCCAGATGAGGTGGTGCAGGAGTTGAGTAATGTGATAGAGAGTCTGACTAACAATTCCAGGTTTAACTCCAGATGAGGTGGTGCAGGAGTTGAGTAATGTGATAGAGAGTCTGACTAACAATTCCAGGTTTAACTCCAGATGAGGTGGTGCAGGAGTTGAGTAATGTGATAGAGAGTCTGACTAACAATTCCAGGTTTAACTCCAGATGAGGTGGTGCAGGAGTTGAGTAATGTGATAGAGAGTCTGACTAACAATTCCAGGTTTAACTCCAGATGAGGTGGTGCAGGAGTTGAGTAATGTGATAGAGAGTCTGACTAACAATTCCAGGTTTAACTCCAGATGAGGTGGTGCAGGAGTTAAGTAATGTGATAGAGAGTCTGACTAACAATTCCAGGTTTAACTCCAGATGAGGTGGTGCAGGAGTTGAGTAATGTGATAGAGAGTCTGACTAACAATTCCAGGTTTAACTCCAGATGAGGTGGTGGCAGGAGTTGAGTAATGTGATAGAGAGTCTGACTAACAATTCCAGGTTTAACTCCAGATGAGGTGGTGCAGGAGTTGAGTAATGTGATAGAGAGTCTGACTAACAATTCCAGGTTTAACTCCAGATGAGGTGGTGCAGGAGTTGAGTAATGTGATAGAGAGTCTGACTAACAATTCCAGGTTTAACTCCAGATGAGGTGGTGCAGGAGTTAAGTAATGTGATAGAGAGTCTGACTAACAATTCCAGGTTTAACTCCAGATGAGGTGGTGCAGGAGTTGAGTAATGTGATAGAGAGTCTCACTAACAATTCCAGGTTTAACTCCAGATGAGGTGGTGCAGGAGTTGAGTAATGTGATAGAGAGTCTGACTAACAATTCCAGGTTTAACTCCAGATGAGGTGGTGCAGGAGTTGAGTAATGTGATAGAGAGTCTGACTAACAATTCCAGGTTTAACTCCAGATGAGGTGGTGCAGGAGTTAAGTAATGTGATAGAGAGTCTGACTAACAATTCCAGGTTTAACTCCAGATGAGGTGGTGCAGGAGTTGAGTAATGTGATAGAGAGTCTGACTAACAATTCCAGGTTTAACTCCAGATGAGGTGGTACAGGAGTTGAGTAATGTGATAGAGAGTCTGACTAACGAGGATAGTCTGGAGGTTCTTCAGATGTTCAAGGTACAATGTGTGGGGGGTACAATGTTGGAGGGGGTACAATGTGGGGGTACAATGTGGGGGTACAATGTGGGGGGGGGGGGTGAGGGGTAACAATGTGGGGGGAGGGGTACAATGTGTGGGGGTACAAGTTATGGGGAGGAGATCAACAATATCACACTAGCAGATCTTGCTCAAATAATTTATTTCAAATCAGTTAGACATTTAATTAACTAACTAATTAATTTAATCTCAGCCGGAACTGAGTGATGTTAACGCACAGAACAGTCTTCTAGTCGGCTGTTTAAGGACGATATACGAGCGACAGCAGACTAATCACTCGCATACACCTGGGGACACCAAGCAGGTTATTGCTAATTGCTTTTATACCACTCACTCCCATACAACTGGGGACACCAAGCAGGTTATTGCTAATTGCTTTTATACCACTCACTCCCATACAACTGGGGACACCAAGCAGGTTATTGCTAATTGCTTTTATACCACTCACTCCCATACAACTGGGGACACCAAGCAGGTTATTGCTAATTGCTTTTATACCACTCACTCCCATACAACTGGGGACACCAAGCAGGTTATTGCTAATTGCTTTTATACCACTCACTCCCATACACCTGGGGACACCAAGCAGGTTATTGCTAATTGCTTTTATACCATAGTCAATTAACTGACTAATTGGTCAAATTTGTGCAGCACCTCAATCGTGTCATATGCCTTATAAAATTGACTTACTAATTGGTTGCGGGTGAAAAAAATCGGTCAAAACTGTAAAATTTCGGCCCTGGAAATTTCAGCTCCAAAAACTGAAAATGGGACAGAGTATGGGACAGTATGATTTTCCAATTTTTTTCGAGATTTTGACGTCCAGTACCCCAATTTGGTTTCATACCATCATCAATTAACTGACTAATTGGTTTGTGGGCAAAAATTTCATCCTATCTGTCAAATGTGCGTTCAGAAACTTTCATATCTGAAAATGGGACAGAGTTTTGAAAATACAACTTTTCGTTTTGTTAAGATTTCTGTTGTGAGCTTCCTCCGACCCAAATCAAACTTCAAGCACCTCAATCGTGTCATTTGGCATCTATAGTTGACTGACTAATTGGTTGCAGGTCAGAAATTTGGCCGAAACTGTAAAATTTCGGCCCTGGAAATTTCAGCTCCAAAAACTGAAAATGGGACAGAGTATGGGACAGTATGATTTTCCAATTTTTTTCGAGATTTTGACGTCCAGTACCCCAATTTGGTTTCATACCATCATCAATTAACTGACTAATTGGTTTGTGGGCAAAAATTTCATCCTATCTGTCAAATGTGCATTCAGAAACTTTCATATCTGAAAATGGGACAGAGTTTTGAAAATACAACTTTTCGTTTTGTTAAGATTTCTGCTGTGAGCTTCCTCCGACCCAAATCAAACTTCAAGCACCTCAATCGTGTCATTTGGCATCTATAGTTGACTGACTAATTGGTTGCAGGTCAGAAATTTGGCCGAAACTGTAAAATTTCGGCCCTGGAAATTTCAGCTCGAAATACTGAAAATGGGACAGAGTATGGGACAGTATGATTTTCCAATTTTTTTCGAGATTTTGACTTCCAGTACCCCAATTTGGTTTCATACCATCATCAATTAACTGACTAATTGGTTTGTGGGCAAAAATTTCATCCAATCTGTCAAATGTGCGTTCAGAAATTTTCATATCTGAAAATGGGACAGAGTTTTGAAAATACAACTTTTCGTTTTGTTAAGATTTCTGCTGTGAGCTTCCTCCGACCCGAATCAAACTTCCAGCACCTCAATCGTGTCATTTGGCATCTATAGTTGACTGACTAATTGGTTGCAGGTCAGAAATTCGGCCAAACTGTAAAATTTCGGCCCTGGAAATTTCAGCTCCAAAAACTGAAAATGGGACAGAGTATGGGACAGTATGATTTTCCAATTTTTTTCGAGATTTTGACTTCCAGTACCCCAATTTGGTTTCATACCATCATCAATTAACTGACTAATTGGTTTGTGGGCAAAAATTTCATCCAATCTGTCAAATGTGCGTTCAGAAACTTTCATATCTGAAAATGGGACAGAGTTTTGAAAATACAACTTTTCGTTTTGTTAAGATTTCTGCTGTGAGCTTCCTCCGACCCGAATCAAACTTCCAACACCTCAATCGTGTCATTTGGCATCTATAGTTGACTGACTAATTGGTTGCAGGTCAGAAATTCGGCCAAACAATAAAATTTCGGCCCTGGAAATTTCAGCTCCAAAAACTGAAAATGGGGAATGTGCGTTCAGAAATTTTTCATATTCTGAAAATGGGACAGAGTTTTGAAAATACAACTTTTCGTTTGTAAAGATTTTTCTGCTGTGAGCTTCCTCCGACCCGAATCAACTTCCATCAAACCTCAATCGTGTCCATTTGGCATCTTATAGCTGACTGACGAATTGGCTCGTTTGCAGGTCAGAAATTTTGCAACTGTAAATTTCGGCCCGGAAATTTCAGCTCGAAAAAACTGAAAATGGGACAGAGTATGGGACAGATGATTTTCAATTTTTTTTCGAGATTTTTGACTTCCAGTACCCCAATTGGGTTTCATACCATCATCAATTAACTGACTAATTGGTTTGTGGCAAAAATTTCATCCAATCTGTCAAATGTGCGGTGAGAAATTTTCATATCTGAAAATGGGACAGAGATGTGAAAATACAACTTTCGTTTTTGTTAAGATTTTCTGCGGTGAGCTTCTCCGACCCGAATCCACATTCCAGCACCTCATCGTGTCATTTTGTCATCTATAGTTGACTGACTAATTGGTTGCAGGTCAGAAATTCGGCAGAAACTTAAAATTTCGCCCTGGAAACTTTCAGCTCCAAAACGAAAATGGAACAGAGTAGGGACATATGATTTTCCAATTTTTTTCGAGATTGTGACTTCCAGTACCCCAATTTGGTTCATACCACATCCAATTAAACTGACTACTTGTTTGTGGTGCAAAAATTTCTCCAAGTCTGTCACAAAATGTGCGTTAGAAATTTTCATATCTGAAATGGGACAACGTTTTGAAAATTTAAAACTTTTCGTTTGTTAAGAATTCGCTGTGAGCTTCTCCCCGACCCGAATTCAAACTTCCAGCACTTAATCGTGTCATTTGGCATCTAATAGTTACCTGACTTAATTGGTTGAGTCCAGAAATTCGGCAGAAACTGTAAAATTTCGGCCCGGAAATTTCACTGTCCAAAAACTGAAAATGGGACAGAGTATGGGACAGTATGATTTTTCCAATTTTTTTTCGAGATTTGACTTCCAGTACCCCAATTTGGTTTCATACATCATCATTAACTGACTAATGGTGTGTGGCAAAAATTTCATCCAATCTGTCAATGTCGTTGAGAAAATTTTCATATCTGAAAATGGGACCAAAGTTTTGAAAATTACAACTGTTTCGTTTGTTAAGATTTCTGCTGTGAGCTTCGTCCGACCCAATCAAACGTCCTCCAGCACCTCAATCGTGTCATTTTTGGCATCTATAGTTGACTGACTAATTGGTTGCAGTCAGAATTTCGGCCGAACTGTAAAATTTCGGACCCCTGGAAATTTTACTCCAAAAACTGAAATGGACAAGAGTATGGGACAGTTTGATTTTCCATTTTTTTTTCGAGATTTTGACTTCCAGTACCCCAATTGTTTTTTTTTTTTTTTGGGGGTTTTTTTTTTTTTCATACCATCCAATTAACTGACTAATTGGGTTGTGGGTACAAATTTTCATCCAATCTGTCAATGTGCGGTGAGAAAACTGTCATATCTGAAAATGGGACAGAGTTTTGAAAATACAACTTTCGTCTTGTTAAAGATTTTCTGCTGTGAGCTTCTCCGACCGAATCAAACTTCCAGCACTTCAATCGTGTCATTTGGCACTATAGTTGACTGACTAATTGGTTGCAGGTCAGAAATTTGGCGAAACTGTAAAATTCGGCCCTGGAAATTTCACCTCCAAAAACCTGAAAATGGGACCGAGTATGGGAACAGTATGATTTTCCATTTTTTTTCGAGATTTTTGACTTCCAGTACCCCAATTTGGTTTCATAACCATCTATCAATAAACTGACTATTTGGTTTGTGGGCAAAAATTTCATCCAATCTGTCAAATGTGCGTGTGAAATTGTCATAGTCTGAAATGGACAAAAGTTTTTTGAAAATACAACTTTTCGTTTTGTTAAGATTTCTGCTGTGAGCTTCCTCCACCCGAATCAAACTTCCAGCAACCTCAATCGTGTCTTTGGCATCTATAGTTGACTGACTAATTTGGTTGCAGGTCAGAAATTTTCGGCCGAAACTGTAAAATTTATGCCTGGAAATTTCAGCTCCAAAAACTGAAAATGGACAGAGTATGGGACAGTATGATTTTTTCAATTTTTTTTTCTAGATTTTGACTTCCATACCCTAATACAATTTGGTTTCATACCAAGCAATTAACTGACAATTGGTTTGTGGGCAACAATTTCATCCAATCGTCAAATGTACGTTCAGAAAGTTTTCCTATAATGAAAATGGGACAGAGTTTTTGAAAATACAACTTTTCGTTTTGTTAAGATTCTGCTGTGAGCTCTTCCGACCCCGAATCAAATTCCAGGCACCTCAATCGTGTCCATTTGGCATCTATAGTTGACTGACTAATTTGGTTGCAGGTCAAAATTCGGCCGAAACTGTAAACTTTCGCCCTGGAAATTTTCACAGCTCCAAAAACTGAAAATGGGACTGAGTATGGGACCGAATATTTCCAATTTTTTTCGAGATTACGCTTCCAGATAGTACCCCCAATTTGGTTTCATACCATAATTAACGACTAATTGGTTTGGTGGTAAAAATTTCATCCAATCTGTCAAATGTGCGTTGAGAAATTGTCATATCTGAATAGGGGACAGAGTTTTGAAAAATAAACGTTTCGGTCTTGTTAAGAATTGCTGCTGTGAGCTTCCTCCGACCCGAATCAAACTTCCAGCACTCACAATCGGTCATTTGGCATCAATAGTTGACTGACTAAATTGGTTTGCCGGTCAGAAAATTGACCGAAACTGTAAAAAATTTTCGCCCTGGAGATTTTCAGCTCAAAAACTTGAAAGATGGACAAGAGTTTGGGAACAGTATGATTTTCAATTTTTTTCGAGATTTGACTTCCAGTACCCCCAATGTTGGTTTTCATACCATCATCAAGTAACTGACCTATTTGGTTTGTGGGCAAAAATTTCAACCAATCGGTCAAATGTGCGTTGAGAAATGTCATATCTGAAATGGGACAAGTATTGAAAAACAACTTTGCGTTTTGTTAAGAGTTCTGCTGTGAGCTTCCACC